AGATGTTAAGCTCGAAATGAAGGTGTATAAACAAATGTATAAGCCGGGGACCTTACTATTTATTTATCCTCCCTAAATTCGTTTTGGACATACCTGTGCGTCCAGGTACCGAATCTCATCTTCTGACCCATGCACCCAATGTCGTTAATCTCTACAAAGCTTGGGGTCATGTCTAATGCTAATCCACAGCTGACTCTGGTGAATCTCCACCCGGTTCCTTGGTGACATGATTCCATATTTAGAATTTGACCCCTTTACGTTCAATATCAAGGTCAGTGAAATGTGCCTTGACGGCGTAAGTCAGATCTGTCTCCGGAGGTTTTGTGTACATATCTCTGTTGCTATAACTGTTCACTTACCGAACCAGCCAACCTTTATGCTTACATGAGCATTACGAAAGTAGTGAATCGTACACTGTACTCGGTAGCCTTCACTGGTGACCTTTACCTGACCGTATTATTCTGTTCGTCTTGACTTGAATCTGGAATAAATCTGCATTTTATCATTTACTCCACTACAGCTAATGTGCAGTATAATGATTTAAGAAATGAACTATTTTCAGTTGGTATTCATAGTCAACACGAATGCCAACTGAAACGTGAACAATTCCATGAAGCGCAGTGCTTCATGTTGATTATTTCCTATCCAATTTGGCATTCATATCGACAATGATCGCCATCTGAAAACTGTTCAATACCGATGCTCACTATTTTGTTTTAATATTTAATCACATAGTTTTTTTAATATTATATTTAAGCAGTGAGCTTTAAGAAGTTTATATATCTTGCATGATTGTTAAATGAAAAGAACAGACAACTTCAAAGGAGGGGTAGTGGTATTTAACGTTGCAATTATGACGTCATAATGATACTACTATCATCACGTGGGCAAAGGCATTCATAGCCGATATGAATATCATCCGATCTTGGAAGGGTTACATGGTGGTAACGCCATGATGTGTTAAATATACCATAACATCCGGTTGGCAATTTGAATGCCAAACAGGAAACGACCACTTTCATGAAATACGTTTCTTAGCGTTTTATGTCTTATTTTGCCGTTATGGTGACGTCACTAAATGTGTCATCGAAGTCATAGCTAATATAAATGCCAGCTCGAAATAAATATGATAATGTAATGACACAGCTATGCATCGGTTCATATATATTTGATTTGATTTGTAATACGTTTTATTTCAACAATTGTGACGTCACAAGTAAAATACGATGACGTCACAAACTTACAGCTGATGCAAAGGTGGTGGTATTTCTTTCTTTATTTTGTAGTTATTTCTTTTCTATTCTGAATTACAGAAAATGCTATCAAACATGATTTTTAAATTTGTTTGAGTATATGCTTAAAGGAATATCAATTGGGTTCCCACGTCATCTAACTTATATGAGACATGTTAAAGATCGTTGGGTCATGGCTGCACACTGCTACCTTCCATTAACGGAATGAATATGACATATAACCTGTGACTGAACAAGACAGGGTTATTTCAATCGACAGGTATGATTATGTAACATAATCCATGCAGAGGCGCGAGCTAAAGTTGGGATCAAGCAGAATTTTAGTCCGTGACTGAGATAACTCGATCTCACTCAGTTACAGGTATTTTATTTTGATTATATTTTGTCCTACTCCTTATTACTATTCCGTCTTGGTCCTCAGTTAGATATGGCATCTGTACTACTTCAGCTAATATATCAAATCGTATATTGATTAAACTAATTCAATTTATTGAACTATTTAAATTGCACATTGTTAATTTATTTTAGTGCGAGTATGATTAAAAAAATATATACAGCATTTGATATAGCGCCCTATCTAGCTAACATAAGCCACTCTAAAGCGCTTTACAGTACATAGATATATAACTAATACAATTAGCATATATATATATATATACATTAATCAATACAATTTTGAGGAATTCGCAGGAGCTGCCTTATCAGGCGCTAACTACTAGTCCTATGCCACCTGACTAATATCTCCCTTTGTGTGTATGCCTGCGTGTGTACAGGAGATTTTTTGTGTATTGAATGCACCGTCATTTGGAAATAAAGACTGAAAATGTAGCACGAGGTATCCTTGTCTGAGGTATGAGACATATGATGACGTCATGCTGACGTTGAGATATGGACGAATTGCTTTTTCTATGCTTCAAGGCCAAAATCGATCTATCCAATAAGTATGTAAAGGAATGACTGATAAAGGAAAAGTTCATGCATTTAAGATGCCGAGCGTTGGGGAATGGAAGCTGAATGCATTTTGTAGACAATAAAGATAAAATAGTTTGGTCAAATTAGGAAACAAATTTAATAAGATACACGGTATTTTTTAGGTTCATAAATATCGATTTCGATTAATCATGATATGTCATTAAAAATTAAAAACATTTAGGGAACATCATTTTTATTTACTTAAATCGCTAATTTACTCGTTCAATTTCACCAGTGGCGATATCACACAACCATCCACAACGAAAAAAAACAACAAGCTTTTTTGTTTGAATAGTACTGAATGTTTAAATTTTCCCGACAATTTCTATCATTCTTAGACTTCTTTCTATATAATTGAATTCCGACAACTAGAACATATCTTAACCATGGAGCCCTACCTGAGCCATTTCCGGTTCTATGTGTATGGGCGGATCGGTCATGTAGGTACCGACAGGTGGCGCTCTACACTGACGAAACAAATTCTTCTCAAATCACTACAGGAAATCGAAGACAAATTCCAACATGAATGGTTAGCTTATCATATAAAATATACAACTAAAATGAAGGTCTATTCAAAGTGTTTTATAAATAATTTATATTTTAAAGTTGATCTGATTGAAAGTCATAACTATAAATCACTAAACAAGCAATTAATGCCATTTTACCTTTATCATTTAGACAAATATCTAACACGATACAATCACGTTAAGCTGATATCGTGTTCGAACAAATGGCACCAAATGCGTACCGGAAACGATACGTATAGAATCATATCTATATATTGTTCACGTGGTTCTCGTATGTAATATCAAAATAGAATGACTGGAAATATGATTGGACAATCAGAAACAGGCTTGTCTTATTTTCGCTATCAGCATTCCCGTTTTGGATCATGTTGTTGTTGTTGTTATTGATGTAACAGTTTTTCATCTCCGTTGTGGATAATTTGTTTTTGTTGTTGTGTTTGTTGTTGTACTTTTTTGCAGTATTATGTTCGGTAAGTGTTGATTATATTCCCGGGTGGTGACGTGGCGCAGTGGATAGCGCACTCGCCTTTCATTAAGACGACCGGTTCTCCATTTCCCTATCGGACATGAAAAGGTTTTTGGTCACCTGCCCGTCTATGTGGGTTTTTTTTTCTTGGTACTCAACATTTCTCCACACCGAGACCCCACTGCGCGGTACCATTCGGGTAAACAATGCTAATTGTTGTTTCAGAACTGTTGTAAAATAAAATTTAAAGAAACAACAACATTTTTTATATGGTTATATTATATACATGTTTACACTTTATGATAGCGGAATCGCTACACCCTTCCCCCTTTCAAGCTCAAAACTCCGTGTTCAAAGACCTTTCAGAAAGGTAAGATGCGTCACACTGCATGATCGTATGTGTCGACTACCAAAGGGCTTTTTCTTGAACTAAAGATTATGTTTTTGGTTTCCTAAAGCCAGTTTTGACTCTTTTTAGAAAGGACATGTCTATTTGACAGCAAACAGGATACATTTTATTTGACATCAAAATGTCAATAGTCAACTACGTATCAATCTCCAGACTTTATATTTTTATTTTTATTTTGCTCTGACTGCCTTTTTTTCCGGGACGTCTCCTAAACACGTATTTGCGTTCTTGCACTACAATACCTACCACACAGTCACTGTTACTGTTAACACAAAATGCACACATGGAATTCACACTGACGATATACATATAGTATTGCTTAATGAACACCTCATGTAAATTTAATTCAAGAAACACTAAAAAATGAAGATAAAAGAAATACAAATGTGTGGAAACAAATGTCAGATTGGACTGCCAACGGTTTAAAAAACAACACAAAATGGTTAAATATGAAAACTATGACAGTAAATAGCTGTGATGTAAATGACTATCTAGAACATTGTAACTGTGTATGACGAATATGGAGCCCACAATTATCAATTATCCGATGTTACAATAACTTCAGAGTTATTATTGTGATACTAGTTTTCGTTTATAGGAAACATCGAGTTTAAGGCATGAAGTTTTCGTTGATGTTGGGTTACTAAATCAGCGTGTAAAAGTAATACATTGGCCATTCACAGCAAAGAAACAGTCCCGTTTACGACACTTTAGATGTCGTAAATAGGAAGATGTCGTAACATATGCAATATGGTTCAGATTACAAAACAGAAAATGTGAACAACTTGAATACCCTAACTAGCTTTACGCCTTGAAAGTATTTGAGAACTATTTTAAAAAAATAGGTCTTAAATGTTTTGATGATATTCGAGGAAAAACTTTAATGATGAACTGATTTCCTCAAACAAAAATATTAAGTTTGAAAAGATGAAGCACTGACCAAAGAGAACATGATTTTAGTGAGACGCTCTACCGCCCTCGTAACTGTAACAAATGATGAGTGGAACGGTTTTTTTTCTACTTTGTTTTTCGTTGGAGCCCTCACCTTTGATCTTGTTACTTTTAATACTTACCTGAAATTTTTATTTTTTATATTTTTTTTATAACATGAATCCAAAATGAAAGATGTCTTTATTTTGTTTGTTTTGAATAATTATAAAATTAAACGTACGAGGGGAGGTCTTTCTATCATTCAGGCCAGTAGATGAATGCCTGGCCTATCAGTGATAGGGGTTATGTCGGTGGCATGGTTATGTGGGTTGGTCATCTGTATGCATGGCTTGCGTACCTGGCAAGTTCACTATTTGTGTCAACGCTGATAAAAACCACCGATCAAGGTTTGGGACCCTCACAAGCTGACTTGAACCGCTAAGATGCGGCCAAAAATTGTGGTATTCCTTTGCGCTTTAGCGAGCCTGGGCTCAACGGCCCAGGGCGCTGCGACAACTGTTTCTCCAGGTAAGTTCTAGTTCTGTTTTTGTTCTTTAACTTTTTTTTTATTAATAAATTAAAGGATTAACGGAAGAAAGAAAGAAAAATCAGAATTGAGATGTTTTTAGTACATGTTTATCACACACATATATGACTATGTTAAAGGTTTCCAATCTTAAAAAATACTATCTATTTGTTTTAATTTTGTTTTAGATGAAATTTGAAAATCATGTGTCTGTTCAAATATAAAGAAAGCACACACAAACTATATTTATATTTATTTAATTTATGGAATTCAACACCAATTTGATGTGTTGCTGTATTTTTTTTTTTATTAAAATCACCAGTTTATAATTATCAAATTTAATCTCTATAAATTAAAAATGAAATTATTTTATTACCATGGGTCTTTTTTATAATATCCAGAAAAAACAAGTGTCACGAAAGTGGAAGGGGGGTAACTCTTACGTCGACAATTATGCAATTATGTTGTTTCAGTGATATTTTAGTTATAATAGCATTTTTCATTTCATTATGTAATCCTTTGTTACATTTTTGAAAAACAACAACAATTTAAGTTAAATAATTTGGCTCAATAAGATACTGTATCTGAAACCCATTTTTTTTTTTTACAACTGGAGACTATATGATTGAAATATTTTACCTTTTTCTAATAATAACACTATGCCAAAAACTACCTAAATAGCCGAAAGATGCCATACTTAGCTAAATCATATCCACAACCATTTTGTGACATTTTAAAAAGACAAAAATAATCCAAAATAAAATAATTCGGCTTTTACGTTTTTGGTATAAATTAAAATGAAGTAATATGATGTTTTTCTAATGTTTGTCGCTAGAAAATATTAAAAGTGTTTAAAATTGTCTTTCAAAATCTGCTGTAGGTAGAAAAGTTCTTTTTGGAAATAATACACAAGAAATACAAGAGCCAAGAGAACAAATCTCAATTCGACAGTGAAATTGTCCTTTACGTAAATTCATAAATAAAAATAAAATAAAAAATGTCATAACCTATTGTCGCTGATGTTGGTCTAATTATTAGACATTTTACATTGTTTCTTAGTCCTATATTGTGATAACTATAACATTTGTCTCGAAGTGTTTTGCATTATGTTTACGACATCGACATTACGAGGGTTAACATTAGTTGAATTAAAGAGAGAAGATATATATATATATATATATATATATATATATATATATATATGTATCTTACATTTATCTCGAAGTATTTTTAATCATATTTACGACATCCTCATATAGAATTGTTTAAAATTAGTGGAATTGAAGTGAAGATGTATGTATATATATGTATCTAACAATTCCGTCTGTATTTTGTTTGTTTTTCATCACATTTTTCCTGTTTCCTTAGGGTGCGGCACGGTACCCGCTGATATCGTGTTCCTGCTAGATTCGTCTGGAAGTGTTGGTTCTGCAAACTTTCAAAAGCAAAAGGACTTTGTTGCAAAATTCGCCAATTCCTTTGACATTGGACCCCGAAATGTACAAATTGGCGTCACTACTTTCTCAACGGCGGTCCACAACCAGTTTAATTTGAACAAATACAGTGCAAAAGCGCCGCTGGTCCATGCCATCAATGCCATTCCGTACAATGCCGGAAGCACGCATACTGATATCGCCATCGATTACGTCACTGGACACAGTTTCACTCCTGCGGCAGGAGACAGAGATCACGTGGCCAATATTTTGATCGTGATGACCGACGGTCAGTCTAACAACAAACCAGCCACTTTGGCCGCCGCTACCAAACTTCATGCTAAAAACATCAAGGTCTTTGGAATCGGTATTGGCAGTGGTATTGATCGTTCAGAGCTGTCACACATCGCCACAGACGCCAAACACGTGTTCACAGTATCGAACTTCGGTGCACTGACCACTCTACAGGCAGAGCTCAAGAAAACTGCGTGTGAGAGTAAGTTTGTCCCGATAAACTGTTACTGGACACAAACATTCGCAAATTAGCATTAGCACTATTCAAGCGTCCCCAATTTTTGCAAGATTCAAGTGTAAATTGCTCAGGTATTTATTTGTGTGTTATGAGAAGGAGGTATGAATCAAATGAAAGATAGAACAATTGTTAGCTTAAAATTAAGGTAATAAATATTTTATCATAAATATTTGCCCATAAATTTAAGACAAAAGTTAAAATTTAAACTACACGTATCTGGTCAATGTTAAAGCTCATCGTTAATACGCTATCATACATGGCATTCTTATTATACATACAAAAGAATGACGTCATATATAAATCAACACCCTTGACATGCGCCGATGAAATTTTTGACCCATATAATTGTCCCTTCGCTTACGCGATTTTTCATTTTTTTTTTGAAGTTGAGGATTATCATGGGAAATTCTATAACAAAAAAAAATGTTTTGATATTTAGAACATTCTTTATTTGTACAGTTGATGGACAATGGAGCAGTTATGGTTTCTGGAGTCCATGTACAAAGACATGTGGAGGAGGTACCCACTACAGGGAGAGAACCTGCTCCAACCCTCCACCAGCCAACGGAGGAAAACAGTGCGTGGGTGCACACCGAGAAACGGCCGCTTGTCATGCGCAAGCGTGCCCTACGATCCCGCCTACAACTACCACGCAAAAGCCAGCGACCACACACGCGCCAACCACACCCATTCCAGGTAAGACATGCACGTCATACATCCCAGGTAAGCCATGCACGTCATACATCCCAGGTAAGTCATGCACGTCATACATCCCAGGTAAGTCATGTACGTCATACATCCCAGGTAAGTCATGTACGTCATACATCCCAGGTAAGTCATGTACGTCATACATCCCAGGTAAGTCATGTACGTCATACATCCCAAGTTAGTAATGTACCGCTTACATCCACGGTAAGTAATGTACCGCTTACATTCAAGATAAGTCATGTACCGCATATATCCACGGTAAGTCATGTAACTCATTCACCCCCGGTATTTGATGTACCACATACATCCATAGTAAGTTATTATAGGATCCCGGTCATAATATACCAATCCCTGTTTCCTCATGATAAAATCTCAATAATGTTGACAACGTTATTTAGGCATTCCATCAATTTCTTTTCTTCTCTTGAAAACAAATAACAATAACGAAAATATAAACAGAGAGTAAGCTGATGATTCAAAATGAAAACTTATATTGAGTTTAAGGTCAGTTTAGTCTTATGAAATAAAAATCGGAACGAACATACAGTGTTTAAAACACACAAATCGTTTCTTTTCCCGTGGGACAAATCTATCAAAGGGCGGTAGCTCTAGCAGTAACCGGAAGTATATTTCGATGAATACATATAAGAACATGTATCCTTTCTTCTTTTATCAGGATGTGGTGTAGTGCCAGCTGACATCGTCTTTATCCTCGATTCTTCTGGCAGTGTCGGAACAGCAAACTTTCAGAAAATGTTGCAGTTTGTCAGAACAACAGCTCAGGGATTCGATATCGGCCCTAACGGAGTGGAAGTGTCCGTCATCACCTTCAGCGACAAGCCGCATTTGGAATTCCATCTCAACAAATACCATGACAAGAATTCCGTTTTGAACGCCATTTCCAACGTCCATTACATAACTGGCGGTACCAACACTGCTGACGCACTTAAATACGCAAGAGAGACCAGCTTCACAGCGGCAAATGGCGTCAGGCCCAACTCTGCCAAGATTGCAATCGTCATCACTGATGGAAAGTCGAACAGCGCCGGAGCTACCGCCAATGAGGCCAATTTGCTACGTAATGACGGCGTCACTGTTTTTTCCGTCGGCGTCGGTGCAGGACCAAAGACTAGCGAGCTGAACTCCATGGCAACCGACCCTGACAATCAGCACGTGTTTGTCGTCAATAACTTCGATGCTCTGACACAAATCAAGAGTACCCTGCAGCAGAAGGCTTGTGAAGGTATCCTATATTTTCTAATTTACAAATATTCAATCTTCCACATACAATAACATGTGATTTATTAGTTTATGTTATTTTGATAGATGTATTAATGAGCTAAGAGTTGACGTTAAAAAAATTCAAATTCGTAAAAATTATGGATTTACAAATAATTGTATATCGGGATACTTCCGCCCAATTATATATTCGCCCTTCACCGGTTAAAATCCTTATTCACCCAGTGTCTTTCTCTCTTTACATGTCAGTACTATGAAGTATATGTGGTATGTTGTGAACTAAAATGTATATACATATATATATATTCGCTGTCATTAATTCGCCGTCGTTACGGAAGCGGAAAAAGGCGAATGTGAAACATCGGCAAACGTTTCTCGGTTTACACTATTTCAATTTGTGGCATTCGAAGCGTGACTAATATTCAGTCAACTGTGTCTTAGAAGACATAGTGTTCCTCTATTGACTACTTTTCAACAATTATAATGTAAATATCGGATAAGATGTTCAACTTTCCTCAATGTACCCTTTTTACCATGGTCAATTCGACTTGCACTTTAGAAAGATGTTTTAGATATGGTTGAAATCATGCTGTTAATATATGTATTTCATCGATAATCTACTGTTTACGAACATATTTCAGCGTTTGTGCCAATTTATCAATGTGCTAATATGTTAAAATTCTATAATACGCTGAAAATTTGAGCTCGTAAAAGAAGTACTTTTAAAGTATTTGGTTATTTGATGGTATTGAATGAAAAAATGTTGATACCCTGCTGACCGGTAATCTTGCACACCTGAGGAATAACGCTGAGGAAATAACGCACGAAAATGAATATGGAACAAGTATCTTTTTTTAAAACCTATACCATATATAAGAAAAATGTATATTCTGTCGTCGGAAATTTTCATTTTAATAATATGACTTTATATAATGGTTAATGATGTTGGTATTTTCAGTGAAGGCAACCGTTGCTCCAGCACCACATGCCAACACAGGTTTGTATTACTTCTGTAACTTCCATTTTCGCGGTAATAATATTTTTTCGAACCAATTTTTTCTTTCTTGTCTCTTTTTAAAAAACCCGCTAAAATCTACTTCTAGACGGGAAAAGTAGCTCCTAACGGTAGTTAAAGCAAATCAGATATAATGATTCATATTTTAGATTTATTGATGTGAATCTGATTCATTTTATATTTTAAGCACCAGCCTGTGCATATTTATGAAATGCAACTGTTTTAAGACTCTATATAATTTTTAATAGCAAACTTGCTGAATGCAAAATGCGTATAAATAACAAAAATGCCCTTTGTGTGCAAAATAACGTTTCGAATTCGAAAAATAAAACAAATCATTTGTTTTGACAAAATGTTTCCCCTGTTGTTTCACCCTTTGTCCGATCGGCTTTTTATTGTAGTTCTGTCGTAAAACTTTGTGTGACCTTCACCTATTGGTCAGCTATTAACTGAGAATGTAACCGTTTCTACTTCAGGTTGTGGCGCAAAGGCCGATATCGTCTTCTTGTTAGACTCCTCTGGTAGTGTAGGCTCGAGTAACTTCAACAAGATGCTTCACTTTGTCCAGAATGTGTCCGACACTTTCACCATCGGACCCAATGATGTCCAGGTCGGAGTGGACACCTTCTCGACAGGCCACAAGGCAGAATTCAACATGGGGTCACACCTGACTAAACCATCTCTGTTGTCAGCCATCGGCAATATCAAGTATCACAGCGGGTCTACGCACACCGGACAGGCCATCAACTTCATGCACACATCAAGTTACACGGCCGCAGCAGGTACTTATTGTTTTCAAATCCTGTATAAAAACCTCTTTTAGTGTAAGCACCATCTGTGTTGCCGAGGCCTACACTCTACATATTAGTTTGTGACGTATGCTGAGACACAGGACATAGAACTTTGGGAGTTATACAATCGTTGACCTCCTTGTGGTTGTAAAAAGGTGATTTCAACTTGAGGGGAAGATTGTTTAGTTGCCTATTGCCAAACTGTTTGATAACAAAAAAATCTTTTTCCAGAAGTTTTCTATTACCCATTTCACAGCCAAGGGGGAGGGACGGTTTTGTCAAACGCTGTTGACCCTGACAAATATCAAAAATGCAATGTTGACGTTACGGGGTCAATAAATTGTTGACGTGGCGTTATACAATTGTTATAACTCGGTATTCCCCTCGCCTTAACCCAAGATTAGGACTAATATAATCTTTCCAATCATGGGTGTAAGTCAGAAAAATCTCAACCTAAGGGGATAGATTCGTAAATGTCTAGCTCGAGGCTTTGCCACGGACAAGACTTTTGATAATCTAATCCAGAGAGCTAGGATTTTGCTGTCGTACTTCTAAAGTGGCAAATGATGATTTTCCTCCCATATTAAATGCAAGTGGTAATTTTAATGAAAAACGAATGTGATTTTCCAACAAATCGGAGTTAGTTTTCGTGATCTGCTGTTGTCGACGTGATGTTATAGCATCTAAAAGATATCCCACACCAGGAAAAAAATGGAAACACCTGCTTATGGTAATAGAGTACCCTGGTAATGAACACGGAAAACAACTATGATATACGGGAGAAAACGTTATTTCTGAAAGTGTCCCTCTCTTTCTGGGATTCAAACCTCAGCCGTCTACGTATACACTTTAGGCCTGTGGTTTCAAACATTCAAAGTTACCGTAAACATTTCAATTGAAGAATCGGAACATGTCTTACGTAATCATTTAATGAATAAAGTTAAATAACAAATATTAAAGATGTGCTTTCCGGAAAATCATGAAAACGTTTCGTTTCATTTAAAGGACATCGTCCCAACGTTCCTAAGATTGGCATTGTTGTCACGGACGGTAACTCCAACAACAGGCAATTGACCATTCAGGAGGCTGCCGCTGCGAGAAAGGCTGGAATCACAATGCTGGCTATCGGTGTTGGCCACGGAATAAACTCTGCAGAGCTTAACGCCATCGCTAGCGACCCAGACAGCCAGTACGCTTTCAGGGCCGATAACTTCGATGCTTTGGGATCATTGAAGACTCTACTTTCAACCAAAGCATGTGAAGGTAAGAATACCACGTTATACCGACGGGTGTACAGGGATATTGATGTCGTTTTATGAATAACTTATAGTATCACGTATATATATCTACATTCCAACTGCAAGTTCTCCATGAGTATCATGATAATTGCAGTCATAGGGCTATGAACGCAATTGGAGCAGTGTCACTTCAAAGCTTCTGCTCTCGCCTCCAACACGATACAACCGTTAGAAGCAAACATTCTGATGACGGTAGGCTGTTCAAAGAATCTCGTTTGTACTGACGACATAAACACTTCAATATCGGAAATATAAGGGACTGTCTGTATCCCTGTCAATAATAAGTAAAAATTAAGAATGCAAATATAAGGATTGAACGCTATTTTGCAATGTTCATGCCACTATGAACGCAAATCGGTTCCATACATATTCCATGAAGTCCGCTTACCCGGCATGAAATTGAAAAAATATCAATTATATAAAAAATTAAACTTTCATCCTAATTTGCATATCTGTATCATACTATCTTTACATGTATTAAACTATATCATATTCATCCAAGTATGATTTTCATTGGACAAAATTTGAATAAGATAGTGTGATTCTCATTATTTAACCAACTTTGTAAGTATCCCAAATGATATTCAAATCAATTTCTTGTTTGATGTAGAAAAAAGTATTTAAAATGAATTGATTCAATAATAAAAGAACGTCTCAATTTGAATTTTCATTTTTGAAAGTGTCATGTATGACATCGCTGGAAACTTAATTTCAGTATAAATCAAAAATAATGTTTCTTGATACTTTAGAATAAACTTTTGTATTATTTTGTATCATTTAATGCTCTTAATTACAATATCAATGAATATGCTTTTATTGCAGTTTCACAGCCACACCCTAATGCTACAGCACCACAAGGTAAGTAACTCATCATAAAGAACCTCATTTCTACCTTCAAGGGTCTTAGTGTTTGTCAACTGTATTGAGAAATAATCAAGATATATATACGTATCATGGCGGAATATATCACGAAAATAAGAAAACGTTTAATCTGAGATTTTATCAATATTTATGAATGCCGAGTTAGTTAACATGATCGAGTAAACGGTGACAAATATATTTTAAAGTGTTAATAAACATCACTAACAAAACTTTGTAAAATGAAAAATAAGGTATTCGAATAAGAAAGAATGTTTTTGATTGTAAAGCAGTCCCTATTCATTTACACTAGGGAGCCATACAGGGCCACGTAATGTAAACAAAAAAACCCATAGTGTAACAATACGGAATACGAAACAAAAATGTTAAAAATAGTCGAAAAGAATATTAAGTTCTAACTATTGCATACACACAGAATAAAATACCGAGTCCACAAAATGCTATAACATTAGTCACCTCAGTATGTTGCATTTGTTAAGATATATTGTTTCTTTCTGCTTTTAAGATTGTGGAGCAGTTGCCGATATCATCTTCAACTTGGATTCCTCCGGTAGTGTTGGAAAAGCCAACTTCGACAAGATGCTTGAGTTTGTAAAAACAATGGTAAAGAACTTCAACGTCGCCAGCGATAAAATTCGTATCGGTCTTTCTATTTTCTCTTCAAGACAGTACAACATCTTCAACTTGAACCGCTACACAAACAAGGCTTCCCTGTTGGCTGCCATCGACAAAGTACCATACAAGTCTGGAGGTACCAACACCGGAACCGCTCTTAAAGAAGTATACAGGTAAGTAATAAGCTGTTTATGTTTTATACACATGCATTGCAGCTGTTTAATGTAGGATAATTGCTACATTACTCTAACGTGTATCTTCGATTCATATTAAGTTGAACGCTTAAAAATATCAAATATCTTAAACGGATTTTTTAAATAGATTGCTAGAATTGTCATAAATGCAAATGCCTTTTTCGAAAAGCAATTTTTGCTGATTTTTGCCCTTCCGGAACACATGATCTTATTCTCATTGTACTTATTCAAGTGTCTTCTTGTTAATCGTTTCTCTGTTCAGAGTATCTTTTTTTTTTTTTTTGACACTTCGGTATTCACTTGTTTTTGTTTTTGCTTTGTTTGCTTTACTGATCGTAGATAGATGATTTATTTATGGCTATTTATTATTAGATTATTCATGTTGTCTTTTGACAACACTAAAAGAGTAATAAAATATTATATGACTTTTGCGATTCTACATGTGTAATATACTAAATGCATAAGAGAAATGGTTCAAACGTTCGTCAAAAAGACCAATCATAATACTCGCTAGTCTTTTCTAGTCTTTATTTCACCAGCCAATAAGTGTGTATATATTATCTTTATTTACCTACAGTAAGATGTTCACCCAACCAAATGGTGACCGTCCAGGTATTCCAAACATTGAAATCGTCATCACCGATGGCCGTTCAAACAACCATCCCGATACCGTCAAAGAAGCCGCAAACACTCAGCACAAGGGCATCAGCGTCTTCGCCGTCGGTGTGGGAGCGGGAGTCAGCAAATCTGAACTTAACGACATCGCTTCCGACCCCGACAGTGCGCATGTCATGACTGTCACAGATTTCAGTAAACTTAGTCAGATTCAGTCTGCCTTCCAGAGCAAGGCCTGTGCAGGTAAGTCCGAATAATGATTAACCGGAAGTAACTCTTCTATTTGAACTACCATACGGCTACCATATTTGACTTAATACATACAGATAAACAGATGCATCACTGTCAGTAGCTATTGACAAAAATAAAATGTATATCTTATACAGAGAGATAATCGATCAGAAGTTTAGTTTAATATATCAGCGTAGATTTTATTTTTTTCAACCTTTTTCTAATAATGCATCATTTATTTTTGCTTTATTTCAGTCATACCACCTACAGCACCAGCCTATATTCCAACTGGTATGTGTTATTAATAAACAAAACAAAAACGTTTTCATAAAAGCTTAACAGCCTTCATCTATGAGGTTGCATATGTCTTTAGTAGCAATGTATATATGATATTGCTCAATACATATAAGTAATTCTATAAAACACACGCATTACATAACTTAGCCGCAGGAAACTGTACACGTACTTATCGCTAATAAAACATTATTTATTTGTTGTTTTTGTGTATATTATCACAAACATCATACATAAGATAACGATTGCTATGTTGTTTTGATTTTAAACTCGAGGTGTTAATTTATAAAGCATATAGAAGCGTTTATGAGATAAAGGTAGGACATGGTACGAGCATTGTTCGTTCCTATCTAAATCCTAGTTCGAAATTTGTAGAAACAGTTCTGTTAACCATATGGTACGACCATTGTTCGTTACCATCTAAATACTTATTCGAATTTCGTAGAAACAGTTTTGTTAACCACATGGTACGATCATTGTTCGTTACCATCTAAATACTAATTCGAATTTTGTAGAAACAGTTCTATTAACCACATGGTACGATCAATGTTTGTTCCAATCTAAATCCTAGTTCGAAATTTGTAGAAACAGTTCTGTTAACCACATGGTACGATCAATGTTTGTTCCAATCTCAATCCTAATTCGAAATTTGTAGAAACAGTTCTGTTAACCACATGGTACGATCAATGTTTGTTCCAATCTAAATCCTAGTTCGAAATTTGTAGAAACAGTTCTGTTAACCATATGGTACGACCATTGTTCGTTACCATCTAAATACTAATTCGAATTTTGTAGAAACATTTCTGTTAACCACATGGTACGATCATTGTTCGTTACCATCTAAATACTAATTCGATTTTTGTAGAAACAGATTTTTTAACCATTGTAAAACGTTTCAGCAGTCGGTTTGTACTGTATGCACTGAATGATTTGATAGACCCTAACACGATATTAAACGTCTTTACAGAGAAAAATGATTTAAATATATTATTCACCAATATTTCTGAAGCCTGAATATGTTTTTGTCTGTGTTATGTTATCGACATAATTCCATATGGTCTTAAAAATGATATATTTTACAATGTACCTTTTAAATGATAAAAAAGAACAATTTGAAGTAAAGAACTTGTATTCATGTGTAGTTTAGTCATAGTCTAAGATATAGTCATAGATTCACAGGTACAAATATCAGCATGTGCACAGGACATTTTTATCATGTTGGTTTGCATCATTTTAAAATATTCCTCTATGTGGTTTTACTAGCCTTGGGTATGAAATATACTGTTGTAGATGTGTTCTATTTCTAAATATCATGTAAATTGCAAGTCAAGTAAAAAAAGACAAATAAATAAGTAAATACTAGTACAGATATAGGGAAAAGTTGTTTTCTGTAGTTGGGTTCACCTTCGAAGTATATATCTATACTGTAATGAAGGTAAATATAAGGTAAATATAAAACAATGCTTTTGATTTGGTGCGGACAAGGTAAGACAAGAAACACAAATACGCCAACAACAACAAAATTTAGCCTAGGTCACATATTTAATTCCGGACTTCTTATCCCGTAGCCGTGCCGACACTATCTCCCCCTCTGGACCCCTGTATGGATCAATTGGCAAACTGTAAGACATACGGACAGCGCTCCTGCTCTGGGCAATACACACAGTGGGCCCAGACCAACTGCGCACGTTATTGTGGATTCTGTGCAAGTAAGTAATTTAAGTCTACTTTCATTATAAAAGTTAATCGCGTTCAGTCCATTTCCACTACGATAGATTATTACTACTGTGTGTACCGTCTTTGTTTCACAATTGTAGATATTTACAATTTGTCCTCAGTCTACTACCTATGTAAAAGATTACTTCTTCGCGTACACTCTATTTTCGCTATTGTAGAATTATAGTTCTTCGTGCACAATCTCTTTGGATTGCTGTAGATCTAACCTTTTTTGAGTACAATCTATTTTTACTTCTGTAAATTAATGAACTCTTCGTGCATATGCTATTTACATGACAGTTCATTACTACTACTAGCTCGTGCATAGCCTATTACAAATACTGTAGATTATTACCTGTTCATTTACACTTATAACTTACAAGGGCTTTCTTTACCAGTTTACACCATTTGTATCTATTCATTTATGTAGAAACGTTTATCGTTTAGAGTTTCATTTACAATGTACCTGATATTCGTGCTGAACTCGAATTTAAACCGGAAAAAAACTATAGCAGGAAATTGAACAGTTTTACAGTAAAATATACAAATCTGATAATTGTTAATATCAATATGAATTTAATTCACCTTTTCTTATATGCGTGTGTCCTTTGCAGCTTCTGTACCAACCATCCCTCCAGACTGTGTTGACAAGCTGGCTAACTGCAAAGAGTATGACGCCACTGTGTGCTCAACATACGGCCCATGGGCAACTGACAACTGCAGACAGTTCTGCGGATTCTGTCGTACGTACGCTTAAGGATCCATCAGCCGATGTGATGTTGATGTTATGTTGCTACTGTTTTTGTTGTTGCTGTAAAAAATCATTTTCAAAAATGAAATACTGTGAAATCACTTGTTTCTGTGAGGATTTTAATTTCGATGGTTTCTAAGGTAATCTTCATCCACGAATGCATAGGTCTACGAAGTTATTACAAGTTTGACTCAAAGCTATTATCCGAATGGGTGGGTACTCGTGACCCACGAATTGATATACCCTCCAAATGGGGATATTCTGGGAAACCATGAAATTTGGGCACAACGAAAATATATGATTTCACTGTAACAGTCAAACGTTAATTCTTCTTGTCTTTGTCAGTTGTTACATTGTTTTATATTCGAAACAAATTCTTAAAAAGATTCCTACAACATTTTTTCCCTTCAATTCAATATATCAATAAAGCAGAATTTGCTAACGAATTAGTCTTTTTTTTTAATAGAAAATATTTGTTTAAGTAACTCGTTTGAAAATGTTTCATCATTTACAGAGTTCAACGCTAAAGGTGTCAATGGATATTGTAAGTATGATACTGATTCTATGTTGTTATGCTCAGTTAAAAGAGTCGGTTAAAATGGTTTTCTCAACATCAGTTTTAGATTATTATATGAAAATAAAAATGTATTTATTTATTTATGTATATTTTCTATTGTATTTTTTTCGATTTACTCGTTAATTTAATGGTCTTAATAAAAACAGGTTATTATTTTGTAAAATGATTATATCAGTATAAATATATTGCATTTAATTTTGTAAACGTTGTAATTGACGTTCTGTTGTTTGCACTGTTGTTGATGTTTGTACAATATCTTTGGTGTTTAGACGGTCGTTGCTCCTATGGAGGCAAAACATATGGACAGGGAGAGAGCTGGTCTGATGGATGTGCCTACGACTGTACTTGTGACGATGCATCCAAAGGACATTATAGTTGCTACAACAAGTAAGCGTATAGTTTGCATACATAAGACTTTGCATGTTATACGTCCCATTCAAGAAACATAACACAAGTTTCAAATATGCCAAATCCATTAAAATAACTCGGATACAGGTGTCATAATGTAACGACAGTGCGATCCAATATGGGCACTGGATCTGAACAAACAAATGTTCGTAGGATGCGCATTGCTTTAAATAGCTATAGAAGCAAAGAAGTGATAACGACAGTTTTCAAGGCAATCCGCCCTTCTAAAGACACTTCATAATTAAACAACTAATTAACTTTAACTCACGTTTTCAAGATGAATTTCATGCTGAAATAGGCTTTGTGCTACAAACTAGCCAAAGTGATATGCGATATCATTAGCATATTACATCAATATTACATAAGTGTTTTGTTTATGTTTATTATGTTGTAGTATTGTTTCATAATGATTAATAATGACTGTTTGCCTCTTTGTGATATGTTGTGATATGTAATTGTTCATATTTCTGTCTTGAGAAAGGGCCAGAGTGCCTCGACAATTTGACAAGTTCCTTTGTATGCACTGTAAATATTACTTCTACTTATATATATAAGTTTAATTAAAAACAAGGCGTTGCACTATCCACCTGAAAATCTAAAACAGTGCACACTGTAACGCCTTCTTTTGTTAATTAACTGAATCATTTCTGAAATAAAAGCCATGCGGGACGTTTGTGAGAAATATAAGATATGAAATAAGCAAATTAAAAAACACAGTATTCCGAGTGTAGAAATTCAATAGGGCTACACTGGGATTCGTACAATAGGTCAAATATTCAGATTGTTACACTATCTCTGTAGCCGATTGTGCTAAGTTTTCAACGGAAGTGTCCTTTCCAGCCTGTGCTACAATTATATCCAAACGGAAGTTAATGGGAGGTTACTGTGTTTAGGAAAGAACCAATATGCAGGTGGACATGAGTCCTTAAATTTAATCATCTTGTTTTATCATAGGTGTCCATCTTACTACAATCTGCCACCCCAGTGTACTCTTACCCAGAAGAAGGGTCAGTGCTGTCTTGAGCCAGTCTGCAATTTTAACCCTACCTACCAAACCACGACTGGACAGACTGTTGGAAACGTCAACGGAATTAGTGAGTAATTGCCCCTTTATACACTTTACAATGAGAACCGGTTTATTTAGAAAAAAATATATGTTTAGTTTTTCAATTTTGTTCAAAATGACTTTTTTACACGGTTATCAAAATAGTAAAGAAAAAAGAAATGGAAAAGGAACTTTTTTGCAGTTAAGGAAGAAGTAAAATTGTTTCTGTTCAGTACCTGAAATATTTTATTCAACAAATGCAGTTTATTCGCTTAAGCAATAATAGCTACGCAAATATATAATATATTGCACAATTTCTTCCTACAAAACAAAAATGTATTTTTCCGATTATTCACAAAAATATTCAATCATACAATGTACTATAGGGAAAAGTGATTGGTGTCTTTTTCTTTTATTTCCACTAAATAGTGTAACTGGATGTATTCATTCCTATATTGCTTACATTATAAATGATATAAAACAGTTTTAAAATAGTATTTTAAGCATAAAGTATGACTTCATCGTGCACTACTTCTATTGAATAAATTTCAACATGTTTATGTAGAAATCGTATTAAAATCCATCTTCTAGGTATAAACGACATTCTACTTTTCCGAGATAAAAAATCAGTAATATTGTCATAGGCCCAACTAATCGTGAATATTCGTCACATTAAGTTTAAACAACCATTGAAGAAGAAAACGACATGTTGATAAGCAATAATAATTCGAGATGACCATTATCAAGTATATTATGTCCGAGAAGGAAATGAAGAAAACCCATACTATTCCTGATACTTAATTTATAATAACAAAATTAATATATTGTGACCTGTTTTGTTACAGATACCTGTAAGTACAATGGACACGATTACTACCAAGGTCAGACATGGAATGTTGGCTGTGACCTCAACTGCCAGTGTGTAGATGCCGGAGCCGGTATGTACAGTTGTCAATCAAGGTGAGTCTTAATAGAGGTCCAAGAAAAGCTTGCATCCAATTTGTGACCTATTTTCCAAACAAATGCACACTTATACGCGTTTGAAGTTATTAAAACGTAGAATACAATGGGGAAAAAAAGCACAAACAATGCTCCTTCTTTTGCCATTAATTTGTGACGTCAATGTTTAATTCCTCATGACGTCACAATTAGGGATATAAGATACCGAAAGTTTATGTAATTTTAACCCTGCTCAACAAACTACTTCATAGCAGATCGAATGTGTGATAAACATGAAATCTGTAATTACTTTTTATTTTAATGTAACATTTAATTGAAGACCTTTCTTTAACTTGAACAAGAGTTAATGCGCGAATATTGCGAACACACTTTTCATTGCATTTTAAATCTAAATATCTACCATCTTTGCTTTATATTTTTATCGTCTCCAAGTGACATCATAATTTATCATTTATCATTGGATGACATCACAATGGGCCATATTACACGAATAAATATGCTAAAATATGAGAGGTCCATTCTTTTATTTAATTATTTAAAAACATGCTACCTTACTTATTAAACATTCGATAAAATTTCATAAAAACATATTTCTTTGATCGACATCTTAATAAGTGTTTTGTAAAATCAAAATCAGAATAACAATAACAGTAATTTATTTCTTGTTTAGTTTCAAAAATTAAAAGTGGAAAATTTCGGGTTGTTAGAATATTCCCCTTTTGCTTTTTTGCGTTGAGAAAAGTAGCGAAATATCCACACGCAAGTATTTATAGATTATCTAGATAATTTTGTCTAATTTTGCGCTGACAATGGTTATGAAACGCAAAAATTTCCACACAGCAAACAGTTCAAAGTGAAACAACGCAAACATTTTCACAGGGCAAAAAATGTCCAATTTTAAAGTATTTTAAAGCGATTTTATTGCAAAACTCTTCAATAGTACAGATTTTGTTTTAATCTGCTATTTAACTTTAATTTATTCGTTTTAAGCCTCACACACTGCACTTAAGCAAATGAGTTTACACAAAATGATATCATAGAGACTCAAAACAACGTATTTTCCGAAATGTGAACAAATCTAATTAACATACATTGTCTCAGGTTAATCATTAGTTCGGAACTCTATCATCACACTTGTCACACGAAATATTATTATTTACTATTATCCCTTAATTCATTTTATCAAAGTAGATATGTATATATTATGAACGTTTTATTTGATCGGGTTGAATAACGTTGTATTCACTAAATACCCTTATTTGCTCGAGAATATTTCAGTTGGATTTATTTTCAATAGCTTACATTTTTAAGCTACAGTAAAACCTCGTTATACTGTCATCATTTGTCCATATCGATTTTGGCGTTATTAGAGGGTTTGGCGAAGAATCAAGGGGAATGAATAAATGTTGTTTTTAGAAAACAGAGAAAAAGGGACATTGATAAACGTTGGCAGTAACGGATCTGGTAAATGAACGAGGGACATTATATTGAGGATTTTTTTTTGCATATCAATGTATGAAGTATTTCACAATTTTGTGTCTTTTAAACAGATGTCCAACATACAAGGATCTACCATCAATGTGCCACCTCCACAAGCAGCCAGGCAAGTGCTGCCAAGAACCAGTATGTGATTACAATCAACAGTACGGCACATTCACCGGAACAGGAGCCATCAGTGGACAGGGAGTTGGTAAGTAAAGTCGGGCAAAGGTTATTTTCGAATTTATCTATTTTTTTCTAAACTAGATATTTCAAGTCAAACTGATCGAAAATACTGACATCAAATAAGCATTTATTGATATTATGAGAATTTAAATAAGAAATAATAGGAATTTACAGTTGAACACTGATTAATAACTGTATGTTTTTTCATTCTAAATAAATGATTTTAATTTAAAGGAGCCACACCCACAGCTGCACCCCAGTGCGTCGACGTGGCAACCAATTGCGCTCTCTACCAAGCTAACATGTGTACTGACGCGGGCTTTCACGCATTTGCAAAAGCAAACTGTGCCAAGTTCTGCAACCTCTGTAGTAAGTTTGAAGTTCTGGTTTATCTATCAGTAGTATATATATGCATTCATATTGCACTCCAAAAACTATTTTCATAATGGCATCGCAATATGAATACATTTCTTTACTAAAAGTTAACAAGATGTATTTACAATTCACTTATTACTGTTTATTTCGTTATTCATGAATCCTGTTTCGTTCCTTCAAAAATGCCAATTTTTCTGGGTTGATATTAATTTGCAAACTATGCAAAGGGGTTGTTGTGAAACATTTACATTATTTAGCAGGTATCACATGCTTCAATAATATAACAAAGGTGGTTTTCTAATTTTTATACATCCATCTATCCTTTTACAAGTGTATTCATCGCCCAATTTCTCTTGATTTGTTTTGTGTTTAACATTTGTAGTTTCCTGCACATACTTTGATATTGAAATATTATTAATAACAACATCTTTACATTTTCAGGTGAGCTTAGTGCACCATCCCCAACTGGTGAGTGTTATTTTTAAACTTATAGATTATACATAAATTTCAGTTTTATCTTATAGTTGTGCACCTTAGGGATCCATGTACCACTGGCGGCAACTGTAACTATATGCATTAGATATTTTTTTCCGGCATAACTTAAGCTTTGGAAAATTCGTTTCTTAAATGAAAAGCATACCTTTCGGAACTTTAATGAAATAAAAAGGGTACTTTTTTTTTAGGTCAAAGACAATGTTCTGAGGATTGATTTTCTGGGAAAATCGAGCTACAGTTGTATCAAAATCAAAATTAAGTGGATGAAACTGTTTATACGAAAGAATACAGTTGACTTCTCTGGTGTTTTATCTGCATTTGGACAGGGATCCCAAAGCAAAATTCGTTGCTTCTCCATTTAGCTTCGATTACTTCCTCTGGATTTAGTGTAACTTATTTTCAACTGCCTGTTATTAGGATAAATGATAATCCTTCAGATTTTCACATATTGAATACTAAAAATACATCTACTTTGTTGTCGCAAAGCTACCCAGCGTGTTTTTGTTATCAAGATTTAAATATTTATCATTTTGATACATTTAAACAGTTATGTATTTTTTTAAAAGATTTGATTATTCCATTTATGAAATTATTTAAATATATCGATATTATGAACATTTCTGGATAGAAATCAGGGCAATTATAACATTTATTTTTCCTCTTAAGTTCGGTTATTTCAGGGTTATTTAATAGGGTTTAACGTCTAATTTTAAGTAAGAATTGTGCAGACAAATCCAAGGAAACAAAAAGTAGTATAAATCTCCAGAACTTTGCTACAAATCGATATATCAACATGTTAATTTGTTTCAAGAAGAGGTTGTATAAATATAGACTGCATTATGTCTCGCTTCAGATCGATGTATATTCAAGGGGGTAGCATACCAACAGGGCCAGACCTGGTTCGACGGCTGCGACTTCGAATGTATGTGTGAGAACGCCAAGTACGGTTACTACAGATGCAACAAACGGTGAGTCCTTTCAACTCATTCTACGTCTGACATTCTGCTACCACTAGTCCTCCACCACTGGGTTGCGGGTTCGAGACTCACGTGGGGCAGTCTCCAGGTACTGGTCGCAGGTCGGTGGTTTTCCCCGGGTACTCCGGCTTTCCTCTACCACCAAAACCTGGCACGTCCTAAAATGACCACAGCTGTTCAGACAAACATACAATTCATGCTTGACATACTTAATGATCCCCGTACTAGAACGAAAAACTGTCCCAACGCATAAGAAACTGTTATTTTCAGCGTAACTACATCTTTGAGAAATTATTTGTTCAAAGAAAATCATTCTTTGCGTGACTTTTATGAAAAAAAACAATAAAAGTGAAAAAAATAAACAATGTACTATCAACAACAGTGTTCTGAGTGTAACAAAACAGCGAGGCTCAACCAGGATTCAAATTCAGGATTGGCATATTGTCTCTCTGCCATTGTGAGGTACTTTGTCAGCAGAAGTGTCCTGGTACTCCTGTGGCGCAGTTATATCCCAAACGAAGTTAAGGGGAGGTTACTGTATATACGGAAAACAAAAGTGTAGTGGGACAGTTTTGCATATACTTATTTTTGCTATTATACAGGAAGCAATTTCCCCTCATTGATAGTTTACAAGATGTTCTTGATAATGATATATTCGATATTGGCATTAATCGCGAAGTAAACCGCGTACTTACGTTTTATGAAATGTAAATTGGGAACAATTATACAATTGCGCGCAACAACGTGTGATTTGAAAAGAAATTGCCCTTTTTCTAATGAAGATAAGTGATATCCAAAAAAGAGCCATTGTTTCAACAATATAGAAAAAGGGTTTTTAAGGCCAAAAAGAATTGAAGTGTAGAAGCGAAGAAAACAAGAAATGATAAAATCCTTTACCTTAAATTACTTAAATATAATCTTGCAGTTGCCCTGACTTTGTCAATCTGCCTCTTGGATGTCATATGGTCAAGAAAGCCGGAGAATGTTGTTCCAAAATCCAGTGTGACGGAGGCCAGGGAGGCAGTTTCATCGGATCTTCGACTGTACCTAATGTAGTAGGTAGCTACCCAGTACCAAACATTGCCCCAACCCTCGCTCCCCAGCCCGGTTCTGGCGGTGTTCCCGTCCCCGGCGGTGCAACGCCTCTTCCTGGACAAACCTTGGCACCAAACCCTAATGGCGGAGGAGGAACCCCAGGACTGGTTCCAAGTTTGGTACCAAAACAAATCGGTAAGAACTACTTATCTCTAAATTTCTCTAATGTAGTTATAGATAAGAGTGGGTTACATTGGCTTTGATATCTTTTATGCGAAAAAAATATGGTTTACAAAAAGACTATTGGGATATCGAACGAGCAATTTCCGGCACCAAATCGCTTAGCTTGGAAGTTTCTGCAGCTCTGATCATAAATAACACCATCGCGATCTCCTTATGAAATGGAGCTTTGATACAGCAATGATACTTTAATCAATATGATAATCTGTCTATCTCTAGGCGGCACTGGCATTTTTCTGACTTCTTCACTAATAGTATTGCATATATGTTTAGTACAATTTAAAGGAATAAATATGTAAAAGCAACTTGATATCCTTCAGAAAACCGAACTATACTAAATTTGTGCCATACATAGTTAATATAAACCGCTAATCATCAAGTTTCATACAGGTCATACTGTTGTGTGAATTTTAAAGTAGTTTACAATTCTGTTCAAATACATCAATTTAAGAAATACGAACTATTCTATCATTATACTCAGTTTTTTTGCAAGACCTAAAAGTTTTTGGTAAATGTAGGCATAAATCACAAATTCTGCCCCCGTTATACAAGAATGACAAGCCTCTAACATTTTGAGCGTCAAAGGCCATTTTAGGAGGTCACATACCCGCATGTGGAGGTAAACTAAATTCCTGATTCTGTCATCGAAAACAACATTGTAAATGATGCAAGTGATGGTATTATTGCAGATCATATCAACATGAGAATAAGCGAATACATGTTTGCATTTTTTTCTCCAGATGGTTGTTATGTGAACGGAACACTTTACCAGCAAGGTCTGAGGTGGCAGGACGGATGCGACTTCACCTGCGTTTGTGATGATGGTAAAACCGGACGATTCCGATGCCAACCCAAGTAAGAGAAGCGCATTTTTCTATTGAAAATTTCATAAAATTCCATAATGTTCTTAAATATTATAGTTTTGAATTTCAAAGGCGATTCCTTATTTTTTGGCATGCGAATATCTGAAAAGAATTCTAGACTTTTCGGTACCAGGTCGTTTCAGTAATTAAAAACAAAGATGTTTCGGTTCTTGTTTTGTAAAGACGAAAACTTTTGAAGAATGTCTTAAAATAAAAATCAGCAACACACAAGACGCGAATAGGAAACAACGTACAAAATTTCAAACTGAAGTCAAGTGCCAAACATCTCATAAAATGTCGGAGATACCTTTGAAGAAACACAGGCACGTCTTGTACAAGTACCAAAACGTCTCGATGCCAAAATTACTGAGTGCAAAAGCGCCTGTATCCAAATTAACTAATATGTTTTGTATTAACCAGATTGACATGACTTTAAAATATGTTAAAATGATATATTCAATTATTTTATTTTTATTATTTTGCCCATTGTGTGAGTCCTGCAGAGGAACTAATAGCTACTCGATTGCAGTAAATTAAAACTCTCATGTCCAAATACAATTGAAGTGTTTTTCTATAAGCCTGTAACTGTATACGTCATGCAACTCTCTTGAAAATGCAAATATATTTGAATACTATTTACCCTGTGTTTAGGTGTCCAGATTTCAAGAACCTTCCTGCTCAATGTACGTTAATGGAAGACCCGACTGATCCCTGCTGTAAGGTGCCATCCTGTCCCGCTGGGTCCAACGCTCAGATTCCCGTACCATCCTATGGCCCAGGTTTCTCTGGTTACGGACAGGCCCAGCTACCACCACAGATTGCCACAGGAGGTTACGGCCCCGGACCGTCCAGCAATGGAACATCTGGCGGGCCGTCCTCCTTCACCGGCAGTAACCCTGGACCTACAGTTTCCGGAAGCAGAAGTACGAAACACGAATCACATTGTGTATCGTATTCTGATGATAAGCGCATGATATTTTGTGCATGATTTTAGAAAGTATGAAACAAATGACGTAGATCAAACTGGGATCAAATAAATTTTGAAATTAATTTAAAAAAAAAATATATATATATTCTTAGTAAATGACTTAAATCTGTGTCGTTTCCAACTTTTCGATACAAATTCTCTGTGTGCTTGGTTGATTCTGACAAATTTCGGGGAACAAGAACTCGTGTATTCCTCACACGAAGTCGATATTATATTGATATATGTATATTGTAGATGGTTGCGTGTACAAGGGCCAGGTCCATCAACAGGGCCAGAGCTGGGACGACGGATGCGACTTCCGGTGCACATGCATGGATGCCGTGCAAGGAAAATACAGATGTCTTGATAGGTAAAAACTTAAGATACATTGTCTGATATCTCTCTCGATTCCCTATCTGTCTCCCCTTCGGCATGTTTTTTTCAGTGAGATAGCACTGTAAAGTCGGCGTCAGATCCGCGCTATCACAAGGAGGCAAATACACCAACATACCCTGCCTCCAGCATACTTACACATAAGCACGTATACACAACACACATGGAGACACGTCCTTAAATGACCTTAGCCGTTGATGGAACATTAAACCTTATACAACCAAACCAAAACAAATCCTTACTCTCACCCACACACCCATCGGTATTGAAGCGAAATTTGATGTGCAACACGTAAAATAAATAAAAAGGGGAAAAAAAATAAAAAAAAATACATACCACATAAAACTTAAACAGTCTTAAATTAATATCAATGAAAATTGGGTGTCTCTCTTTGAAATGTGAGGATAAGGCCAGGGTATTTTATATTTGAATAAACAAATTGGTTATATTGTATGATGCAAATGATATGAAAACAACACTTTCTGACATAATAACAAGTACTGATTTAGGACCAACTTTCTTCTATTCCCAGATAATATTATTTGGTTTGAGTTTCAGCTGTGTTATGCAGTGTACTTTATTTTTGGATTGGTGCAACCAGCTGTTTGTAACGTACATCTTCAAAGATACAAAGTGGTAGACTCTACTTGTGGTTTCGTTAGTTATCGAGGTTTGCTGTAGCCTCGGTGGCCACAATTAGCTCTTATGATTAGTGTCATGGTTCAAAATATACAAATTATTCAATTTGAAATTTGCCAGTACTCTTAATTTTAAAATTCATAACCAAGAGATTGATTATGAACCTTTCGGAACCTAGTATCACCGATGAGTGTATGGATGACGAAACATCCGAATGATGCAGTGTGTTTCATTTTTGACATACTGCATCTTTACTGCAATCTACTTTAAAGATACAATCACCTATGAGTGAGGTACGTTCATCTTAGACCACGTGATGTCAGAACAGTTCTTCTTATTTGTATGACTTTTTACAGGTGCCAATTGTACCAGAACATTCCAATTACGTGTACAATGGTACAAGATCCCAAAGACCATTGCTGCAAGATCCCGCAATGCAGTGGAGCAGCAGCTACCACCCCAGCACCCTTCTATGCACGCACAACGCCACCTACCGGCGGAGGTATGCATTAAGTGCAGATACCTATTTATTATTAAAAACCGTGCGTTTTTCCTGTTGTATTTTGCACCTTGTGGTTTTCCATCGGAGTATCAGTTTGGCAAAGCGGTTGCCAACCAGTCTTTATTTTAAGCATCATTTTATCCCGTTCTTTGAGTAACTGTTTCATTTTAAGAAAACATATTTGGTTATTTGAGAAACAAAAATTCCATGTTCATGTGGATTTTGATGCCCTGTTGGTTCTAGAAAAGAATAGTTGTGCTTCATCCCATTGAATGATATCATAAGAGGCGACTAATGTGGGCCGTTGCAGATCTGTGCGTTCTGCTTAGGGGACCTTAGAAAATATTGATTTGCTGTCCCATTACAACATCTGACATCTACATCTTTTCTCAAGTGCCTTTTCTTTCAATTAGGCGGTACCTCTCTTTACAGCCTGTCAGTACGAGCGAGCACGTTTAACCATTTACATAAAAAAATCATATTTGTGAAATAAAATAAGATAATAAAATATCGACGTCATATTATGAAAAGTTAAAGCAACAACTTTAATAGCAATTATCCTTTTAGAAGACTTATCTTACATAACGTCTTCTCAAGATTGACATTGAATGCAAGAAAATGTTAATAATTGTAGGTTTGACCAGGGCAATTACAGAAAGATAATTTATTTGTATAATATGCTATATCATTGATTATTGCAGACTACTGTGTATATAAGGGATCGTATTACCACCAGGGCGAGGAATGGAATGATGGATGTAGCTACAAGTGCCGATGTGAGGATGCTAAGAACCACTACCACCAATGTACTGATAGGTAGGAACCACCAATAAACCCACATAAATTATGATCACACTAACTTTACAGGTAAAAATCATTACGCAAGTTTTCTTTAAGTTGTACGCATTAGGGTAAGCTGAAAATTATAAAGTTCGTGTGGAAAAGTATTCTGTATAATCACCATCCTCTGATGGATAGTAACTTTTTAACATTTAAAATGTTGAACTTTAAGATATAGTCCGTTAAGATGAACAGTTCTGAAGAAAAATGAGTGAAGAAACAAAAATAGAAATACAAAAAAATACAACCGATAACTTGTGATTATTGTTAAACAAAGTTTGTATATCATTATGTCCAACATGATATTTCTTTGTTATTATTGCATGACCAACCATTAGAATGGATATAGAAACAGCCCGATACGGCTTAGTCCGAATTATTCTGACGTTTTATCGACTTTTTTTATATCGGTCTGTCGTCGATTAACGTCAGAACTCCGGCCCTCTATAATATGCGGGAAATAAGCGACTCACGCCTGGGTCGCTCTTCAAACTGATATTTTAGAAACAAATCGTCACTTTTACACACACGTCGCACATGGATCGAAAGATCTATTCTTTATGCACTAGGTGGTATCAATAACATGTTTCAAAGATCATTACGAACAGTATTTTCCAACGTTTTCTACACCAACCCATGTTTTTAATGGAAATTAGGGTATGAGCAATGTCACATGACTTGACAAGATCTCGCGTTACCGAAGGAATTTCCCAACGTTATGAAGTAGGCCGTCAAGATTTTAGTCACGTGGCGTTAGAAGGCGGGGCTATCAAAAACGTAAAGTAAAACAGAGCAAGTTTGAAAAAAATATGTTTTTAGTGATTGTAATGGTTGTTTGAGGCATGTAATTTATGTTCATCTTGTGCATAAAGAATCGCTTATATCCCGCATATTATATAGGGCCGGAGTTCTGACGTTAATATAAAAAAAAGTCGATAAAACGTCAGAATAATTCGGAGTAGATACGGCTATGACATCACTTTATATAAGCGTATAAATACATATCTATGGTCTTGAGGTAAAGAGTATTATTGGTTTAGGATTTAGTAGGTATTACTATTATTACTATTATGTATGTATAAATTATTTAAGAAAAAACAACAAAAACATAAGGATGTATATAGATGGACAAGTTTACATTCCCATCTCTTGTTACGATAGGTGTGGACGTTACGACAACGTTCCTCTAGGCTGTACTTACCAGCCTGATACTAAAGACCCACAATGCTGTCGTGTGCCAGTATGCAACATCGCCGGAACCCAGGGAGGTATTTCCGGAGGATCAGGAACCGCTCCAACAGGATTCACGGGATCTTTTACCGGTTATGGCAAACCGCAAGGCAGTAACCCCAACAATACTGTCACTGGTTATACACGTACGTATGCTAGTTCATACATTTCTACTTTATCTTCACACGTATGTATGCTAGTTCATATAGATCTACTTTCATTTTCAAAATATTTGACACTGTAATTGAACTTTTGTATTTGTATTTGTATACAATTCTTATTTTTCATTTCACTTATTCCAGTCTCCAAGATTGATATTTTAACGTCTAATCGTGAAAATAAATGTTCGTGAAATTTTCAGGACTTATGTAAAAAAACATATGTTTACTTACAGGTGCATGTATCTACAAGGGTCAGATTCACCAACAAGGTGAGACCTGGCACGATGGATGTAACTACGATTGCGAGTGTACCGACGCTACAAAGGGCATGTACAGATGTACAGACAGGTAAGATTAAGACAGGTAGATATTCGTATTCAAACAACTCGCCGGCTTTATTTTGGTTTCTATCTGTAACTTTGATACACGTCCGAATATACTGTTAACACCCCAAACTGGACACCAGACTCTAAAAGATCCGATCCCTCACCACTGCCTAAAACTGTTACTAGGTATTGGAATGTTTTCGGCATGCCTAAAGCTTAATAAATCATTTCTTAACAGAAAACAATACCTCACGGGATTATAATTAAAAAGTAAAAACAAAATGAAATATTTTAAATAATATCAATACATGTAACCGTGTTCTGAATTGGAAACAAAAGTTCAGCGGTGCTTGACCTGTATTTAAACCAAGGATCTCAGATTGTTATACTCGCTCTCTCTTTCCGCTCTCTCAGCTTTCAGGTCAAGCTAAGGTCCTGCCCAACTGCGCTAGACTTAAATTAAAACGAAATTAAGAGGCGATTACTGTTTATATTCGAAATACAAGAGTGCACGGGACAGGGATCCCTTTACTGTTTAAGAAGGATCCACCCTTTCGCAATTAGCCAGCAGAATTCAATGAAAGTTTCACATAACGGTTATGTCAATATGTAGAGATAATTTTATAAAAATCTAAGTATTCCGATAAACTGGGGATTTTTTGGTAAATACTACCGAAAAATTGATTTTTTGTCAAATTCAACACTTTTTCATTTTTTGATTGTATGGCATTGTTCAAAACCATTACAACAATAGAATAATGAAAAGAAACATTGCTAATCAGCCTTACAAATATTTTATTTATCATAAAATATCTACAACATGTTATAAAAAGCGTTTTATTTTTAAATTGTATGGATAAAAGTTACCAAATACAAGCTAAAAGCAAACAGGACACATAGTTTCATACAAAATGAGTGAAAAATTGACCCAAATACGCACAAAGTCTTTATAATTAATTTATTTTACATTTTACAATAATTTGATCCTGATGAGAGTTGTCTACCTTGAAAAAAATCGGAACTTTTTTGCAGAGGGATAGAATTTTACAATGACACTCATTTTCTTTACTAGACCAAAAACGACGGAACTAAATTAAATTACTATATACTATACTATATACTACTGTTCTTTTATGGAACAAAATTACTCTCAGTCATGTACACTTTGGACATCATTTCATAGCCCGCTTACGCATTGTATATTTACATGTCAGGTACATAGGTAACCTTTAAGGCTGGTATCGCATGGTATGCCGTTATCACGTGCACGCACATGCACTTGCAATTTATAGGGATCTTGATATTTTACAAACCACTATTTTTACAGAGTTATTGTAATTGCATTTGTGAAACAATTTATCTGACAGAGCGTAACTCGCTCGACAACAAAAGTCGTAGCGACCAAGAGCTCGTGAACTACTGTTAGCACGTGATACGTACAGGTGAGGTCGGTAAACAAAACACATCAGTCTGCATTCAATGCGCCTCATATACGACCTTTTTGAAGTCGTCTGATATTCTGTCTGTGTCTTCCCGTGAGTTAATTAATGTCTTTGTATCATAAGCTTTATTTCTGAAGTACGTTTGATTACACATTTCCAAGATAAGTTTCGATATTGATATCGGGTGTTGACATATCATCGTCACGCACGTGTACTATTGCTTACCCGGTGTTACTATAATTTACACTACTGAAATGGAATGCCCGATACGCATAACGGAAATGACGACACGAAAATACGACAAGAAAAACATGTGTATTACGAAGGGTGGGAAGTCCTTAAGGTGTAAATTTTAATTAGTCTACCTTCAATATAGAAAGTGTACATTTGTAGTCTCTGTTTTGGCCATTTAGTTAATATTTAGGGATAGTTCAATATCAGATATCGTTTCTATTTTCAGTTTTGGAAGTAAAATTTTCAAGCAAATATATCAGTTACATATATATGAAACCTAAAAAGACTCTGCATTGATGTACATGAGCGAAACAATGCTAAAAGCAAATCAGGAGAGGTTAATTCTATCTTTTTTAGACATTGAAACGTAATTTATTTAATTTTTCATTTATCTATTTTTAGATGTCCACGATATGGCTCGCTGCCAGCCACGTGCCATTTGACCAATGACCCAAATAATCGCTGTTGCCAAAAGGCTGAGTGTGCCCCGACTGCCACTACTCAATGTAAAGATAACAGAGCAGACTGCGCCTCGTTTGGACAATACTCCTGTCACGCCCCATACGCCGACTGGGCTAGGGACAACTGTGCCAATTACTGTGGATTCTGCAGTGGCAGCAGCGGTAGGATGATGTTGTTTTTTTCACGTTCCGTAGGACAAGCAATATGGACAATAAAGATACAAGGATAAAAATATATATATTGATATACGGCGAAATCAGACAAGCACTTATAGAATAAATATATTAGATACAAAGATACAACTAAAGAAACGCCGATAAAAATATATGCTCACACAACTAGATTAATCAAAACAAGCACTATCAGTAACTTCATTTTGGCGATATATTAATTATTAGAAAGAAAGATGCAGTTTCTGAAAGTTGTTTTGTTTTCCTATAAAAAAAAAATTGGCTTCAAATCAAATTAAACAGTCATTAAAATTTGGCTTAATAAATCACAATTTTCACACAGGCAAATATTTTTTTATGAAAAAAAACCCCCATTAGTAGAAGTTATACCCATGGAAGTAGCTAGATATATATATATATATTGTGTGTCGATGCAAACAAACAAAGTAAACATTTTCATGCACCGAATGGTTATTAAAAAATTTCGTTCATTAAGGTCTTATTTGTGACCAAACGCAAGACTTGGATGAAGTGCAATTTCTTAAGCTGCTGTAGGCCACACTATGGAAAGTTACGTTGTTCATTATGTTAAATGCAATACACTTCTCCATGTAGGTACCCAAGCTCCGAGTGCTGCAACGGTGTGTGAAGACAAAATTCCAAATTGTCAGGATTACGGTACAGATACCTGTACTGGACAGTACACCGGATGGGCTTCTTTCAACTGTCCGAAATTCTGCAACCTCTGTGGTATGTATAGCTACTGTAGTAACTGAAAAACATAAACTCGTGTACAAATCTCATAGAACGCCTATCACATATCTGTACAAATCACATAGAACGCCTATCATAAATATGAACAAATCGCATAGAACGCCTATCATAAATCTGTACAAATCCGAAGAACGCCTATCATAAAACCTGTACAAATCCGAAGAACGCCTATTATAAATTTGGACAAATCATATAGAACGCCAACATGAATCTGTACAAATCAGATTGAACGCCAACATGAATCTGTACAAATCACATAGAACGCCTATCATGAATTTGGACAAATCACATAGAACGACTATCATAAATATGTACAATTCATATGGAACGCCTATCATATATCTGTAAAAAATCTCGTATAACGCCTCTCATAAATCTGTACAAATCTTATACAACGCCTATCATAAATATGGACAAATCTCATATAACGCCTATCATAAATCTGTTAAAATCAAATACAACGCCTATCTTAAATCTGGACAATTCACATAAAACGCCTATCATAAATCTGGACAAATCACAAAGAACGCCTATTATAAATCTATACAAATATGAAGAGCGCCTATCGTAAATCTACACAAATCACAAAGAACGCCTATCATAAATCTGGACAAATCACATAGAACGCCTATCATAAATCTGGACAAATCACATAGAACGCCTATCATAAATCTGGACAAATCAAATACAACGCCTATCGCAAATAATTACAATTCGTTCACATGCCACGCCCATCATTAATATATTCAATTCATAATAATAATTGTTATCGGTTAATGGTATGCTATGCTGATATCATATCCTAACATATCACATAATTTGATACCATTTATGTACATCGTAAGTAATATAGAAGCAAAACACTCTGTATCTCGTTTAAAACTAATCAAAATGTTTTTTGAGCCATACTAAGTCCAATTTTCATGACAAGAATTTCAAGTTTTAAACGATATTGAGTTGTTGAAATCTTCTTCGCATTTACTACGTTTTACTTCATATGTCGGGCGACTCAATTGTTGCAGGAAAATCAAGTATTTAGAACAGTCGACGTATTTTCTTATACATTTGTGCTTCGTCAGTTCCTATAGAAACCCTGGGTTTGTTTTTTGACCTTTTGATCCTGGTTTTGTATCATGACATTATGCCGAACTCTTTCTGCTTTATTATATAAATTTTGTGTTGGTTAACATCTAAAATCCATTTGTTTGCTTCTCAGGTGGAAGTGCAACTCCAAATCCAGTCATCAATCCAACTCCTGGAACAGGTAATATGATGTTCATGTGCACCGGAAAAATCACAACGCGTACAAATATACTTCTTTGTGTTTCTCTTTCTTTTCCTGTAAAACTGATATAATTTCAAGCGAACAAGTTTTCGTCGCATTTAAATTGAAAACAATTGATTTCACACAAATATTGTTGGATGCTGTGTACAGCATTCATAGCGGTCCTCGCCAAGCCTGGGCAAATCAATACCAAACAACAGACGTTCTTCTTCCGCGGAAGATCTTTAAATGCTGTCTTGATTATTTCATGGTATGATTAATATATATAAAATATATAAAAGGATAAAAAAAAAACCATATGAAAACGATCGATAAATCAAAGAAAAAATGTTAAAATTTTACGAAAAGGCGAGTTTTTTCAGTGAGCATCATGAACTATATCAATCTCAGATTACTACAATTTTTGGACCGAATAATTTCTTCACAAAAAAAAAAAAAAAAAAAAAAAAAACCCACTTTATCCCCTTCCGCGAAAGATCATTAGATAATGTCTTCATTATTTCATGATATGATCAATGCTTTAATATGGTAAAATATATCTATATAAGACAAAAAATGTAAAGATGTTTAACAGTGGCGTTTTAAATGAGTGAAAGTTCCGAAATAAATTTGTTTCAAATTACTACGCCTAGTATTCCAATACTCTAAAGTGTGTGTATGAGAGTTTTCTCCCCTTGGCCATCATTGCGTAGTTTCATGCTCGCGACTTGTTCAACGACTGTTTGATAACTGTCCTTGATAAAGTAGGCTTCATGTTTTCTTTTGTCTCCATGGATAGCCTCCAAGTGAAAGAGAATGTTGACTTACGCTAAAGTAGCCGTCAGCAGCTGTGCCTAACGAGTTTATAGATAGCTTCCCAATGCGACAGCAGCTGTGCCTAACGAGTTTGTAGATAGCTTCCAAATGCAGGCTCTAGATAATGGCCCGATTAGTATAGTACAAGTAGCATATTTAACATCAAAAATTAAAACCGTATATACATATTATTCACATTAACCAGAAACTGAATAAATATATAGGTCTTTAACCTTCGTTACAATATCGAGAGAAGGAGAGATACACAAGGGACTTGCATAAGTCCGTGATTACACGCAATGGAAATAATACAATATCTTTTTATTTTTTTTGTATAATTAATCATGATAATAACAAATTGTAATAATAATATCATAATTATTTATTTATATTATCTATATAACATTTTTTTTTTATATTTTATTTAATCTTAAATTTTCCCATAATCTTACGGGACAATTTTGGTTTGCAGGGTTGTCTGGTCAAGGTCACTGTTCCTATTTTTAAAAAGATCATTGTCTGCGCTGTAGCAGCTTCATTCCTTGAAGGATTTCCATCGATTTGAAACACCAATTAAGGACCATAATATCAGACAAGTTTCAAGTTTAGGGCTGTTGGGTCAAGGTCATCGTTACTTATTTTTACACTGCTAATGGTAGCCAGTAAGTGACCTATTTTGTTTTAGCAGTGCTCTGCTTGCTATATATAGTTTTATTGAAAATTATGATTAAGGGATGGGCTATTATGACCCTTACTCAACAACATGTTCTTTATTATTTACTGCCATTCTGTACTGATAAACCACCTCCTTTAATCCATTATTTGAATCCTTCATACACAGCATCCCTGAGTGCCCTTGGCACTTTGATTATAAGCAGAAAAATACTGACGGTTCTGCCTAACTGAATATATCACATGTACAATCGCCATTTTATTTGAAATCCTATTACATCAACCATTTGCTATTAAGCTTACATATAAATACCAAAGACGGTCTCAAAATATTAATTAAAGAAATATTTTGGGCCATAATGTTAAAAAAATCTTCAAAGACCGTGAGACAGCACCCCATACCCCTCAACCTCACCAGACTAACATCAGACTTGCAAAGTATTTACTCTGATATAATTCATATCTTAACGGAACATTTAAGCATAGAAAGACGTAAATTAAATCTGTATTGAAATTACTGCATTATATCTTTTTTTACAGGATCTGGCACATGCTCTGATGTTTTGCCGAATTGCGCCGAGTTTACCCGTGATTCTTGTTCGGATCCGTATCTGCAGTGGGCTAAGACAAATTGCCCACATTACTGCGGGCTCTGTGGTATGATATGCGTTTTAGTACATTCATATTGGGAAAATAAGTTATATCCGTATCCAGCAATATCTAGCATCAATAAACAATTGATTCGTGTTCAATGGAAAATTGTTCATAAAATTGGAAATTGTCATGTTCGACTCATAAGAAACAATAAAATTATTTTTGAGGCCCACACAAAAACATTCATTTTTGCATTAACTTTACTTATATATTAGGCCAAACGGGGTCTGGGACTGGAACTAACCCTGGTGGAATGTCCGGAACAGGAACCTTGCCAGGTGGTACAGGAACAGGAACCAATCCCGGTGGAATAAGTGGATCAGGAACACCTGCTCCTCCAGGTGGTACTGGAACTGGATCACAAGGTGGATTTAGTGGAACCGGAACAATGGCTCCAGGTGGTACCGGAACTGGAACACAAGGTGGATTTGGTGGAACTGGAACCATGGCTCCAGTTGGTACCGGAACTGGAACCCAAGGTGGAATAAGTGGATCGGGAACACCTGCTCCTCCAGGTGGTACTGGAACTGGATCACAAGGTGGATTTAGTGGATCCGGAACCATGGCTCCAGGTGGTACCGGAACTGGAACACAAGGTGGCGGTTTTTCAGGAACTGGAGTTAATCCAGGAGGTAGCGCAAGCGGAACTCAGGGAGGATTCAATGGTCAAGGATACGTTACCGTATTACCAGGACAAGCTTTCACCGGAAGTAGTATGTATAAATTATTTCTTTGTTTATGTTTGTTTGCAAACTTACCATTAAAATAGCAAATTACGTTCATTGATAAAAATTTCATACACAGCATTCAAATATACCAAACTATATTTATAAGATGTTGTAGTAATTTAGAGATCATGTATACAGAAACTTTCAAAAATATTACAATATTAACTTTCTTACTTAAAACAAAAATAATTTGCGGCTTATTTGCGAGATTTTAGGGTATTCCAAACAGCAAGAAAGATATAGATTGTTGGGTATATCTAAACTTTTGTCCCCGAAAGTCAACAGCCATAGAGTGATACAGTTATTATCCAATTGTAGATTCTGGGTGCTATTACAAGGGTCAGCTTTACCAGACTGGACAATCTTGGCAGGATGGCTGTGATTACAACTGCACATGCGCAGACGGTATGCGTGGATACTATGTCTGTAATGCTTTGTAAGTATATACCTATATAATAAACACGTTGGTGTCAGCTGAAACAGACATTTAGTCGGTACCAGATAGAAATCCCTTGATTATTTTATTTTCTTCGGGAATTCTTGCTCTTGAACAAAATAAATACACTTTGTAGACTCAAAGCTTCTTTTCTAAAATGGATTAGCGAATTTGGATTAGGGAAACATGACCCAAATAGGATCAGAACCCAAAACGGATCACCCTACATTCACACGTTTTAAAATACAGAAACCTTAAAATGCATAGCTATGCAATTTAGTCTTGTCTACACATGATTCATTTCCGAATTCAAGTTGTTTTAGAATTTTATTTCAAATTCAGAAATAAGAAACGTTGTTAATAAGTTGCAGGTGTGAAGGTTTTGTCTTCTGTTTCAGTCAGAAGAATAAATTACACTGATGAAATACTTATATACCTACAAGTTCCAAAGTTCATTCTAAAATGATTTAATGCCGGTAAAGATTAGTTTGTTTGAAGCGTAACATGATGCCTAATTTCAGAAGTTAGCATTTTTGGCACTGTTATTTTCAAAATATAGAAGTCAAAAAAGCAAATGGATGACGTAAGAGTGTTTCTATATATATCACACGTGAACGCCCAGTGCTAATTTCGTTTTTAAGGATTGTTTATTTGATCATACCATAAATGAATATTTCCCTCCAAAATTTCTCAATAAATGAAAAAATTATCGTTTGATGATCTATTTTGCATACCCTCATCACACCATGGCGTTTTTTTCTGTATGTTAGATACCAATGTTTCGGTGTACTATTCAAATTGTCATTTATTTCGTTATGTTTAAGAGTTGTGTTTATTCACTTCGTTTGTTTTTAATAATGTTCTTTAATAATATATTCCAGGTGCACACAATGGACCAATCTGCCAGCAGGCTGTGTACTTCAGAAACCACAGGGAGAATGTTGCTCGTCTCCCAAGTGTTCTGGAAGTGGATCGGCTTCCGGTACCGGAACTGTAAATACTGGTAAGTGTTGTTATCATGTAAATGTACCAATATATATTCCGTCTTTGCGTATTGCAGAGTTATCTGCTTTTGTGAGCAGGTATTGATTGTTACGACTTTTTTTTGTGAGATTAACGTCATCAATTTTTGAGAAAACGACGTAATTTTCTCACACAAACCAATGACGTAACAATCAATACCTGCTCACAAGGAAAGATAACTCTGCAATACGCAAAGCGGAATATAAACAATCAATAGCAAATTCAGCATCAATACGAATGTGCAGCATTATGTAAGGTTACGATCAAGCATAAATTATATCTTTAATATTTTTACCAATATAATATAGGTTAGTTGTACAATAAAAAAGTGTATATTTTTCTACTGTAAAAAATAACTCTTTGTGTCATTTTCATACTTGACCAACCAATCAGAAATCAGGATTTAATATGAAAATGACAAAATCGAAAGTTGTTCATTAAAAATATATAGTCCGTCCGAAAGGAAAATGACATCATTTGATTTTAGTTTCATCAGATACATAAGTTCAAGTTCAAGACATGATAAGCCGTTCACGTACAAATTAAATAAGAGTGATATTAATTTAGCTCATAACAATTATGGATTTAAAGTAATGAAGCATAATTATTAACAATATTTTCTACTTTCGTAAGCATTTCAGAACAGAATGTATTATCATGCAACTGATTCAATGTATTTCGAGAATAAAATTCATACCAACTGATTACATTGTCATATATACTTTTTTTGTAATTTTTCAAATATTACCTTAGTTGATACATTATTACCGCCCTTTGTTACCAGGCTCTAGTTCCGGATGTTACTACAAGGGTCAGATGTACACACAAGGCCAATCATTTGACGATGGTTGCACTTACAAGTGCCAGTGTACCGACGCTAATACAGGATACTACACGTGCAAGAACAAGTAAGGACAGTTACACACATATATATATATACACTGTATATGATAGTAAATATTACATACCCCTTTTTAAATGGTTGTATTTCGTTTGGACATGTGTATCAGCTTTCCCAATAATGTGCGACAGCGTAACGGTTATACTAACCGGCCTTGCAGTCGGGCGTCGTTCCTCTGTTAGAACATATATCAGCTTAACAATTGGTAATGTTTACCTGAAATCAATCAAATAGATAACTGCATGCCATCGATTTTGTCATGACAAATTCAAGTTGTACAGAGAAGTTAGGAAAGCGTAACCCCTATTATTTCTCGGATGGTCTGACATAGGTCGTGAGGCATTTGGTGGAGTATATTTTATTAGAGATTATACATCCGCTACATATTTCTTTAAAATTGATCATAGAAAAGTCAATGTTCATGGCTTAGAGACTAATTCAAAGATGTGGTGGCTTTACTCAAAGGTTGCTATACGAGTGTATTTGTTTCATATGCGCGAGTGGTTGAATGCATCATTAAAAATATTTAATCACGAAAGAAAAGAATCAATTAGGATTGTTATTGATATTATTGTTGTCTCCTTTGCGTCCGTCCAGATATGTATGGGTTTTGTATGTGCTTACTGTATACATAAGCTTTAACATTGATACTGATCATACCAACCCATTGTTTTTCTATTTGAAGGTGTGTCCAGTGGAACTTGCCAGCTGCCTGTAGTCTGAATCCCCCTGCCCAGGGGAAATGCTGCAAGACCCCAAACTGTCCACAAGGATATGTCCTCAACTACCCTCCAGGATACATTGAGGAATAAGCAAGTGCTGTCCACACTCATTATAATATTTGTTTCATACTATTGTTTTTAAATGCTTTGTCAATAAAGGAATATATAACACTCGTTTTGTATTTTTATAAATTATGTTTTTCATCATGATTATCTCATTTTATATACTTAGACACAGTAATATGTGTGACAGGATTTAACAAAATTGCTTAGTCAGCTCGTCTCCAAAGCATTGTTAAGGATTCCCACTTCCACTGCCGGAAACTGAAACTGATTTCACAGCACGTTTTTAACTCTGATTAAATCATTTCTAAAATTAACAATATACCTTTAAAACACATACACAAATACTCAACATTGGCGTTCAGTGCGTACAAATTTCAGTTTGGCTAGTCAAGGATTCGAACCCTAGACCTCAAATTGTTTTGCTGTCGCTTTATGCGGCTGATCTACCGAATCAACGATAGTGTTCTGGCCCAGCTTAGGCTACAGTAATATCCTAAACGAAAATCAAGGTCTTCTACTCTACAATATATACGAAAAACAACAGTGCAGTGGGTTTTCATACGTTTCGGTCTAGTTCCATGTCCGTAACACATAATTAGATATCTCATGAAGAAATGATTCCATTATGATGTCAACAAATCTGTTTTGAAAATTCAAAACACCAACTGCAAATGTTTCTCTTTTAATAACAAAATATATCGTCAATGTATGAGTCGATTCCCTGGACGTGCCAAAAATATCAAAATAACAACACTGAGTGGAATAAGGATCCTAAAGGACAGAGAGATGTTCCGCGATTCAAAGTGATAATAATAAGAAATACGTTAAATAAGATTTTTATTTTTTCTATAGGCACTTTATTCATTAATCAGAAACTGAAAGATAATGTCCGTTCTAAACTGACCTTTAGAAACCTAATACTACTACACCTTGTTGATTTTGTCTTACATTAGCAGTCGACACTCCTATTGAGATATACAGGGAACCCACAAACTCAAGTTCCGATGAATGTCTTCCTTATCGTGTAAAAAAAAAATATTTAACATTAATTAGTATTAAGTTCAAATAAGAATATGCTGATCGTACATAAAAAGTATATATCTTGAAAGGATTCGTGGTATCCAAGGTTACCGTTATGATGACGACAACTACAAACCCAAGATGACGAAGAGTTACATTGCCATTAAGTAGAAAATGGTGACAACTGACGCACACCAGAGATGGGATAATTGACTGTAATTATTTCATTGTAGGAATGGTGTATTTCATACTCAAGAAATATTTTTCCTTACCAACTGACTAGATATGTCTTAATAGCTCTAAATTTATAAAATGAAAACAAACCATGAACGTCACATGCATAAGTAATGAATGAGGTTTTAATATCTTACTATTTCTGAAAACACGTACAATATGAACGTCTTGTATTAGCACAACAATGATCAAGATTCAAAACTGGAGTTGCCTCTCCTTCCCCATGCATTTTAATTGTAACTACAGTAAGTTTGATGTATTTCAAATTTGGAAAGGACTTTAAAAGGCCAAGCAGGATGTCCTATTGACATAATGAAGTTCAATCAAATTTGTTGAAATTGATATAGCACATATTGTATTAACTGTAGAAAAAACCCATGTAGGATACTTTTCAGTTTAAAAAGGTTGAGTTATCAGTTCAGAAAGATGAAGGGAGCTATACAAGTACACATAATTGCATAATAAACTTAACAAGATTTGTATTGGGTGCGTTCTAAGACGAACTTAATCCTTGTTTTTTAAAATAATGAATTTTATGTACATGTACTTGTAAAAATAATCAAAATTGACTGCCTAATGGCTTAAAAGTATTTCCTTTTAAAGACCATAGCAAACTGTTTGCTTCACAGAACAAAAAGTATATGCTTATCCTCCAAAATATATTCAGGCAAAGACGGCGTACTGATTTTGAAGTTTCCGGATTTACAATATTATAAATATGCAGAGATGATAACAAAAAAGCAATTAGCGAAACGGCAAAAAAATTTAAGAACTAATAAAAGAAAAAAGGAAAAAATAACAGAAAAAAATCATCAAACGATAAATTAACAACATGAAAACGTTTGCTCTAAAATGCTTGTATCCAGATATGAAAGGGGCACCACTGAATATACTTTGTGTCTTAAAAAGTACATAATTGCAATGCATTTTAAATGGGTTTTTTTTTTTATTAATTTCTAAATTTTATTTTCATTACTTTATATATAAGTTTATTATCATACAAAATTTCCATTTAAATATCAATAATATTAGCAATTTCTAACGAAAAGCTTTACAACTCTAATAATGAATTTACCTTGAGTGCTTCATATCAAATACACTTCCTGTCGTATTCAGTCTGTTTTTACAATGTAACAAGACTTGGTTCCTTGGTTACTCTCATTAGAATGTAATTGCAACCAAATCTATGATACGACACTGTTATAATATGTATACACTGTTTACATAGTATACACCACCAATAAAACATAAATGGTACCTTGTTTTGGTCGATTAATGTTTTAATGTAGGATTTCGCCTTCGATCGATGTTAGCATTATGCTTTTTATAAAACCTCGAATCGATCTCCCCAAAGTGACAAATTGTATGATAATATAATAATAAAATTGACGCAAGCAATAAAACACCAGTACGTTTTTTCATTAGTCAAGTATAATCTCACGTAGTCATGAAGTGAGTGGTGATGTTTTTAAATACATTTTGTATTTACTTATGTATATTCTGTTTGTTTATGAAAATTAATGTAAGCACTTGCCAGTTAAGCTTTCAGATATAACAATATAACGAGATATATAGTTGCTAAATTTTATATATCGTTAACACAATATTAATAGTCACATATTTAGTCAAACTATTCCCAACAATTTGCTGTTGGATGGTTACGGGGTTTGAGGTCCTCATAACAGCTGATGACATTTGATGAAGGGTACCTAGGGAGACACCGCCACAAAAGAAAGAGAAGGAAAATGAGAAAAATGAAACTGTCCCAAGTATTGAAAGAGGGACAACAGATCAATTTTGGTTTCATCAATATCCCTTTAGCAAAGGACACAGAAAAATAAATCTGCAGAGGGCCCACAGTAACCGCCTATTACGGCAGTGGGATGCAGCAGATTTCATGGACCTACATGGGTAACATCTATAAGATATATAGTTTATCTAAGACGAATATGAAGTAATCTTCGTGTATTGTAACTAGCACTATCCATTGATATATTAAAACAAGTGTTAAGCAGGGCATGCATGAAGAACTAATAAATATAAACATATCCATATATTGAGACCAAATATTATTAAGGCATCTTAAAGTTCAATTAAAAGAATGAAAAAATAAGGCATTATGGATTGAACTATATTTGTAAGTAAATCCTTATATTTCGGGAATTCGGATAAAATAAATCAGGAAAGGAAATACAATAAACTGCGTTTATGTATTGATATATGAAAAAAAAGATATCGCCAAAATACAACATTAGTATTCATTGAGCACCACATCATAATTTCGATATTAAAATAGCATACACTCTTGTGAACAACATAGGGAAAAGATAAGATAAAGGTGATATAGTTCAACAACAGCACGACTCACTATTAATATGTCCAGAAGCATGAATACAAACGAAAACAACTTAACAGTATATATTTGAAACTGATACAGCCAGGAATATGAGGGGAATGTACTGTCCTAATGGCAAGCTAGAATTTCCAGCGATACAGTATAAATCTGGGACGCGCCCAATAGATAATCAACGTCACGCGTGGTTAGTGGCCGGATGGGTGACCGCTCGCACGTTATATAGATTTTTTTTATATGATCTACATAACTTTTCACAATAAGGTGAAGCTTACCTAAACGCGCTTGGACCTCACCACTTATGGCGTGATTAAATACATTATAATTAAAAACGAGTTACGTTTCTTCTTTTATTATCTTATGAATCAGCAAGCTAGGTACATGTACCTCACTACATGTAGCTATAACAATATCATATACGATACAGTGTAGATAAGCCACCAATGCATTGTAAGCTATGATTCCTAAGTAGCTGTTGTAAAAAGATGAGCGTGCATTTTAACACATGACTGCACATTTAAAATTTGTTAACAGATATAATAGATACAGTATGCTAAAATGAATTACCCTGCATCATATAGATGTTTCGTCCTTCTTGGACTTATCGATGAGTGAACATTCAAATTGTCTAAACAGCAGTTGAAAAACTGAGGGGAATATGCGTAAAACACCTTCATTTATTAATTTTAAAAAAATTACAGGAAAATTGGTGATTTTCAAATAAATTCTGACTATAGACTTGTTCACAGTATAAATAGAAAATTGCCACGAATGAATGCAATTACACCAGTTTAAATGTAAGCCTTTTATAATGTGCTAACAAATTACTGATTTAATCATGAAATATATAATGTATTGGAACGTCTCAATTAAAGTCCCGAGGTTTGCCGTAATCTTCATGGCCACAGTAATCATTTCTGAGTAGAGGCATGTTTCATGATACACTCACTTTAAAAGTTAATTTGAAATTAAATACTAACGTTTTGAATATAATATATTAAGGGGTTTCTATGCACCTCCCCACCTGTGTCAACAGTAGTTTAGACTTATTTGTATTTTTGGCCTTTTTAGCCCCTAGCATCACCGATAAATCCTAGAAGGGTGAAACAGCTGTTTGATGCAATGTATTTCATTGTTTGCATAGTGAATCTTTTACTAAATTGTTAGGGTGCCATCCCCTGTGTGTATGTGCTACGTTAATATATATACTGTTCTTTGGCCCGAAATTACTCAAATTTCCGAAGCACCTTTCAATATACAAAACCAACAAACAATTTCTTGTTGACATTCATACTACATAGTTACCTGTGTTAAAAATGGTTACATGGCGAAATGTGCCAACGACACAGTCTGATATAATTTTAAAGTAAACATAATGTCTTTTTTGCCTATCCATAAATTATTATCGAACCTTTTATGCTTACATGCTGATATTTTCCGTGGTATTTTTAAAGTACCGGCACGTTCAATGATAAATCTAGCCAATACATATATGTTTACTTTATGTCCGCCCCGAACTAATAATGTATTTTCACTCTAGATAATTCCCTTTATATTTTAACTACACAAGGTATTCAAGGACAGATCTAGCGATCTCGCCCTCTGACTTTTGAATGTGTTCAGGTATGCTGTTACGGCGTACAGGCCAGGTAAACCCCGTCTGCTGAAAGACTTGGGTAGTTAAATGTCTTAAGTGGATTGTACGTAGACTGTCACTTTGTAAGTAGGTGTATTGGCAGGATTGTGTTACTCGTGAAAAGTTCAAAGGAGAAAACGGACTTATTTTACCGGGCCATTTTGTGTTTCCTCGGTCACGTGGGTTGACAGAATGGAAAGGGAGATTAAATTGTGAAACTAATTAATGACATTATAAATAGCGTACCTTTTAAATACACCTGAATTTGATTACAGGTGAAAGTCGGAACTTGCTCTCAGGAGTGCAGCATGAACACCGCAGGCAAGGTAAGTTTGCCCTGACTAATTATGTAAAATACACCACTCTTTCTTAAATGTTACCCTAGTACAAATCTTAACTACATGTATGTTTATTGAAAAAACATATTTTGTTTAAATAAAATCAATAGCTGTCAAATTTTATACCGTGATTATGTAAGATGGGTAGAGAGAGGTTAAGGTATGATATAAACTCTCTCTTGGGTTTGGTAAGGTTGTCGGGGGGGGAGGGGAGGGGAGGGGGGGGGGGCATTCCTACCTCGATGAAGGAGACCACTGACCCCGAGTTAGTCGTAATGTAAACCATATTATTAATATAAGAGGTATATTATTATAGAGTTGATATAAAGTATCGATTAGCCTGTTGTATATAATCCTTAGTATATATATGTACCTGCTCAATAATTCATAGACAGTTAATCATGGGTTATAGGGTTAATTCTATTTTAATCTCATAAATACATACAGACGAGGTTCATGCTGAGTACTTGTAAACGAGTGACAGGTGTACATATGAATATAAAAAAAAAACTGGTCTACTATTTGCTTATATGTTTATATTACCTGTAGTATAGCATGTATGATGTCCCCGATGGCAATTAAACATTTTTTAAGGGTACATGCTTAATTTTAAAACAAATCTGCTGGTCTTGTTAAGATTACTCAACAAAACCTTTTTGATCTTTCATTTACTTATTTCTCAGAATCAATAATAATAATGGGGAATTATTTTGTTCGTTTTATATAATTTAATGTTAAAAATATGTATGTATGTATGTATGTATGTATGTATGTATGTATGTATGTATGTATGTATGTATGTATGTATGTACATGCATGCTTAAATGGATCGGATTCAACCTATCAAAAACAAATTTAAGAAAACCTTTTACACTTAATACTGAAGAAGAAATATATGATATGTATCAACAAAAAAATCCAATCTTCAAGTATCGTTTGATCAGGATTTATTTATTTTGTGTTGATAATGTCAGTTCCACATTGAATATATATACGTGTGGGGCATGGATTTTATCTATATCGACCTTTTCAATATTGATAATATATTCATGAATTATGATTCTAATCTTGAAATGATTTCAATAAAACTGCCAACATTGTCAAGAGAAGATTTCTTTAAAACTGAATTTAATTCATATTTACTTTAATCTTTTGCACATGTGTGACCCATTTCTTACCTCGCAATGTATGCAAATCGTGAGACCATTAGAAGCTCAGACGTTTTTAAATTTTAATCTTATTTCATATGCTTGTTCCAAGTGTGAACGTCCTACACTAAAACTAACTCGACACTGAATACAACACTATGTGTCTGCTACAGGGGTTTCATAGGTAAAAAAAAATGACTTTTTTTATCTTCCTTTGGGAACGTCATTCACATATATTTCATCGTAATCAAGCGACATGAATAGTCTACATTGTATTAAAAGGTGTACGATTATTGTAAAGGAAATGAAGCTAAACCAAGTATGGTACATCTTACCAAAAACAACAAAGCCATTGTATTGACCTCGCCATCTGAAATGGTATTCAAGCTACAATAGGAAATGTCGCCACCATTCGTTCATCGATTTATTTTATCATATTAACAAATATAGTCCTTACATTGGAAAGTATTTTCCATCATCGGTTAATGTGTCCTTTTACAAGAAATGGCCATTTGTGGTACCAGAATCAAATTGATAGCATTTATGGATCTCTGTACCATCACTCATATCAATGCACTAGAGAATTCCGTTAGTTTTTAGTTAACAGAAACCTTCCCTTTATTTTTCGTTTTTGATTTAACTGAAGTCAGGTAGGGTAAGGGTTTCTTTCCAGAATGATGCATTGAGGCTATTGCCGTACGTGTATCCTTAAATAAAACTCAAAACTAATCTAATACAATTGAGACCCTTTCGTTTGATTGCTGTTTTATTGGGTTTTCAGTGGATAAAGTGTTCCATTCAATTTACCATTAAGATGAAGGATATAATCTCGCTCTATGTACGCATTCACAGACAGGTTGTCACGCCCTTTTATTGTAGATCCATATAACCCGCTGTGGACACCATTATACCGACTATCAGGCCGTTATATTGTTCTAGTTCGGGTTTCAAACTATCCATAATACGGTGTCAAATTCTCAACTTGCTTGATTGTATTATTTAGTATTATTATTTTTTATAATAAACTGCTCGCAGGATTGTATCAACAATATACGAATTCCATGACCCGATAAACGATCAATGGTTTCGCCTTCAGTCTTTTTGGGGTTTTATTATTCTGATTATTTTCTTTCTAGTCTATCAGGGCTTTAAAATTCTTCTTATTTCTTTCAGTTGTGTAATGTTTGTTTATAATACATATGCAATTACTATATATATATATATATGACGTTTCATTGGATAATAAAAGCATATTGTAAATCTATGATTACTTAAACTTAGACGGGTCGAATATGCTGAAAAGTAGACCAAGGACGCTAGTCTAAGACTAGTATGCAAATGGTATATAGACTAAATTGAGTAGAACGCTGAGATGTAAAAATGTACTCAAAGAAAAGTTCTGTTTCATTTTTTTAAACTCTTTAGCTTTCCTTGCCAAGATTTGAACATATTATAAAGTAATGATGTGACAAGAATGTATTTTAACCAAATTCTTTTAAATGATATTTGAAATTGGTCTTATTTGGTTTGTAAGATAATTGGACTACAGAGACAAAAGCAGTTAAACTCGACCATGACGTAAGGAATATTTCACCATGATCATCCCTATGATATCTGATGTAAAAGATACATAACAAAGTATTGGGAATTTATAAAGTGATTACCGATGCTTCAAAAAGCTCCATGCATGATGCAAAAATAATTAGCAATACATAAAATCGGTTTTGGTTATTGAAGTTTGTTAAATACAAAGAAGAACACAGTATATATCTCAGTGTCGGTACACAGGGACACAATTCGATCTCTAATTCGATATGACTACGACCAAACTAGGAACAGCAAAGAAGAGATTGACACTTTTTTTTATTTTTGTGGAAAATGAAAAACTGTTAAACTTCACTTTCAAGCGTAGCAGACACAATCACACCAAAGAAAAACAAATATGAATCATTTCATAAGGTTGTAAATAACTACATATCGCTCCAAACGATTAAGGAAAGTATGTAATTTTGTAATTCTAACAACACGAAACACTTTTTTCAAAAAAAAATGCACTACGTTCTACACGTAAAAAGAAATATTGATTGATTTTCAATAATAAGATCGTTTGCCTATTGTCAAGGATTCTTACAAAATTATATTTTTTTAATGAAAAAATAAATACCTAGATCATGTTCGTAAAGAAAAATTTCCCTTTCTCACAATAAGACTAGTTAGAGTATGCATGTATATACTCCAAGCTCTGGACATATGGTAGGTTTATTACTTTTTCAACCTTGTGACAATCGCCCTAGAAAGGTAAACAAGGCGAGGCAATTGACATAACAGGTACATAAACAGTATTTGCTACATACAAATACTTATGTATATTCGAATTTGGTATTATGTGTATTCGACGGAGCGAAGAAAAGTTTCTGTAGAAATAGTAAATAGTGGAGAGATATCGGGTTTACAAGCTGGCTTTTAAAACCATAAAATGTTATAGCCATACTTTTCTGTTGAGTGTTTTAAATTGTAATTGAAGTTTTTACAACACAAGGACGATATGTTTTTAAAGAAGTTTGAGACAACTATTTGTTTAAACTACGCCACCATTTAAACATTTATATAATCGTAATCGTCATAGTGTAACATACTCGAGAATTACTATGGAACGATTACGTGCGTCGACTATACAAAGTAAAGTAAAGAACAAGTACATTCGAAACATTGACAGATATAAAGACTTTATTACATACTTTATAGTTGATATGGTAGATCATGCAAAGGAAATCGTTTTGTTTGCCCAAATTTGAAATCTGTGGTCACATGAGTAATTTCTTAGCAACATGCAACCGAACAATTATTTATTATAGGGTTTACATGATCATTGTGTTTCAGAGATCACTTTAAATATAAATGTTAACGCATTATCAGCGAAAGTGAAAAAGAATATGCCGAATCACTTTGATATTCGTGAAAGTAATTATTCTTTAATATATTGAAGGGAAATAATTCTGATACCATCAAACGTATATAGTGCAAGCTAACATACATATCTAAATGGGAATATTCCATATATGTAAACTTGTCGTGAAGCTAACCATGCGTTTAAAAACTTGGATTATGCTCCAGGTGATAAAAGCACTGTTAGCTTAACCAGTCATAAATGCAAAATTACAAAAAATGTTGGTATTTTTTTCCTTTTTCTTTTTTTTTTAACATTATGTCATCTTTTTCAAACAATCAATTTTACATTTGTATTAAAACTTTTTCTCTAGAATTTGAATAATTCTGTGATATTTTTTCGTTTTAATCAGGCATGCAATTAAACCTTGATAAATATCTTAAATTACATGGTCGATGTCTATCAACATTTATTAGGTTGTCAATTTTTTCATATTAATGTTACATTTAAATGAGAAGTAATGATGACATACTGCGACCTTGTATACTAATCAACATGTTTTTCAAGATAATGTACCTCCAAACAGAAAAACATCGTACGATTTATGGCCTATATTTACCAGACAATCAATGTTAAGTATTAAATTTCCGAAACGAAGGTGTGATAAAATGTGCCTAATCATCCCAGATAGGCTTCTATTTGACAGGGAATTAACATTGCGGTATATCTATGTAGGTAATGGCGTGTCATCTTCTGTCAATACGTGATGTTCCCTGGTGAATGTCAAGTCGTTTCCAATGCCAGTACTAAGTTACCATTAATAGGTGTGTTTACCTATCATTTTCTACAGTCTTGAACAATCCCGCTTCCCTGCCGAGCCAAACAAGTACCCACTGGTATTTCAATATTTACCTAACGGCAATTATCGTCAAGTTTGTATAGTAAATCGAATGTCATTTGGTTCCTTATATTCGAAAATAACAAAATGTATCGTTATTTAATATATATATTCAATAAATATTATAATACATACATACATTGTCCCCAAGTATTGTGTGTTTACTTATATACTTACGTGTGTGTATGTATACAGGTGAAAGCAGTTTGGGACTTGGACAGCCGGTATATGGGATATGCTTTATTGATTGATGGACACAATATGTAATACTGTATTTGACGTATGAGTAATGTCAACACTCTTTCGACTCTGACCTTATATGCGAATAATCCCTCTCACCTAGCACCTATCACCTTTTCAATGTGGTATTTATTCATTGGTATTTGACGAAAGTCTTAACTGGGTGTATGAAGAAGTGGATAAGACCTGCTTTGATCCGAGAACTACTCCGTTGTAATGGAGGTGCCGGATAACACTTCGATAGCCACTTAAGAACTGAACTGTACATAAGAGATACCCTGTTATTTCACTAAACGTTATCTTCATTTTTCATTTCAGCTCTGGCCTGTTCGAGATTGACTGGATTATGGTGTAATGCTCAGGATTGTGCCACGGATTTACGTGAAATTTTGCCGAGATACTCGTCCCTAAGACCCGTCAATATGCCGACCTTAACGGATACTACGTTTACGCTCTTCGTCATTTTACCTTCACAAAATGTCTGCACACTAAGACGATTATCATCCGGAATCACAGTAACTAATTTGAAATGTAATTTAGAATTAATGGCCGGATTTCCGGCGCACGTCTACCGTCTTGCATACCCGGATGGAGAAATGTTAGAAGACAACAAACGCCTTCTAATTAAGAAGACAGTTGATGATGGATACGTGTTACGGATGGTATTGGACGCTGAGTGGGACTCGTTGTGTCAGAATATCTTACAGGATAATGTAGAGTTGGTATACAGTGACGTATCCCAAGGGGGCGTGGTCCCTGCGGATCACGTGGACAGAGCTAGTTGTGCCCTTTTCATGGCCAGTCACAGAGGACAAATAAGGATGTGCAACATGCTTATATCCGTTGGTAAGTATACAGGTCAAAGGTCACTTGACAAAGATAATCCAAAGGTCACTTGACAGAAATAAATGTAAAATTAAAAGCCAAAACACTTCTTTGAAGATGATCATGTCTTCTGAACAAAAAAAACAAAAGCTAAGCTAAGAAATATATGATAAACTACAACCAATCCTGCTTTTGTGTGCGACCACCACTATAAATAGCCTACACGTATTAAGGATTCACTTTAACTACTCCCTGATATTTTATTTCATTTTGAACTAAACCTGTTAAATGAGGCCACCTGCCTAAAGGGACCACCTTTTTACTTCTTGAGGTTGGTCTCCTAATACGGGTTGTACTGTAATTATAGCATGTAATGTATCACCATATATAATACAATATTACTTTTTACTCTTTTACCTTTTTAATTTAATTTAAAAAAAACAAGTACATAAAGTCTCATATACATACATGTTTGTAACACCTGTCGTTGGGTGTTGTCAATTGACAAGGGAAACAACTCCGTCAAACCAGGTAGGACACAGTTTTTTTCTTTTCACATTTTGATAACTTAGTAAATATGATATGTACAACAGGTAAAAAGGTTACATCACTATTGAAATTAAATTACAAAACACACTGTATAGAAAATAACATCTCAATATAATTACTGACATTTTATTTAGACCGAGTAATATAAGTATTTGAGGCTGTCAGACAATGTCTATTTTCTAATTAGTGTCTCTTATAACTATTTCTGATAGAAATCTAAATGTAATTAAATGAAATGTGGCACGAATCTGAGTCGTAAAACTGGAAGCCTTAATGCATGTATTAAAAGTTTTCTTTTTATGTAGAATCAATTTCAGATTTGTAGTACATGTATATTTCTGATAGCGTGGTAATATGAAACTTCGGTATCTAGACACGAACGTCTTTTTTGAGTATATTATATATCGGCATAAAGTTTAACACTGGTTACGAACAATTTGAACAGTACGTTCACAACCATCATACCCTTTAACCTAGGTATTTGATATGAACTGCAATTACAGGTTGTATTTAATCAGAAAATGGACATATGAATAGCTGATGTATAAATATTGATTCGTATTAATGCATCGAGTTAAATCAATATCAGACATGTAATTGCTATTATTGGCCATGTTTTCATATGTTTTCATCCACTTGCAAAATGGGCAACGGGGATTATTCCAAAAGTGCATTATCGCGAATGGCAATGTCAATATTGAACTACACTGAGTATATTTATTATATGCATTGTAGATTGAAAATACATCTTAAACAGACCGTAGACCGACATTTAAATTCACACGATCAAATATCAACCTGCTCGTCTACTAAATACACATGTGTGGATATTTCAGTTCGATGTATACCGTGACGTTTTCTTTATTCGTGGGTTTCGGCTCCACACTATTTTTTAGTGTTTTCTTGGATCAATTTCGCGCAATGTTATATTATTTGCTAAATAAGAACCCTCTATAATTACAAAAAATGGGTACTGTGGAAATGTATTAGGAACTAAAATAGCGAAAATGATAACCACAAAAAAACAGATTTCACATTTCTTATTACATTATATATACAATGTCTGCCGTTTGTTATATTGCATAACAGTTCCTTTCGTCTTGTAGTGGTTGTTTTGTTTTGTTTATAATCTGTTTGGTTTAAGGCATTGATTAGTTTTGTTTGTTTGTTATTTCACCATTTGTGAAATACTAGCTGCTTACTATTTTATCTGGTACTTGTTCATTCGTCAGAGCGTCAGATAAGTAAAAGTCCTGTGCCCGTATTCATGAAACCGTTCTCATGCTAAAGCATCGATTTTTTGTTCAAGACTAATTTGTTGTACCGGTTGTATATGAATGAAAAATCTACTTTTCAAAGATTTTGAAAAATGTTGAAAAGAATTAAAGTCAGACACCGTGTTCATTATTTACATTTGACGTTTTGATCATTTGACGTGATTTAGGTAAGTTACAAGAGAACTGGTTTGAGCACAGAATCAATGCTTGAGCTTGAGAACGGTTTCATGAATACGGGCCCTGGTTTCGATGCTTAATGGGGGCATCTAAAACATAATTGTTACATTTTAATTCCCATTGGGCCCCCGGATACATTGACAAAAAACTCAGCCTTACTCTAAAAAGCATCACTGTAACCCCCAGGATGAATCTCCTTACCAGGTTTTTTTCTGGAGGAAGCGTATATCACCGTTGTAAACTACTATCAGCCTCTTATTTACTTGGCAAGAGAGAAATTATCTTCACCCAATTCTAGAGAGGATCAGACTAGTAAACCAGAGGTCCCGGTTTCAATCCCTAGCGGAGGCACTGAAAAACAATTACCTCTGATAAAATTATATATCTATAGTATTACAATAAGGGCAACAGAAAAATGCTGTACCTTTAATGTCCACAAGTAGTGGCCACAGAAAGAACAAGTATGCAGGAGTCCTTTGTCATTCCATTATGAATGGTCGATGTTTTTAATTTCAACACACAGGGAGTCATTCCCCATTTTTAGCATCTGTGGGGTCAATATACTATATATGTATATTAAATTCTAAATAATAAAATTTCACTTATATTGCCTCGACCGATCGAATGGCTTTTACGTAACCTATATCCTACCTCGATCCAGTGTTTACTTTCCTCTTATAGTATACTATCAGATGTGTCAGTGAGTTTACAAATACACCTATCGAGAGCTTTTAAAACAGCCCTAAGCACTTAGATTGCTGATACAATAATTTAAATTTGTATATCTTCATAGTTTTCCTCATTTAGTCGCTAATGTATTGATATATATTGAGCATAAACCCAAAAGGAACAAAAAGAATTTTAAAGTGGACACAAAAGCATATTTTTCATGTTTCGCAATAAATATGTTGAAAAACTCACATATACATTTTGAATTAATAGTCTATTTTGTTATTGAAAACAAACTTTGCCCATGCCAATAATTTTAACATAAGGCAACTGTATTTTGAATTATCACATAACTACTGTGTTTTTTTAATCGTATCTCATATTTATCGTAACAGTAATGAAATGCATTCACATTATTGCCGTTGTCGTCTACGTAACACAATTGTCAGACTACGTTAAACACTTGATTTAATAATAAATGACGTATGGTTCGTTTGGGGCTTAATTTCCTAACGAAAATACCCCTGGTCAGATGTAAAATGGTATGTAGGGATAACAACGCGGAAAAGAATGATCAGGTTGGCTAGAATGAAAATATTGTGATTCTACGCGTTGCAACGCGGGCAGCAGATCATTCTTTTATCTATTTATTTCCTGCGCGGTAACACACAGAGAAACACACTCGATTCTGCGGAGTAAGGGGGGGGGGGGGCACATCATGATAATATTAAATTCAACACAACAAGTCAATTACTTCTCTGAAGCTGAAGGGGGTTAAAACGGCATACTGTGACTGACTAACCCTTTTACCCTATGTAACTTTAGTAAACTGTACCATGTAATAAGTCTGGAAAAAGTCCATTATGGTCTACAGTGGTTAAAGGGTTAAGCACTCTGATATATATAAAAAAAAATCTACCTTAATCTTATCAATGAATTATTTCAATTATATCAAAAATTATATAATTAAACGGAACCAGGATGCATTCATAAAAGAAATATATATATTTCTTAGTTCAGAGCTTGCCTTGCATTTATGCAGAACCAGTTAATAGTTTGAAGGTAAATGATATTGTTTGACCTAGAGCAGATCCAAAACATTCTCGTTGAAATCTTAGCTAAACACTTAGATAAGGTCATGAACTTTTCCTTTGACGTCATTTAAGAGTGCTATATATATAATCTCACTGAACACTGGATAACGGGTATTTAGTTCTTATACTTATTCACCGACGGGATCATATACTAAAGAAAATCACTTCCAATGTCCAAGTCGTTGAATCAATAAATAAAAACTTTGAGATAAACGTTGTTCTGGGCTCCAGAAATCCATAATTGTTATTCTTTTTTAAGCGAAAATACAGATACGGTTTTGGCTTAGGAATGAAAGAAAATGGTCTTATTTGGCTAAGCACTGCTTCAAGAACACAACACATTTATCAAGTCCCTATTTTCAGAGATATAAGACGGATAAAATGTTTGCTCTTTTAGATCTTCCGACTTTTTAATTTATTATAATTTTCATTATACAGGACATTTAGATCTTCCTAAATTTCAATTTATTAATTTATTATTATACAGGACATTTTGAGCCTTCAAAAGATTACAGACCAAAGAGGATATACTAGATGATCCTCAGCTGATATACCGGTCCTCAAAACACAATATTTAAATAGACCTGTGTCCTACAAAATACAATATATTTCATCCAATATATTTACCTGTTCTGTAAGAACACAATAACATTTATTGATCTCAACTTTCGCGTACATATTCTTGTGGGCACAGTTTGTCTTATCAAAGGAGACTAGCATTGAAGTTTAATCATTGCATATAGGGGCATTGTACTGCCATTCAATTTGTGAATAGCGATGAAATAAGACACCGTTAACTTACAATTCAAACCTTTATACAGCAATATTAAGAAGAGGATACTAGATTGTTATCTTACCTGACGTATACCGATAATACATAGATCACCAGGTATGCTATATATATACCTAAGTTATTTGCTCGGGAGACCTGCACAATTATTGGTATTGAAATCTTTAACAATTGTTTGTCTGAAAAGTGTACAAACACCACTTATATATATTATATAGCTGAAATTCAATGACTCGGAAAATAATAATCATTTCATGTTAGAAAGTCGATTGAGGTAGATTGGCCTGCCTGGCCCGGCTGGCTCAGTGTTGTAATCTGCAAATGGTGTAAGGTAAGTATTGATTTTTCATATATAACGTTAATATTATTATTTTCACACTGCTGCCGTTAATATTATATAACATAAATTGAAGTAATTTAGCAACGGTGGGATATCTTTATATTAATATATCAGACGTCATTTTTGAAAACATTTTTTTGAAATATCAGAATGTTTTTGCACTGAAGTATCCGGTTTACCAATGCACTATGCCAGAGTATTCTGCGTTAGAAACTTCGATCATGTTGGCGAAATTTCACGGTCATTATAACGACCAGCTGTGAAATGCAAGTGTCGACGTACCACAATTAAATGTATCGGTTTTAACCGACGTAATTTTCTGAAATGAATTGCTTTAATTTATGTGATGACTGTTTTAGCAAATTGTGTTATTGTCCTAATAAACAACACATTGCTATTGACGGTACTTAATATAGCCCGATAGCCAACAAAGAAGCAATGTGTGTTATCGGCACATAACACCATAGGCTAAGACAGAAACTTCTTATATTTATGTTTTGATGGAGAAAGTATGCTTATTAGGTGATTCATTGCTCCTGAAGTCGTTTTTGGAAGGACTTAAATCAACAAATGCAGTGTTGTCACAATCAGATAGGTGACGTCATAATTGCAGGCAATTGACCAAATGAAATGCAGTTCTAACAAACCGATTGCATGTAGAACCGTTGTAAATATTTCGTCTCCCCAGTTTTGTCCTTATGTTTTTTCACTGTATTATATATTTTTTATAGTTTTATCTGGTAGAATACTTTCTTGTAAATGTGTTCTGCTTACTATATTACATAACCAGTGTTGTCTAACGGTCTAAGCTAGTTATATAGGTTGTCAGGAATCATTGTTTATATTCGTAATTACTGTATACCGGGGATTTTTTTTTTACAACTTTCGTCCTACGCCAATAACATCCTACTTCGCCCAGTGTTGATTTTGCATTTCACATTTAATTACTATGTAAACGATGTTGTTGACTAATGCTCGCTGTTATGATAAATTCTCCTCTTTTTTGAGGGCGAAAAAAGACGAAAATTAGTCTGCAGCGAAAATTTCTCCGTTTACATTTGTCATTTTTTTGCTTAGAACTAAAAGTGAAAAATATTTTGATAAATGTGTGACATCAATGATAATTTTACAGTAATATGTTTAAGGCATTGGTCAATGTACTTTAAAAACAATTTATATGGGATTTGATTTAAAGAGATTGCCATTTAATTCTGATGTCTTCATTTTAATCTTGAATAACAATATATAAATTATGTAGTGAAAGAAAAGTCTAATAAACTATAAAAGCGTTTTATCAGCAACCTTAATTGGCATTAAACATGATAACATCATTATAATGCTGACGGTATCAATTGGGTAACTGCACTTATAGCAGTATGTCTGCCAACTTAAAACTGTAATTACAAACATCATGAGGCACTGAATAATTAAGCCGGATCAGATTTGCTAAATAAGGAAGAACAAACGGTCAGTCAGGGTAGTAGAATCATTTAAGATATTATCAATATAAATATAAACTTTATTTATTTGGCAACAATTATGAAACATGTTAATCCATTCCTATTCACGTCCGATCGGGGAGCCGAAACACGGCTGACTCGGTGAAAGACGAGTTCGTTATCCACTACGCCACCCGACTACCCTTAAGTATAAAGTAAGATATCATATGATGGTATGAAGGTCAGGTATCGATATGGTCCCGTTTCACTGCATTTACAGGTGTATAACATCGTTGTTCGTTGATTTTGATATGCAATATAACAGCTGACCTAATAGAATATGTTATGCTAAATGTTACATAACCATCTTGGTTAATGGAACATGAGTGAAGGACACTTAGACAAACCAGATAAACCACTAACTGTAATTTTAGTCCTTGATCGAGTAAATGGCTTAATTATGACCATATATGGCTTTAATGGCTAAATGATGTCCATATATGGTGTAAATGGCTAATTGATGTCCAGATATGGCGTAAATGGCTAAATGATGCCCAGATATGGCGTAAATGGTTAAATGATGTCCAGATATGACGTAAATGGCTAAATAATGCACAGATATGGCGTAAATGGTTAAATGATGCCAAGATATGACGTAAATTGCTAAATGGTGTCCAATTATGGTGTGAATGGCTAAATGATGCCCAGAAATGACGTAAATGTTTAAATGATGCCCATATATGACGTCAATGGCTAAATGATGCCGATATATGGCGTAAATGGTTAAATGATGCCCAGATATGGCGTAAATAGATAAATGATGCCCAGATATGACGTTAATGCCTAAATGATGCAGTAAAACTTTCTACATCGACCTTCCAAAGATTTAAATAAATACTTCAGTTCTTAATATTAATGGTAGAGATATGTCTTTTCTTATTGTTGAGATAACACATATTTTCACTTTGATAACTGTATTGTAAGTTTGACGTTGACGCCAGTGAGTCGAGAGTGAATATCACTCTTTTCACAAACTGATTATAAATTAAGAATGTATAAATAAAAAATCATTAACTGCTCATCATCAAACATGATCAACAGAAAACTAAGAGCTATTGACCCTGTAAATAAAACCTTAAACTGATGCATTGATATTACACACTAAACCATTATTCTGCAAGTCAGATATGGATAGATCTTTTTTAGATACGCATATTTTGCTTCTACCGACAGACAAAACGATCTAATTTTACTAATCCTAATATATTACTCTCCAAATATTGAATATGATTGATATCCGTGAAACTTCTATTACTCTGACACTAGTAACAAATATTGTTTTAAAGGTTCCTGACTTGCCGCAGGCAAAACTCCAAAGATTTCCACTACAGTACATTTGTGCAAACATTAACTTTCCCAGAATGTCATTATGAATATAACTGTAGTGCGATAAGGCCAGGGTACTATACATTGATTAGGTATGTAGCTCATTCAGTAAGAACAACATCACATTTACATTGATGTGATATCCAGGGTTCCAATCATAGACTAACCCCGTTGCATTTTCACAATCAGAAAACATTTGTTATCTCATTTTTCAATCTTATTTACATTATCATGAACATTCTCTACATGGTATGATTTTCAACCAACGCTTAATTACAGGTTTTTGGCAGTGGTACGTTGAACTTTTACCGCAGAACATAATAATTTATTCATTTTTGTAGACGCTTGGTATAAGATAAATATGGTTTAAATAAAATTACCCAAACTCAAAACAAGGCATCGATTACCATATTATTTTACTTTTATTAATAAATCCAAACATGCGTGTTCGTTGAATAAGGGTTGTTGTTATTGTTGTTGCTGCTGCTGCTGTTGTTGTTGTTGTTGTTGTTGTTGCTGTTGAGTGTGTGTGTGTGTATTGTTATGGAGACATTGAGCAATTTTATGGTCGTCATCATCATCATGATGTCACTGGAAAATATTCTATTTAATTGCACAATAACAATACTACTGATTAATATTTTGGCCATATAGTTGCTATATGTTGATCTATTTCACATTAAGATAACTGTCATTGTCGTTTAGATATTTTCTCCAGTTTAGAAAGACAAGTTGATTAACTCTGTTAAATAAAAATAAACATTTTAAGGCGACACTGTTTATACAAATGTAAGTACCTTTAGACATTCTATCACATGTTGTATTTGTATTAGGACACCCGGTCAACAGTACCCTCACTGTAGTCATCAGGCTAGGGAAAATTGACATAGTCTACATAAAATCAACTTGGTAGCGAGGAATCAATACACACTATTTGCCAAATAGTAATTTACTTCATTTACTTATTTAAAAATCGAATATTGCGTGTTCGAAATTTCAACCTTGCAAGAGTACACCTATTTCAAATCGAAGGCACTAAACGAGCAAAGTAGAAGAGTAGTGTGGTTCTATGAAGCGAGTGAATGGATGTACAAATTAATTTGGTTGGATGTTGTAAAGAAAAGGTAAAGGTGATGCCTACCACTATGAACAGCCGCTAATTGACAAGATGAATTTGTAAAGCTGAGGTGAAATGGCAACACAGTTGCCTCGATAGTTAGGCCTCGGAGAAAGTTAGGGAGAACGCCTCCGATTCTGCTTCTGCCATCATTAGTGACGTCATCGTATTGTTTATAAGAACCGGATACTAACGAAGATAAGGAAAGGAAGACAAGTTAGGGAGTTAAAAGGGCTTCTTCTATGCACGATTTATTTGTTCAGTGACTTAATTCAACATTAGGTATGGTTATTACATTGTTACATTGTAACATTATCAAAACATATTTTTGATACGTTATAACATTATTATGATATAATATTTATACTTTTTATCATTGTTATAAAATTATGACAATATACCATGTTGTTTCTTTTTACGCCAATGGTGATTTTTAAAATTTGATAATAAACCATAAGATCCTTCAGGGTCAAATGGCGTTTTTATGCTAAAACCTGTTTATTACATGCGTTTTCATGATCACTCCAATAAGCGATCTTTGTAGACAGGTGCTAAAATATATACATTATTTCAAATTGGGTCAATTTTTCGAACTCAGTTGTACAAACTGTAGACAAAGAAATTGTAATATTACCATCACATTTTCTGATAGGAATTCTTTTAAATTCCAGAGCGTACATTATTTTATTTTTTAACAATTATGAAAATGGATTGTCCACGATTTTGCTATAAAATGTTAATACCTTTTGACAATTGAAGAAATGTGGAACTGGCAGAGTGTTAAGCGACGAGATATTTTAAAGGCGTGATGCCTTACACCATATTTGCTCACAAAACTGGTTTTAAGGCTATAAACTCGTGTATATATGGATCTGAATCATGACTTACGAAGAACACATAATTACAACGTTTCTCAACATACGGTAGTCTAGTCAGTATTTACCTTGTAGTAATTTGGTATGCTAATTACATATCTACAAGGTGTACCTTCTTGTACTTCTAGGTGCCACCGTTAATTGGAAGACTCGGTTCGGGAGGACAGCCGTCCATGCGGCGGTCAGTGCGGACTGTGTTTGTATCCTGGAATTACTGGCCGCCGAAGGAGCTAAGGCCGACGTTGAGGATGTCCAGGGGGTCACTCCAAGTCAGACAGCCATAACTTACGGATCTACTCTTTGTAGTAAGAAATTACGCCTGATGCAGTTAAATCTCAGAGGCAAGTCCGCGCATGCGCGAGCTTCCGAGAGGATTGTTTCAAGGCCGCCGCGAATTCCTAGTGAACCGGTTCGCCGACCGCCAAATTTACCATCGGAGACTTGGCGGAGACCTACCACTGTCCATGTTAGTTTCCCAGGAGTCAGTGATACATCGAGGGTAAAATCATTTGACAAGCTTGTTAACATTACAAGTGCAAATTCACACCTCGGCGAATGTAAACATTCCAGTTCGAGTGGGTTCTTCGCTCCTAATCACCATGAAATGTATTTGGAACGAGCAAGAACTTTTTCGAGGGGACAAGAAAAGAGACATCTAAATCACTCAGAGGATGGCGGAAATGTTTTGTTTGGAAAACAACTGACGATTCTTCGATCGAAACGCGTGTTAAAGTTTGGTTCAGACGATGATATCGGTAATTCTAGAAGCCACACTCCGGGAAGTTTGAGATCCGAAGGATGTTTTACGCCTGCGTTGCTCAACAGAAACAAATCTGCCTTGTCAATTAACAGTGACCAATATGGCAAAGATCACGGAACGGACACTACAAAAATGACGATTCGTCCTGGCAAAAAATCTCCGAAATATGTGCGGTTTTCAGCAAACGAACGGTAAGAACTCAATATATATTTTGATGAATCGCATCTTTGATAACGTTAAATGCTACACTAATCATGTACTAAATTACGTTTTAGCTACAGTAATCTAAACCTACACATATTAAGTCGAAGTTGAATAGTCGCGACCTGTGTCCCTTTGTGATAACTGTTTTGTGACCTCACTATGTTACTGTACAACTATACGCCAGTCACATATTGTCCTGTACCTCTTCCCATTGTGATAAATTTGTTACCGTGACAAATTGTTATGGCCAGCTTGACATGATCTGCTTTCCTTTGTGACAACTGATCTTCTGTGACAAAATGTTGTTATCTCTTTTTCTATGTGACAACTCTTTTCCTGTGACTATGTGACAACCCTATTCCTGTGACTATGTGACAACTATTCTCGTGTGACAAATTTTCCTAGTTTGCTTTCTCCTTTGTGACAACGGTTTACCTGTGAAAAATTGCCATGATCTGATTTTTTTATGTGACAATTTGTCGTCTGTGACAAATTGTTGTTCTCTGCCTTTTTGTGACACTTGTCTCTTGTGACAAATTGCCGTGATCTGCTTCCTTTGTGACAAGAATTATGCCCTTGACTCTGTGACAACGGCTCACCTGTGCCATATTATCTCGATCGTCTCTCCTATGTTACAAGTATAGTTCTGTGACTAACTGTTGTAAACAACTACCGTTTCTGATGACTTTACTTCTGTGACAAACCGTCATGACCTGCGTTTCTACTTGTGACATCTGCACTTATGTGACAACTAAAACTCATGTGTATTAACTTGCACCGATATGACTGAATCAAGATTAAGCAATTAAGATAGGAACTAATGGATACGAATGCAGATTATCATATAACCAACCAAAGCGTGTACAATTTCCAAATTTTGAAATAGTTAGGCCTCGGAGAAAGTTAGGGAGAACGCCTCCTATTTTGCTTCTGCCATCATAAGTGACGTCATCGTATTGTTTCTTATGACATCACAATGACTGACATCACACATTACATTTAAGCGTTCGATAATTTGATTACATTTCATAGCAGTTTGCTTTTATCTATATAAATAGAGAAAGGATTATGTACCTTCAAAGGGTACATACCTTTTCTGAAACTTCTTTTAATTCACGAATGGAGGTACAATGTGTTAATGATATGTTCCTATGAATAGGAAACAGGGGAATGAGTGCATTATGCAAAATGTTTCTTTGTTGGCTTTGATACAAAACGCAGAACTGTATTGTGATAATTTATGTGAATATCATTCATTAAAATATTGCATTTGAAAAGCGTTTATATCTAGGCTCTGGTCTTGATGCAGTAAATATTTATCAATGATATATTTAGAATATGAAATGAATAATGAAACATACCAGTCTTATTTCATATCATGTAAATACTTCAAAAAATGTCAAAAATCAATTATACGGTTTTAAATCGACCCAGTGTATTATCTTGCTAAGTTTAACTACATTCATTTCATATATCTAAAAAGCCTCACTTTTTTTCCTAAACATTTAAAGAGATAGATATAAAATTCATATAAATTACATTTATATTCATGTGAAGTTTACACGTACCGGTATACATATAATAAATGTAGCGTAAGTTGTATTTGCAAAGCACCTTTGAATGTCGGGTTTCCAAATATTTACAATGCAATCGAGATAAACATGAAAACACGTATGAATGGTACTTCCCTATGTGAGTAATTGTTATGAACAAATTGAAACGTTTTCAATCCATCCCCTATCACGAATAATATTTCCGGCCGAACGAGCACATTTGATTAAAAATCAAAGTTCACCCCTGCACGTCGAGGATTGAGAAATAATTTATCGAAAGAGGCGTCTTGCATGTATGTGGGAACATTAGAAAATTGGGGATTTGCTTTTGGGCCCTGTACATGGGGACATAAAAACGACCAAAATAAATCAGCTGCACCCATTGCAATATTTGGAATCTTTATCTCTCTTTCTACTTCTAACTACCTTTTACCTCCTACCGCCTAGCTTGGCAATACCTCACTTCTAGCTTTAATGTTGAGCGTTCGCCCAGGGGAGAAAGACAGTGGGTTCTGTCCCTAGGCCGGGACATACCAAAATCCTCAAAAATGGTAGTTGTTATTCCCTGCTTAACGTTCAACTGTAATGGTAATGACAACAACTGGTTCGCCCGTTGTCAGTATAATATGACCGGGCGGGATACTGAGTTGTGTGCCTTCGGCATGGTATTTCAGTGAGATAGCACAATAAAATCGGCATCGGTTCCGCGCTATGACAACTAGTACACCAAAATACCCTGTCTCCGACAAACATACACACATGCACGCTTACACAACACACATGGAGACACGTCCTTAAATGACCTAAGCTGTTAATAGGACGTTAAACAAAATAAAACCAAACCAAACCAATCTTTACAAATAAAAAATCGGTAACATTAGATCTTGACATTTCAGGGCAGGGTTTGGTTTTGTATTGAAATGCCACTCTGTTTCTTACTGTATGTAGCTCGCATAGATATTGGATATCAAAGACAGAATTCAATTACACTGTACATGACGTACAAAAAAAAATATCAAGCAAATTACAGATACTATTAAGGTTTACTAATTACAAAGTGAAATTAATGAAAAAATTATAGAGACTTAGCTTATATTTCTTCCGGTCCCATTATATACTAATTCGGTCTATATGCTATTGATATGGGCACAATGAAGATTTCTTTAGAGGTAACCGAATGCCTTTTGTGAACGAACAAGAAAAGATTACAACGTGTATTTAATAGTTAAATTCGCTATCTTACTCACAATCGTCATTACATATTTTTTTCATTTTTTTTTCATTTCTCATTTCAAACAAAGAAAAATTTTGTCACAGGGTTTTGGTAAAAACATAAAGAGAAGAACGTAAACTTCAAACTAATCGCAGATTTCCTCTGAATTTAAATTATTCTTATTGAATACTGAGTCCCTATAAGTAGTGAAACATACTTAACCAGATCACCTAGCCCCAGTTGCTAAAAGATTGGTTAACTTCAACAAGTGGTAAGTGAAACTTCAAAGTAGTGTCTCTTAAAATCCAAGGCCTTTCAAGCCAAAAATTATCATCTTATCTGTCTCAACAAATCTTTGGTAGTGAAAAAATATCAGATGTTCTTAATTTTTGTTTTATCGATACTTTTCTCCTAACTGCTGAGTAAATCTAACCAAGCTTTGTGAAACCGAGGCCTTGTTTCTTTGTCCTTATTTGGTTGTCGACAAAAACTATACATGTTTTTGGAAGATGCATTTAATAGGAGCGTTTATATCACAAAATCTTCTGTAGAGGCATTTGAACAGGTGACATAGTTGTTTTTGTTTATTTTTCAATTTTTAATTTCTAATCACCGTTGATAAGTCGTTTGGAGCAAAATCATGAAAAAATAAAAGCACGTTTATGAAAAATCCTTAAAAATGGAAAATACAAACATATATGAAGGTTATATATCTCATTTACTTGATATTTCATGTTATACATCACCCTAATTGGTTGTGATAAATAACGTTTCTACCATTCCATGGACATTGTACATGTTGTTCTATGTACATGTAATCGTTTTGATTCAGAAAGTTGATGAATTTTGACCTTGTGAGCTGAATTCTGTGACACAACTTTTTATTTAACATTTGTCGAACAATTAAATTGCGATACAAATTTGGCTCTGATGAAATGTATCGATCAGGGACAGTTTCACAACGGAAAAGAACACTAAAATCACTTAAACTGATATTTATATGTATTTTGAATGCAATTAATCGCACTTAAGAAGTATACATTAAACAAAACTCTGAGAAGTATGGATAACAATGATGACTTCTTGAATAACTTACATATACCCGAGACATAACCCCACGAGCCGTTTGCAATATAATTCTTCAAAATTTAATGTTCGTAATTTTTCCCGTCACTAAATTTGGATTGCCTCTGCGTTTGTCCCCGCTCTTGCTCTCTAGGTTATAGGTTACAATACATTGATCAGTATGAGGAGTTCCGAATTTAAAGTTCATGTCATAAAAGGTAACTTGGGTTTATAGAATGAGCAGGCATGTGTATTTAATCAGTTGGAAGTTTGACAACTCAGTGATAAATTTAAAGGGCGCCATAATATAAACATTGTAATTGTTATTTTATCAGAGTACTGTCAGCTTAGTTATCAAAATATACTAATTTGAAGGCTTAAGGACCCCTGTCCCCCTGCTTTTTGTGGTTTTTCGTACCTACAGTAACCTCCCTTCAACTTTCGTTTGGATATAAATGTTCCACAGCTGGGCCAAAACAGTTCCATTGACCAGGTAGCTCAATTGGTCAGAGCGATAGTATATCAATCGGAAGTACAGGGTTTGAATCCCGGTCTAACCCTTCTTAACTGTTTCCACTCAAAACACCTTTACCGATTATATTTTGTTTATTTCATCTTTACTCTTTCTCATAAATGTCCCAAAAAGAATGATGTATCAAAGATATAGTCTTGCCGAAAAAAATTGTTTTCATCACTTAGTTCCAGTTTTTGGAAGTGGCACGGGGATCCTTAAATGTCAAAACTAAGCGAGCTGTATAAGTAGTCTTTAGCCTTTTGTTTGATATATACTATATATAGATATACATCATGACTGGCATTAGCTATATGTTGTTGAAGCTGTGTTGTATCAATTACATAGAGGTCTATTAGTTTAATTACAATTTAATTACCATTTAATATACTCAAGTTTTCATAATCATTATGTGTATTCAAATTACCCATGGCTTTTTATGACATTAAATATGATTACTCTAAGATAATAACTATCAAATAATATATAATGATAACAAGAATAATTGAAAAGTCCCCCAGGCTAATGGAGAAACAAGGTCCTGTTAGAGTTTGAAAATATTGTGTTAAGGGTCCCTGTCCCACTGCAACGGGGTCCGTGAAAACAACAAAAAAAGAAAACAAAAATACGGAAAATCTTTAAAGAAAACATTCAAATGTACATATCTATATTAAAATAACCGACTCACTTTTACTTCATGTTGTTTTGATTACAGATTTTGGACGATTTTCCCTAGGACAAACACCAACGTAAACCCCGAATCAATAAAACGGAAGATCCACCTTGTTGCTGGAACAAGGAAGACTCAAGTTCCCCAACAGACAGATTATAAATACGGCGATTCACATGGAGCATGGCTAAAGAAGAAGAAAGAAGTAGAACGGAAATTAGAACCAGATTCTTCTGGCGATGAAAGCGATGGAAATGATGACAAAAATGACGAGGCTTTTAAAAACTGGATAGAAAACAAAAAACATCCACCGGAGTCTAAACGTCACGTGACTGGAAATCGGCCAATCCACGGCATCATTACAATCGGAAGTACAGAGGTCGGGAATGCAGCGCAACCGGATTCCACCTTCAACATCCGGGCATATAAAGAGTGGTTAGGCAGGCGAAAACAGCATGGTCCTAAATCACACCGAATGCGCACTATGCAAGATTTCATGGCGCAGAAACGGACGCTGGAAGAGAAAAGACAGCAACTTTTGTTGACCGCTGTTTCGTACGATGAGTGGCTTGAACATACTGGAGAAAAACAGGCTTTAATTCGACAAATCCTTGGTGCTGACATAAACCAACTCAGAGTGATAGAAGAAAGGGAGTTACAGAAACGTCCCAAACTGTATAGTGCGAATGGTCAGATAAAAATGGCCACCACCGAGAGTGGAACAAGGACAGTAGGTGGGCAGGACAAAGACGCATTAAGGAAAGAACTATTGCGGTATAATGCATCCGTGCACAAGCACGAGGCTCCCCTCAAAATTAACAACTGAGCGTTGCTCTAGCGCACCGTATCAGAGTGTTTAGACAAAAATACAGAGAAAAAAATCGACAGAAATATCTTATTTAGAAGTAGCATATTGTCTTGGGTTGTAATAGAGACACATTTGTCCGTTCAATATGACATACTGTAAACCGCTCTGATTTCGCGCGGGGAAATTTTCTCGGTTAAGTTGTATTGTATTCGCTATGTATAAATCCTTCCTTAAAGTTTCGACGCAATTAAATCCATTATATTACTTGACACGGAGTGTTGTTCTTAACTATTTAACCTTGAAAATAAGAGCATCACGAAAATATAGCAAAAGTTAAGCATCAAGAACATACTTATTATTAATGGGCAAAAAGATCAAAATCTACAGTACTGTGAAATAAGATATTTTCATGGGACCCCAACATTATTTTGTCGATACATGAATTCGTGGATTATAACTTCCCACTCATACAGACTAATGTGGGTTTTTTTTATCAAACTTGTAATTATTTGGCGGATGAAGAGCACTAACGAAAACAATGAAATAAAAAATCACGAAAATCAGTGATTTCACAGTATGTGGAGTACATTTTTTCCTTTCTGTTTAAAAGGACATACCTCAAAAACCCTGTAAATTTTGGACAAATGAGGTATGGTTTGTTAGGTTCTTTATAACAGTTATCACGTTTTCTTAAATAAACTGTTTGTGACTGGAACGATTAGAGGAATACAGAGTAGGAGGATTTAGCCATACAGGGTACTATAGGCCTAACAAATAGATAGAACTCGCTCTAGTAATGCTTAGAATGGATAAAGAATATTAATAGATATTAAGGTTATTTGTCACTTTACAGTGTACGTAAAACTCCTTTCGAAAGATTTCCACAACACGAAGTTCTTACAATTTTTTTATTATATTCATAAAAAAAAAAAATCCAACAGAACGTATGCCAAGATAACGTGCAGATAAAGTATGTGAATCGTTAGATAATATATGCTGAAATTGTTGAATGGCATTAAGTTATTTCTACCATAATTGCCGTATGCCATATTGCAATCAGTCCATGTGTTATGAAGTTTAACAATTGTTTGTTAATTGTACGAATAGCACATATGTATGTTATGAAAAGTACGCATTTTCATTGGCTATGGGAGAACTCGAGACCAGGGCCTGTACTCATGAAATCGTTCTCATGCTCAAGCACGGATTCTGTGCTCAAACCAACTTTCTTGTAACTCGCTTTTATCATGTTAAACGATAAAAAAGTCAGATGTAATCAATTTTTTGCAAGAAAAAAAATTAGGCTTGAGCACAAAATCCGTGCTTGAGCATGAAAATGATTTCATGAAATCGAGTCCAGGCATTTTCGATCTCATTACCTTTAAATATGACGTCACAATAGAGCGACGTCACAATAGAGCGACGTCACAATAGAGCATCATCACTTTTTTATAATCAAAGATAAGTATTTTATTAAAGAGTTATAATGTTTATGAAGAACTGATTCAACAATTCATTGTTTTACTAATGCTTGCATTGATTTCTAGTACTTATGAAAACTATATTGAAAAGTTGGTAGCGAAGCATTATCAACGTTTAGATGATAATCAGACACTGTAACACGTTCTGTCTGAACACGTGGTTATTAAATAACATTTAACTTTCAACAGAGGAAAATAAAATACATCATGATAAAATTTTACAATGTTTGCTTTGTCATTTTATTTTTAAAGTTTTTACAATACATTATGTACTTTGAAATCAGATATTTACGTGGGGCAAACTTTTGTGGTTTCCCGAAAAAGACATAATTTTTTTGTTACATCAATTGATGAAATTCGGAGAATTGCTTTACATCAAACTTGTAATTACTTCGTGAACTTATGAATGCGTGGATGAAGATTACCCACGAAATCAACGAAATTACAAAACCCACGAAAATTAATGATTTTACAGTACTTTAAACTGAAAAAAAAAATTAAGATGTAACTTTGATACAGATATGATACTAACTGTATAAATAATCAGAAGTCTATTTCTATTCAGTCTATTTAGGTTTACATACCTTAAAGACATATTAATCTTAATAGATTTAAATCGTCCCGTTTCCGTATTGTCTTCTAAAGTCTTATCATATGCAATAAGTATTTACCAACAATTTCAGCTGCAAATTTGTAAGAATAATAAGTTTAAATCACGACCATATCCAAATATAGCAAAAACTGCAATTCAAACTCAAAATTGACAAAACTAAAACAACATCTTATCATAATATTGCAAGGATACCAATGATCATTATTACTGACAATATTTTCTGTTTTGGCTGAAATCGTTTCCTGGTTTAGTCTGGCAGTACTCTATATCATGAAACATCAAAGATTACGTTCTTTCAAAATGCTGTGAGTTTATAATTTTTCATTGATATATATTTAAAAGGTAAGCAGAAACGTTTTGATTTAGGCCAGTAAAAAATCGACATCCTCTTGCCGGTAAAGCAAAAGAGAAATCTCCCCTTACTTTTACCTATTGATATTACTGTAGTGCACTTCCTTCGATCGGGAGGCTCATTTGAATTTCAGTGATCGAATACTGGTCCATCCTCGTTATCTAGGGGTAACGCTCACACGTACACTCTCTGCACCCCTGGAACATGTCATAGCAAATTGAAGGCACTAAGAAAGCTGATTGATTAGTCTCAGGTAAAAAAACCAGACCAATCGCTCGGCTGATACCTGTCCTTTGAAGATTACAAAGGAGCGACACCCCACTTCAAAGCTAGTCAATTTTTACTGTTACGCGACCGTGAGATTCTTTTCATTTACATCAAAGCATCGAGCTAGCCTTCTTGTCTCATCAACAAAGCAATGCACACTGAGCCTTCAATTTTGCTATGACATATTCCAGGGGTACAAAGAGCGTAAATGAGCGTAACCCCTGGGTATCGAGGATCGATGATACTGGTAAAGCCCGGCTGATTTTGTTTTAACAACCGGAAGGCTGTTGGTAATTATATTTTTGTAAATGTCATATTTTTATTTATGCATAAAAGTCCCGTAAGGTGTGATTTCCTATTAAGAAATTAATTTTCCTAAGTTTAAATCATCGTGAACAGATGAGTTTCCAATACAAAGATGTAATTTTGGCAGTGGTACGGGGATCCTGAAATTTTATATTTTATTCTCTGTACTTATACACTGTTTATGTTTCATAAAAAATATACAAGATTTACTGGACACGTTACAGCTTCGAGGTGTGTTTGGTAAACGTTCCTGGAATCGTCATTGCACTTCCGCTTTTTAACATTGGGTCCCAGTTAGGGTCCGTCAGAGCCTCGCGGTCAAGACTAAATAGTGATATATCATACTGGGTTTTCCCGTCTACAGCCATCTCTGTCAGAATCTTTCCAAGGAAACTTGCCCATCTAAAAATAAAATGGAAATGCATCATCGTTACTGTCGTTTCTTTGGTTTGGTTTTTTTCGGCTTTACGTCCTATCATCCCTATGTAACTTAAGTAAACTCTTCCATGCATTGATCTGGATGAGTCCATTATGATCTACAGTGGTGAAAGTGTAAACAGCTTTGGTCATTTAAGGACGTGCAAGGTTTTGGTGGTTGAGGAAAGCCGAAGTTCCCGGAGGAAAGCCACCGACCTGTTGACTGCCCCCACGGTCTCGAACCCACGACCCAGTGGTGGAGGGCTAGTGGTAGTAGCAGAATGTCAGACGCGTTAACCACTTGGTCCACCGGCTGACCGTTGTTTATATGGTAGATACAGCTTAAGGGATACACTAACAATTATATCTTATAGGTCAAACGTATCATGGATTCATTACAGGTGAACGCGACACACAAACGTGATTTCACCTTACAATTTGGTAATAGATACAGTAAGCCAACAGACTGCATCATACAGATGTTTCGTTCTTCTTGGATTCAACGTTGATGCTAGCGGCCATAAAATTGGAAATCCAAAATGCCAAAATCTACTTTTGAGACAGAGGAGCAGGTACGTAAAAGTAAAAACCCAATCATGAATTAAAATTTTAGAAGGGAACTGTTTAATTTCAAATTTAATCAATCTGGCCTTAACTTTATGACACAACTAAGAGTTGGTGCAAGAACGATCGTTAATTTTCAAATGATATACATGGAATGTATTGAGATCCTTTTAAAAACATCATTACCCATCCGAACTGACAAAGTAGCTCTGTGGTACCTTCATTTGACATGCTGATGCAGAACCAACTATCCATATGGTTTTATGACAGGTTTTAGAATAATTTTAATAGAATTTCAATAAAACCAACTTCAATGCAACATAATATGCTGCATTGAAGTTGCAAATTTATTGAATTATATACGCTTGTTACATTTAATAAAATCCCTTTTCGTCTTTGACCGTAAAACGTTTCTTCAAAACATATTTTCCACACGTAAGTTATAGATTGGAATCGGTTTCTTTCTGATAGTTGGTCTATCAAGTTTATCTTTCTCTCATCAAATAAATGAAACTCGATTGACATTACCACCATTGATTAGGGATTATATATTTCATAAATCACTTTTGCATTCATTTGAATAGAAATCCGAGAGGCAATGACATAAGATATTTGACTTTCGATGAATGGAAAGGGTTGCAAAACTGAACGTAAGACACATACGCATATGATTGTACCTATAAGATTAAGTAATTGATATAGAATTCCAAATTCCAAAGTGAATTAAAATGCACCGTACAGGTGATTTTGTCTGCTGGGACTTATCGGTAATGCTAGAGGCTGAAAAGGTGGAAATCTAAATTTGTTTAACTACTGTTTAAACAGAAGGGGAAGTTCATAAACCTAATTGATTATATGAATCACAAAAATACAGGAGCAATGGTAATTTTCACATTAATATTGATTATTATACCTCTACTTTATTTGCTCTATATAAAAATAATTGGTTAAATCGAATATATCCCCACTTTTGCCTGACTGTGTTTTAGTCCTGTGTGTTAGTCTAGGAACTAAAACCCACCTACACTCCGGTGTTTCCACCGAGCCAATCAGGCGAGAGGTGGGCGGAGCTTGTTACCGAACTCGGAACCGACGCGCGAGGTGGGCGGAGCTTGCTACCGAACTCGGAAGCATTTTTGGCTCTATTGTGATCTACAGCTTATGGTTTACAAATAATTTCTAGTTAAAACTATCTCTACAGTGTGAATATATCGGTATAATAAAACGGTTAAAGTATGAGGTTGAGGGATGTTAGCAAGTTTCTGGTGTCCCTTGACCATGCCTATTTCCCTCGGCTTCGCCTCGGGAAATAGACCTGGTCTTGGGACACCAGAAACTTGCTATATCCCTCAACCCCATACTTTAACTGTATAATAAACACAGTGTTTATATTATGAATCCTGGTACTATTCAAAAGAGATCATTGTGGACACCATAGTGACGGTAAAACTAGGAGGTTAAAAACCCCACCAGCAGAGTCTACCAACTTGCAGCTTGAATGATGAACGTACATTTACGACACACACGTTATTTCACATAGTGATTTCTCTTACTTATACGCATGCCCGGCGCCACAGAAGACTATCACATCATCCCATCCTGTCTTGGCGCAGGTATCTAAGATAAAATGTCGGTCTGGAGGACTTGTATACAGACACGTCTTTGTATACAACAGTGGACCAAGGGCCTAGAATATACAAAAAAGCGGATGGAGAGTCAATAACATATGTTAAGACTTTATCTCTTATTTTTAATATATTCACAATATTTAAGAAATGAATCGATATTTTTACCATTGTTGCTAGTGTTGAATATATATTTATATATATTATGAGAATATATAATATTGAGTCCTTCGAATATTCCATAACAAATCGTATGTTACCTCCACATTTTGCAGAATTATAGTTTTCTCATATTTTAATTGAAATGGAATTAAAAAATGAATACAGGTAAACTACATGGGTGACGTTAACAGTGCAATGCCAAAACTTAACCAATTATACCTTGCAGAAGTTTAATACATGTAAAAAATATTGTTAAAACGATTGCGCCGTTCATTCAGTCTTTGCGTATTGAAGAGTTATCTTCTCTTGTGAGCAGGTATTGATTGTTACGTCATTGGTTTGTGTGAGAAAATTACGTCGTTTTCTCAAAAAATGATGACGTGACTCACACAAACAAATGACGTAACAATCAATACCTGTTCAGAAGAGAAGATTACTCAGCAATACGAAAAGACGGAAAGACCGCGAAGAAATATTAAAACCTTGGCAATGAAATTTACTTACATTCAGAACACTGTTTAACTAATAAATAATAAAGTCTTTATTTTATCTTTACTATTGTTCTCATAAAACTCGAAGTTACGATTTTTGGCAGTGCAATGGGGGATCTTAAAGTGAAATATATACCATGCATACCTTGGGTATGATACTCTGTAAGTAATCTCTGCATGCCTGCTCTGTGATTGCGTCTGGCTCAAAGGTTCGTGTGTCTCCGGTGACAATAGGGCCACTAGCATCTAATGCAACCTTGACTCCCGAGTTTCCATGTATGGGTAATCCGTAGAACATATTCTTATTTGAGTGGTGAACCCAAATCGGGAATCTACAGGATTTTAACAGTTGAATAGAATGTTCGAAATTAAAATTTTATTTATTTATTTATTATTACAATATAATAAACATACTTTGCTCATAGATTATATAATTATGGATGAAACGATATTATATTTGGCTCTGTACAATTAAAAAATAAACAATAAGCAAATTATTACCTCTCTTTGGTGAAATCTTTGATGTTAGGAGTTGCGAAGTATGTTACTTGTTCTTGGGTGACGTAGATTGGGATGTGAATGCCCACTGACCCAAGCACCTCGTTGAACCAGGCTCCAGGGGTCACCACCAGACGGCGACACTTGAACACCCCCTTTGCCGTGTACACCTATATAACCGTAAAGGACAGGATGGGCTTGCTAGTAATTGGCCCCGACAATCATTTGTTAATCTACTACGATAAAAACATTGTATTATCGCTCAACTCGAGTTCGCATATCAGTCCCGTTTCAGTTTTAAGATATAAATTTTAAGCAACTCGAAAAAATCTTACTTTTTTCTATTTTGAAATCATTTCCTGTGTGGAAAATGTTAGTATTTATGGTATATCATTTGTCAAGAAAACCTTACTTTGATGTGTCCATCTGTTGCACGTTCCACGCCTTTCACAGGGCAATTTTCTATAATACGTGCGCCCCTCCCCCGGGCCAGCTGAATATGCACAGCGTTTGCCATAGCTGCATCTACGAGACCCGTCTCTGGATCATACATGACATCGTAGCTGTCGTCCATTTCAAACTGAGGGAAACGTTCTCGAAGAGCCGAACCCTTCATACGTTCATATCTTAACAGAAAATTGTGACGTACAGGCATGTTAAAATTCAGGGTAGCACTCAAATGTCATATGCAATGGTTATATTGCCAATTTTCATATCGCACAAAAATTATAAAATAGTTATAAGAATAATTTTTTATATTAATATATTTACAATGTTTGTATGCTCTTACGAAAATAAAAATACAGTATGAAATTTCATTATAAAAATAAAAGATAACCAACTTTCTCATCGTGCTACAATAATATGAAAACAATATACAATTTCCTTATTAATATTGATAGATTGCCATTTTGTAAATCGTCCTACAATAATAATATAGCAATAAAAAGAATATTATAACATTTATATATCGTCAATATTTGTATCGTCTACCGAACATTTAAGAACAATGTAAACATTCGTTATAGATATTGATTGATTGCCAATTTTCATTTCGTCCCGCGATAAATGTAGTAATATTTCAATAGAAATATTGATAAATTTTCATTTTTCTTATCGCCCAACGATTAAAATTACCAATACAAAAGGTATTTTAACGTTTTTATGTCGTCAATATTTGTATCGTGTACCGAACAGACAAGAACAATGTAAAATTTCATTATAGATATTGATAGATTGCCAATTTTTATATCGTCCTGAGATAAAAGTATGACAATATAAAATTTAAAAAGAAATATCGATAAATATTGTCATTTTTCATATCACCCTAAGGTAATAAAAAAAAAAACTATGAAAAAAAAAAAAATCTTATATTTTATATTGATATATAATCTATGTTTGTAACGTCTTACGAACAAACCTAGCAATATGAAATGACATGATGTATATTGATAGATTTGCAAAGTTCCTATCGTCCTGAATTATTTAAGTAGACTTTTGAAAACTTTGTATAACTATTGTACATGTAGTTTAGATTTGAATCAGTTTAAAATGTCATCATGACATAAACAATATAAAAGAATGGGACAGATAACAGTAAGATTTCTAAACATAACAAATATGAATCAATAGATCAACTATTGATAATAATAATAATAAACAACAACATTTATATAGCGCCTATATAATTTGTAAAATTACTCTAAAGCGCTTTACAACATATGGATAATAATATTAGTTGTAATTGTTAGAGAGAAAAGGTTTACAATCACCATAATGCATTAAGCAAGTTGATGATCATCTCAATGTGCACATAAATGAATAAATGTGCAAAGAGCCTAAAATGCAGACGTGAAGAGGTGAGTTTGTATGCTCTTCTTGAAATTGGCCAGGGTGTTTGACTTTCTAATAGCAGATGGTAAGCTATTCCACAACGTGGTCGAATGCCTAACAAAGCCGCGGTTTCCATAGATTTTGGGACACACAGCAATTATTCTGTCTCCGACCGCAGTGATCGTGACGGCTGATACAGGGTAACAAGCTCCTGTAGGTCATGGGGAGCTGTTCAATTCAGTGCCTTGTGTGTGTACACCAAAATTGTGTACTGCGACCTGTATCGTACAGGTAATCAGTGCATTAAATATAGCACATGTGTGATGTGCTCTCTCTTTCGAGTACGAGTAACCAGACGTGCTGCAGTGTTCTTGACCCTCTGTAGACGATTGGTTAGTTTGTCAGATATACCACAGAGCAGGGCATTACCATAATTCAACCGAGAGGTAACAAGTGAATGCACCAAAATCTTGCATGCATCTGCAGTTATAAACTGCTGCTTACATTGGATACAATATGGACAGATGTCGACCGCACCCTTCCATACTTTCCTTGAGTACACTTGTCCAGGAAAATTTACCCGACCTATATGTAGGAGTAATAAAGAGAATCGTTACTCATAAAAAAATGTAACATGATAAAATTGTAAAATTGTTCTTTTTATACTATACTTGATATTGTAAGCATCCATCGCTTTGGCGTAATCATCCAAAGTGGTGCTATTTTCGTGTTTGGCGAAAAAAACACCACCAGTCTTATAGACCAGTTTGACGCCCGACTCTTCTTCCACTTCTCGCCATCTGATAAGATAAGATGAAATTTTAAAATCAGATGTTTCCCGCATTTATTTTAAGGATTCCTGTCCCACTGTACTGCCATTTTTCTTATATACTGAAACCTTTCCCTAACTTCCGTTGGATTGTAGCTGTAGTAGATTATAGCTCGTACACTTCTCCGTTGTCAAGGTAGCTTCATTGGTTACAGCGATGGTATGACAACCTGAAGTACAGGGTTCCAATTCTGGTCTGGCCCGAAAGAATATTGCAGAACCATTGGGCAAGGACATTTTCGTCGACCAAAATAACCCAATCGGTTAGAGCGACAGTTTAGCAGTCTCAGATTCAGGGTTCGATTCCGGGCCTTGTCCCACAGTGTCTGTTTTTACATTCAGAACACTCTTGTTAACTATACCTTATTTCTTTTTTATCTTTATTATTTTCTTAACAAACTCCCGCAAGGTATACTTTTCTTTTCAGAAATGATGTATCAAAGCTATAGATGAGTTTCGAATGCATATATCTTTTGTTGGCAGTGATACAGGGATCCTGAAACGTCGAACACTGTGGCACCAGGAAAACTAGCCCCTGTTATCTCTGGCCCTGACACCAGACTTAGACTTTTTTGCAGATAGATGTCTTGCGTGGGACCAGAGCGCACTACTCTATGAAAACGTGGATTTCTCCGACACCAACCGGTGTCGGCGAGTTTTGAGATGCTGACAAAACAAATCGACTATGACACAACACATCCCTCACATATATAGATAAATGTATTTTTGATATATCCATAACCGCTCTTATTTTGATCTGCTAATTTCCGTCAGAAGAGTCCTGGGTTTTCAATCGTTCAAATTGTCCACCTGACCGAAAGCCATTTTTGTAATTCATGGGCCGGAAATCTTCTAAACAAGATGATATATTCCGTTTTTGGTCCGGATCAGTACGTTTTGTTGATTAGTCACTTCCGTGACATATAAAAACAGCGATCGCACAGGTGTGAAATTTTGAACGATTGAAAACCGAGGACTCTTCTGACGGAACTGAGCAACTGTTAGTGACATAAGAGCGGATTTATATAAATAAATAATCCATTTATTGATATATGTGATGTATGTGTTGTGTCGAAGTCGATTTTTTTTATCAGCACCTCAAACTCTCCGACGTCGTTTGGTGATGGAGAATTCAACGTTTTGTTTATAATAGTGCGTTCTGGCTCCACACAAGACATCTATCTGTCAAAATTTCTAAGTCTTGTGTCAAGGCCAGAGGAAACTTGGGCTACAGGCTAGCAAGATTAATTTTGAAAACAAGTTTCTTTCTCTTCCGAATGTATATACTCCAATGTTTTAATTAAGGCTGTTAAGATAAAATTAACATTTATGTATTTTGACACCAACATTGTTTCTTTACATCCTAGGTGAACTATTAATGTTCGCGCTTTGCAGGCCTTTTATTGTTGTTTTTACCAACACGATTTAATCAGTACTCTTTGTATACTAAGATGTTAAAATAAAACATGTTTAGGATATTTCATATCTTTTTCATGTCGTAAAATATTTTATTTTATAATATAGGCTATATTACCGTTCAATTAAAAAAGACGATACAACTCACGTACAAACGTACAATACACACTCAAAGGAGTCTCGTTGCCGGTGGAAGCAGGACATATTCCTACGCACTGCAACTTCTGTAACCAAAATGGCTGACCTTGTTACCGGAGATACTTTTTGCATTGATGGAAGAGGCAAGGGCATTTCGATAAATTTCATTCATCAATAACTATTCTGACATCATTACAAATCAACACAAATTCTACTTCAACTGATCTGACCCACACACAATCAATGGCGACCTCGTGTAACCGGTTACCTTCATCATTGTTCCAGGTTCATGGCGGATTCCACAGTACGTTTTCCTGCTCAGTGACAGGCGGACAAATCGAGGTTCACAATCAAAGAGGGCCCATCAAGAGACGCGCACGTTGTATTGAAAGTGACGTTGAATGCATATTTCTGGGACGTCCCAGTAAATTAAAATAACAAAAAGGTGCCGACTACGATGTGTATTGTGATAACCTTTACCTTGACAGTGCACGCGCCGTTGTGTCAAAATATGTGACGTCATTATTATTTTCGTAAACGCTAGTCATATAGGATGCTTTTTAGCATAAAAAGTTCAACGTTCATAAGACAATTGTTAAACATTGATTGATGAAATGAAATCTAAATGAATTTTTGTTCATGTAAAAGGTTCTCAAAAAGAAGTTTTAGAACAATTGTTGTGGCGCAGCGAGCTCCAAACATAATGCATTTAATGTAGTTTTCAAATTGTATAAAGACAAGAGGTTTACCGAGTGTCTTTTTAATTTGAGAACTAATTAACGAGAGTAAGATAAACATGATTATCAACCATAACGAGTTTAGGAGCCTTTTTCTCCCGTAATGTTCAGATATTATATATAGAAAACCTTATGTTTCTCTTGAGAATATATTATTCCTGTTGCTGATCGGGGATACAGTGCCATTAACTGTGACGTCACAATGGCAGATGACGTCGCAAAGCATTTTTACTTGACGTCATAATTAAAAAATTGACCAATAAAATCACGTCCAGGGTATTACCCACTAGTGGGTAACCAAAAGCGTATTGCAGTCGTATCCGGATGTTTGCATACTGCTCCGGTTATTTATATGTACCTGAAGTGCATTGTGGGAAAACGCACCGTAATAAACCTCATCAAGCACATGGTTGTTGTGTTGTCTGTTTGTGGTGATAAACCACAGAACATTACATTGGCGACGAGGAAAACTGGGAAATGACTAGCGCATTCGGTAAGATAGAGGCCTACGAGGAATCAGTCGAAACATGGGAGCACTACACGGACGTCTGGGCCAGTATTTTGTCGCGAACGGCATTACTGAGGAAGCAGACAACAGGATTAAACAGCGAGCAATAGTATTGCTTAGCGTATGTGGTCCACGAAACGCACTTAAAAGTTATTCACGGATTTGGTATTGATCGTGAAGGATCATTATGCACCCCGACCATCGGATACAGTGCAAAGATACAAATTCAACAACCGTTTCTGGAAGGAAGGTGGGTCGATCACAGAATACATAGCTGCCCTCAGAAATCTGTCTGAACATTGTGAATAAGGTGCTTCACTCGCAATCATGATTCGCGATAAACTTGTTTGCGGTGTTAACAATGACAAAATTCAACGAAGACTGTTGTCAGAGAAAGAATTGTCTATGGAAACAGCAGCGAAAAACTCCATAGACTTACAGGGAGCACAGGGGCACGGATCGAGGTCCGAGGCACAAAGTAATGTCAATAAAGTGTCGCAAGATATTAATCGAGGCAACAGCTCTTGCTAAGCTCAAGGTCAGTGAAGAGGTCACGCCCAAGGTCATCAAGGTCAACATAAACCATGCTTCATGTGTGGGGGAAATCACGACCTAAAAATGTGTAGATTCAAAGACACCGAAATCAAAGACACCGAATATTACTATTGTAACAAGAAAGGACTCATAAAGGAAAAATGTTTGAGTTGACAGCGGAACAAAACAATACCTAAAAGAAATCATAATAAAGCACAGACACAAGTACACATGCTATAGGCAACTTCGGACAATATAAAACCGGATTCGGAGTTCTCGATGTTCAATATTAACCAAGTGGGTAAATTCAACGGATATGAAGTGACACTGAATGTTGTTTTAAAATAAACGTGACAATGGAAACTGACACTGGAGCAGTGGTAACTGTGATTGGGGAGAACACTTGTCAGCCAAGCTGAGAAATACCAAAAAGAAGTTTAAGACTTACACCGGTCACCGGTGAACCTATCCCAACAAGGGATGAAGGTGGCGTCTCAGTGAAATATGGAGACTATACAGGCATACTTACAGTGGTGGTTGTCAAGGGAGACTATCCCAGTCTTCTTGGACGGAGTTTGCTTTCTCATGTAAAGCTAGATTGAACCAGATATTTCAAGTCAATCAATATCCACTAGAGGATAAAGTTGATAAACTTTAAATTTTAAATGGACAACTCTCAGAAACCATTGTATTTTAGAGCTAGTCCTGTGCCTTATGCTTTAAGGGACAAAGTAGAGCTAGAACTTGATCGCTTGGTGTCAGAAGGAACTATCTCACCAGTAGAATTCTCTGAATTGGCCACACCCATTGTGCCAATTGTCGAAGGAGATGGAAGCAAAAGAATTTGCAGTGATTACAAAGTCACAGACGATCAGGTTTCGAAACTAGACAATTATCCTATACCAAAAACAGAAGATATGTATACATCATTGGGAAGCGGATCGGATTTCACGAAATAAGACCTTCGTCAAACCTACCAACAGCTGGAATTGGAGGAGGGGTCTAACGCATATACGACAATCAAAATACACACAAGGGTTTATTATTCCAGTACAACCGCCTACCCTACGGAATATCATCTAGTCCGGGAATCTTCCAGCGAATCATGGAAAACTTACTACAACGCATAGTGCATCTGGTAGTCCGAGTAGATGACATCTCAATATCAGGAAAGGATCGCCAGGATCACCTGTGAGATACCCTAGCTGAAGTACTTGCTCGTTTGGACATAGCAGGAGTGAGGCTGAAAAGGACAAAGTGTGTATGTCTGTCAGATGTAGTGGTCAAAATGGGACACAGGATCAACAGCAAGGGGATACAGCCCAAAGAAGAAAAAGTCAGAGCCATTAAGGAGGCTCCTACGCCACAAAGTGTTAAGGAACTCCAGTCATTTATTGACCTTCTGAACCACACGTATTATGCATATCATTTGCCAAATCTTAGCAGTGTGTTGTCGCCTAAATACTCACTACTCAGGAAAGACAGCAAATGGAAATAGAAAAAGGATGAAACAGACGCTTCTGATGCATTGCAAGTGCATTTTGACCCAAATAAGGAACTGGTACTCTCCTGTGACGCTTTGCCTTACGGATTAGGGGCAGTACTTTCGCACGTTGTACATGGTAAGGAACGCCCTATTGCTTACACCTCACGTACCCTAGCGCCAGCAGAACGTAACTACGCACAAATAGATAAGGAAGGCGCAGCTCTGATATTTGGAGTCCGGAAGTTACACTACGGTTGCAAATGTGTACTCTACACGGATCACAAACCCCTGTTAGGCTTACTCAAGGCAGACAACCCGATACCCTACTATGGCATCAGTCAGGATTAAACGGTGGGCACTGCTATAAGCAACGTATTAGTATGACCTACAGTATACGGAGGGATCACAGAACGGCAACGCTGATGGACTAAGTCGTTTATCTCTCGAGGACACAGTTGGAGAAATACTTACTCCAGGGGAGACAACTCTTCTTATCAACTACCTGGGCAGTGTTCCAGTAGACTTTCAGAGTATCCAGTCATGGACAGCCAATGACTCCACCCTGAATAGAGTTCTAACTTACGTACAAAAGAGATAAGTGTGGTCAGGAGGACTTGAAGCCTTAATATACACGCCGAACAGAACGGAGTTCTTATGACGATGTCTTATCTGGGGGACAAGAGTGGTAGTCCCAACAATTGAACGTAAACAATTGTTAGATGAACTTAATGAGGGACACCCAGGGATGGTCCGTATGAAGAAATTGGCACGAAGCTACTTCTGGTGCCCAGGAATAGATTCAGACATTGAAAATAAAGTCCAGGGATTTCAGGATTTGCCAGGAACATGGTTCGATTCCTGCGGTACCTTTAGCTCCTCTCCATCCATTGGAGAGGCCTGAAAAGCCATGGTCCAGACCTCATGTTGACTATGCTAATCCAACCTTAGGTCAGATGTTTCTAATCATCGTAGATGCTTACAGCAAATGGTTAGAAGTGTACCCTACAAAAATGTCGACGTCAGTCGTGACCATCGACAGATTGAGAGAATGTTTCTCTACTCATGGTCTACCTGAGATGGCGGTGTCGGACAATGGTCCATATTTTATTAGCGAGGATTCACAGCCTTCAAGTCTGATAATTGAGTTGTACATGTGGAAATATCTCCCCATCATCCTACATATAATGGGCTCGCGGAAAGGTCGGTCAGGATGTTCAAGGAAGGCATGAAAAAATGCAAAATTCTAAAGGAAACATTACACGGAAATCGAGTAGATTTCTATTAGTATACCGGTCAACTCCACACTCTACAACAGGAGTGTCGCCTGCGGAGTTCCTGATGGGAACAAAACTTGACCTTGTCAAACCTGAGGTCAGAAGTCCTGTCAGGAAATGTCAAACCAGTCAAAATGTCTATCATGATGAACATTAATATTGGCGACGAGGATAGGACCTATTGAGGACAACGTAGGGTGTTTATTGAATTATATAATAAATATAATCTAACACTCGTGATCATGTACTATTAAATTTATTAAACACGTTTAATAAATTCAATATTACATGAACACTCGTGTCAGATCCTCTATGTATAACTTAGGCTCAACTGGATATCGACTTGTCTTTGACTATTATTATGATATCCATTACAACACAACGTATACTTACGCTTTGTAGGTTTCCGGTGCTAGTTTTGTATACCGTTTATCGTGGTAGGTTAACCGACTGAAAGGTAAAGGTAAAATTTAAACCACAGTAACGAATAAAAAAGACAGGATTCAAGCAAAGATACGACAAGATAATACCTAAATGTCAATGAAATCGTTATTCGAACCCCAAATCGATTAAAGTAGGAAAACATATTAACTAAAACAAAAATATCTACATGGATAATCTTGAACATTTACAAAGAGGAAAAGACCAGGTATTCCAGAAGAGTAAGCGTCTTCTTCTTTATTGACAACATCCTCCATGGAAATCTAGATCAAAACCAAGGTATGTATGTCCTCCTAGCTAAAGCAAGTTGGGAAGTGACAATGAAGTAAATAGGCACATGAGCATAATCAAAAACGTACATCTTTATATCTACACAAAGAAATAAACAACATATTTTCTATAGGATCATTATAGCAACCATACAACTTGTCAATAGCGTTCATCAACCTGCATACATAAATGTATGTGGGTGAAAAAGAGAAAGGAACTTGAAAAGTACGAATACTAAAGGAAGGACATCTTGAGCACCAAACCAGAAACAAATATTAACTGATCTGAAAGGGTCGGCATTTCCCTAACCAAATGCGGCATACCTCAGTGGTGTCTTCCGTCAAGTCCAGGGAAGTAGACACAGTTAAGCAATCTTTTAATAATTAAAGTTCCTGAAAATTCTAGTTTTGAAGTCACATGATAATGATGATGGCTATAAGCATGATTTAATGTAAAAGAGAAGCCTTCCGGGCAGAAAAACATATTCTCAATAATTCTAAATTTTGATATATAGTAAATACGAAATGATGAAAAAAATAAGAACAGTTTCAATTTCTGAGTTCCTTTTTGTGAATCTGTTGGCTAGAATGTGCTGGTCTTAAAAAGTCTATCTGCTTATGGTTTTATTTTCTCATTTATCAGCAAGACACAGTACAAGAACAGTTTTAATATTCCAGCTTCGCTTTATGAATCTCTAATTTTTTGTTCACAATTAGTTTGGTTTGGTTTGGTTTGGTTTGTTTGCGCTTAACGCCCTATTAGGCATAACAGCTATGGTCATTTAAGGACGTGGCCGGTTTTGGTGGTGGAAGAACGCCGGAGTTACCGGAGAAAAACCACCGACCTATGGCCAGTACCTGGCGACTGCCCCACGTAGGTCTCGAACCCGTGACCAAGCGGTGGAGGGCTAGTGGTAGCGGAATGTCAGACGCCGTAACTACGACAGAGGTAACATTTGATGAGTAATACGGACGGCTACCTAATACAGTCACCTGTGATATGTAAAAGCCTTAAACATAAGGCGAGCGACTGCATCTTAGGAAAATGTATTATTGTCACCAAGAGTTCACAACATATATTATGTACATTTTTTGTACTTCAAACTCTTTTATTCACAAGGTTAATGTATACATATAAAGTAAAATATGGATTTAAGGTAATGAAAATAATATCTAGAAGTTGAAAGAGAATAGTTTAGGTAAATAAAATCTCAACCTATCTTTTTTTTGCATATATCACATTTATGTACGTAAAAAAGATATTGATGAAGTAAATAAAAATGTTCGCATGGAATTCAGGCCAATGGTTATCGAAGTATACAATCATAAATATGAACATTAAAAATGGAGATAATTTATTAACAAATTATTGGTCTGTTTTATCTTAACATATGACTTTTACTCAGTGCATGAACATTAAATGACATGATGTTACCAATAAATTATAATACATACATATCAAGCTGAATAATAGGTTAACATTATAACTTCAAACATAGTTCACAATATAATTAAAGGGACCAGAAAGAGGTTATACTTTAATAAAAATAATTTAAAAAAAAGTTTTCCTTTTTTTTTTTTGCAACTAATATTCCATGTTTGTCTATGTACAAGTATTGTTTTCGTCTTTATATCACCCTTGCTATTGGACAACATTAAAAAAAGTAGATCAATGAAAAATAGCTATTGTGTAAAGTGACGTCTAACACATTTATATCGGGTAAACACAACATTTATGGGGACTATTTCAAAATATTCTAATTCCTTAAACAGTCCCGCAATCTATAAATGTTTTGGTCTGAATGTAGACGAATATCATAGATTTAACAGCAAAGTAAACTTAAAGCATATACACGTATGTAGAAGACGATTGGTTGGATAATTAACTTTAACATTTCTTGAGATATTAATTTGTTTTCGTGCCTAATTATAAAAATGATGCATTATATGTTTCACTATACGAAAATTATACAAATTAGCTATAGATAAATTATGAACAAAGTGCATTAAAGTTTGATATATTAAGTGAATATGTAATTTCCCTAAAATAAAGGCGTATTATACAGTTAGATAATTTGCCAGATTTGTATGTAGTTATAAACCTTACATGATCCTGGAATGGTCCTGAGAACCGCCATTACTGTGACCAAGTTGAAACTGTTCCAGACCTAAAACGTCTGCAACAAACGAAACGAAGGAAGTGGCGTGTTTTGTTTATAATTTGATTTGAACATTTTTAACTGCTGTTTTAATTTTAATGTGTTCTTACTTCTAATACTCTAAAATAGTTTTAAATATCTGCGTATAGAAGTGGTAGAATAGGTCACCTGACTTATCGTCATTTTGTTTTGTTTTTAATGACATCAAACCCCGAAAACAAAATACGCCAATACTTCTAATTCTCAGAATGAAGTTATTATAACAAAATCACAGTCACAATTGTAAACATAAAAAATAACCTCAAATTCTAAAATAAAATGTAGCATAGAAACATTTTTTTTTTTTTAATTTTTTTTTTTAGGTTCAAATTGTTTGATTCCCCCAGCATCTTTGAGAGGAATGCCAGGGTTGGGGTGCCCCGGGATCATCCCTCTTACATAATATAGACTCATGCAAAAGGCCTCTTTCTCTTCATTCTCTAACAAACCTTGCCACTAACAGAACAAAAAAATGCATATATGTTATCCAGCACTATATGGCTTATGTAAAGACAGTGCCTGTGCTATCTCACAAGTGTATACCAGTAGTAACGAGACTTTATGTTATTAGAGATACGTTGTATCAGGGCTATAACAATGCCTGAATCTATACTAAAATATACGGTGGGTAGGATGGCGCAGTATACGTAGATAGCGCACTTGCCGTTCACCAAGGCGATCGAGGTTCGATTCCCCGATCGGACGTGAAAAGGTATTGGGTCACCTGCCCTTTCACGTGGAATTTTTTCGGGTACTCCTCTTTCCTCCCACAGTAAGACCCCCGCACGCTAACATCCGTGCCAACAAGAGTGATTAGTAAAAGTTGGAAAACTTGTTTCATAATTGTTGTAAAATATATGAAGTTTATATATTTTATATTTTGTTTCATACTATGATATACAAAACACCGTACTTTAAAGTAACGATAATACTCACCTGAGCCCACCCGACGGGACAACCAGTAAACCGCCGCACTTCCGACTCCGCCACACCCAATTACAATGTAGGGATAGAACCGCCTCTCGCTCTCCATGTTCAAATTACACGAGGTGCAATGTAGACTGGCGTTCCTAGATGTATGCATCAACGTTGATGTGCTGCCCTATCTCTATATCATTTCGTCACAGCTGGTCACCTAATAGCATGTACCAGTGGGAAAACATTTGTTTTTCTATTCATGTACAGCTAAACTCAACATAAACAAAAAAGTGATTGCTTTTCCAACGAATAAATTATATGGATATGGATTGGGCATTGTAGTATATTGGATACAATAAAATAATCTAATATTATGAAAATATTCAGTCTTTTACGGGCCTTTAACTGCTGGTGGAATACATACTGAAAACGTATTCAGCGTGGTAGCAGGTGTATCCTCCATAAGATTGTGTCAGTGCACGGATTCATCGCAGCATAGACCGTGTGTGATGTGTACTATCGTTAGCGAAAGTGTTGTTCCACTTCTGCATCAAGGCACGGTAATCTAGTGGTAGGACGCGACGCCGGGCTCGTTACCGAAGGGTTTCGAGTTCGAGTCACGTCGCGGTACCGTGTAGTATCTATGGACAAGACACTTAACTCCGCTTGTTCCAGTCTACTTAGTTGTAAATGAGTACTTGGTTGGGCAGCACCGGCTGTGTATGCTCCCCAGGGAGTTGAGAAAGATATTGACTGGTCGCATGGTATATAGCTGATATTGACGGTGTCAAACTTGTTTCATAAGGACATCTCAAACATGTTCTATGAACGGCAGATCTGGAAACTATTGAGACACAGTCAGTAATTGTAAAGTAAATGTAATTGGTAACGCATATCTAGGAAATAGCTTAGTGAATCCAGGATTACAATCATAGATAGGATAGTAAAGACTCAACTGACTAGCTATGCACGTACCAATTGATTATGACGGGTTTATGGACCTTATGATATATATAAGGGCTGGAGGCATCCTAGTAACATGGAGATAATCCAGGATTACATAGATATGATCTTAAGTCTCTACTGACCAGCTACGCACGAACCAATTGATTGCAATGGGGTATAAATATAACCTAGAAAGGAGATAATGGGAGAAGGGCAAGGGACGGCTACAGAAGAGGCTAGAAGGGCTAGAAACGGCTACAGAAGAGGCTAGAAGGGCTAGAGACTTCGTTTGGGTACAGCTACGAACGACGGAGACCGATCCTTACACTTGAGGTAACCCTAAAAAAAAATCCAACCAACCATCAACACTTATCACTCGTGCTTTGTTACACTGTGCAGGCCAATCTAATATTTGGACATTATTTCGACACCGAACCAAAATATCCTACTGTCGTTACTGGTGTTTGGGGATTGGCTGTCCTGTTGAGAGAAAAAAAATCGCCTGCTCAAAGACACTATAACAAGGGGACAACGACAGTTCTTAATATGTCATCGTCATAAGTGGTCCTGATCACTCTTCCGTTCAGAATAATTAACCTGATTTGATTACCACCGCAAAAACCTACCCAAACCCTGACGGTACCATCACAAAAATCGTCACGTTCTTGGACGCATCAGTTCATGAAACGTTCTCTCGCCCACTGTCTTCCTCCCATCAGCGTAAGTCGAACAAAAGTGAGACACATCTGGGAAAAGATCGAGTTTACTGACCGGCGGTGTACCTGAGGTCAATTGAGTCTTTGCATACATTGTATTTCTAAACATTTTCTTCAGGTTGGTAAATATGCATTATGAAAAGTTCTTTTTACACAACCAATAAGATTTCCTATGTGCCGATTCGATGACTAGTACGATATGTACACGGTCACCTTCATCAGTATTGATTTAACAAAATAACAGAATTAACAAGTATCAAACAAATCGTAGCTGAATCGAGTCATTTCGGTACACATACGTATATAACAACTATTGTACATACGCTTACGGCGTAGCCGGATCGATATCGATTTTTGTGGACAACTCGTACACATTTTACACAACTTTGTGTGCATACGCTTCACTGGTCATTTGTCTGATGAAGGTGAAAGTGTACATATCGTACTAGTCATCGAAACGTCACATAGAAAATCTTATTGGTTGTGTAAAAAGAACTTTTTTATAATGCAAACATTGGAGCTTTACAGAGGTTATATGGTTTTCGAGCTGGTAGGATTATTCTTATTACTGAAAGGTGTTACGTCATATACTAAAGATAAAAACGATCAGTAAGGCAAAAATCGTCCCACTCTAAGAAGAAGCATGGCTGAATTACATAATAGAAAATATTTCAGATTAACAAAACTCACCTCATTCTACCACCAGCTACAGGCTTTCTACAGGGTGCCGTATAAATTATTATTTTATTTCATTATATCTATCTATCTATTTATTTATTCGTGTTTAGTCACCCCTGGGGGAACTCCAGTGGGGACTATTAATTTCGGTTTCAGTCCTAGATTTTCTCAACAAATACATCTCCATTGATATCCAACCTTATGATATTTACAAGTTTAAATGGGGTTTTCCCCTGAATTGTGACTTTTGTTTAGCTTGGAAAATGAACATATAAAAAGTGTTTTCGTCAGTTATTGAATGGTTTTCTCTGAAAGTTAGTGTGCATGTACCTGAATTATGTTTGAGAAATATTGGAGGATTATTATTTTGTGACAGGGATTGTTTCAGGATTACGGAATACATTATCAAATTTGATATACAGTTTAGTGTGGCAGCCATATTGGAATGTCCTTAATTCCTTGTGTTGGCATGGCCACCTGAACACCTTGTATGTATTCACATCTGGTCATTGTTTACCATTTTGATTGACAGGTGGAAATATATCCGTTGTAGCCAAGCTTGGTCAATGGATTATCGAAAAATGATCATACAGAATGATAGGGTGACTTTCATGTCATTCTGACATATTTCTAGTTTTTAATTCAGTTTTATTGTAAAAATCCTTTGCACATGCACTTCTCAGGATCATGTCACAATATTTTCGGGACATTGCTCGTTCAATAGTCAGTTGCGACCAATCAGCCGGAGAGTAAAAGAGGATCTTTCGATCTCGCAATTGCAAGAACCCTAGAGAACTAGAGAACTCCATAGAAGTTTTAGTAGATAGAGTAATCTCCCCTTAGTTTTGTTTTTGATATAACTGAAACGCGACTTGGACAGAGTTCTGCTGATGAAAACATGGCGCAATTTGTTAATGAAACAGTATAGAGGGGAATCGAATCCTGGCGCTATGCACGTTTACACATAAGGCAACACTGATATTGATTTCATATTTTTCAACTTAATCATTTCCTTCCGAAAAAGTTTCTTATGCACAGATGCAGATTTTAAAAATGGTACGAGTATCTTTAAATGTCTTAGAGGTACTAGCTCACTTTTCCCCCTATGAATATAGCCTGTTGTCGAGTGTGCATTTCTTCAAGATCATCTTGTAATATTTCTCCATTCAAAGATTGCAACATGCAGCACTCTTCACACATTAATTTTCACATTATGTAAAGGATCGTAACGTTTCACCAACTTACGTTAACTCTGATAATTGGTGATATGAAGAATATTGGATTTGGAAATCGGGAAAACATCAAGTTTACATAAATTAAGATTTGCTCCTGTACAGCCTCTTGGAAGATAATAACTCAACAACAACAACTTTGATATTTAGTATTCAGCCGTTATATTGTAAAAGGAATTAAGAAAAAAAAAAATATGCCTTATTGTAAGTATTTCGGGAGAAATCTCCATAAAATTGCTCCCCTTTTACGCAAGAGTTGTTCCATTGGATCGTGATTGCTACACAACGAGCGGTATACTAGTCCCATAATCATCATTGATAAAAGATTACACTAATGTTAAGCTGAAGTGTACCTCCTAGGGTCATATCATCTGCTTTGGAAATAATCATTTGGTGTCGTCATGAAACCACCACCCATTATGATTGAAGTGGATTTCCATTTTTGAACGCTCAAGCGATCACCAGAGATTTTTTTCGCTTGTACCGCTTAGATAGCATCAGACCATCTGCATCAAGTATGGGACAACAGTGAAGTCTGCAAAAGGCAAGAAAGAATTCTGGATAATGCCATTTAAGAACAAACAAACAGTTACTTATGACGTATAGACTAGATTTAGGCTTTTGGCATGCTATGCTCTGAGATCGTTTCTGAATCGACGTTGACAAATCTCGACATTTCAAACCGTAGAATCTGGTGGTATGGCGTAGCCGGAGAACAGTAAACGAAAAGAATGGGAGCCTTTAAGGCCTTTTTGAGCCAATTGGGTACTCGTTTTCAAGAACAAAATACAGTAATTTGTCAATTGTTCGACATATTTTGGAAACTTCACTTGATATATGATTGACCCCTACCACATTTGGCGCCCAAGAAACCCTCTTGCAACCAATCTTTCGCACCAGCCCTTTCACATGTCACATGATAATAGTTATTTCATTCAATAGAAAAAACGATAACAAGGGTCCAAAACACGTCCTTATGGACACCCATCTTTTCCCTTATAAAAACGTATTTTATGTCGGAGCCAACAATTCATATAATGTGTATATGATCTGCAAGAGAGTAAATTCGTAATATAGTCAACTTCTATCTGGGGCATTTGCTGGGTTTTTTTGGTTTTTTTTTGAGAAATCATAAAGATGAAATTAACAAAATATAATCAATAATAGTATTTTGAGTGAAACAATTGAGTAGGGTAAGAGCGGGATTCGAACCCCGGACTTCAGATTAATATACTAACGCTCTAACCGATTGAGCAACCTGGTCATCGGAAGATTCCTGACCCAGCGGAAGTTAAGGGGAGGTTATTCTATACAGAAGAACAAAACGACAGAGCAGTGGGACAGGGGTCCTTAAGTTGAGTAAGTCATGATGAACCACTTTAACCTTTCACCTTTGACCCTTCTTTCTTCTGCATAGCACATTATTTCATTTTTATATATTTACATTTCCATTGCAATTTCTTCTTATAGGCATTACCAGGAGAAATTGCGTTCATAGAACTTTGAACGCAATTCGATCTGTGTCATTTTGAAGCTTCTCCTCTCGCCTTGATTAGCATGAGACAACTGTTAGAATCAAACATTTTGGTGACGTTAGGCGGCTTCAGGAATTGAAGACAAACAAAAATGCTGTTCAATCGTTATGTGTTCGGCCCAATATTCCTGGTTCTCGCCTACAAATGTTGGGGAAATGTTTTTAATAGACCTATAAGCAGGTTTTATCATGCCGTCAGGTTGTGATCTGTATGCCATGGTACATGAATCTTTTTTCTTTATATCAAGAATCTGACACGTTTCTTTAAAACCTTCATGCTCAAAGGCAGGTTATTGATCCTAATGTAACTCCTTAGCGTTATTGATTGTTGTGATTACTCCATTTACCAGTTTATGGGCAAAAGTGATAACTGATTTCTCATTTGAATAACTTCTACCCATTTGGTGTGTAACGTTATTACCAATGACGAAGATGTATGGAATGTCCCCTGTTGCTCCAGGGAAAACTTCCATACACATCAATGGCTAACCTTGCATTTCGTCAGAGGCGGTAGAATGGAGATCGATACATGATAAATGAATTTTGCGCTAAACGAAATGATACACGGCAGACTTTTTTTCATGTGCTACTGGTAATTAATCTGAAACAGCTCTATATCTTATTACTAAAACCACGAAGTAAATCGATATATTTTCATTAACGCATACTTTTATTTGTTGTTCAAAAGTAAGTAATTACAGCGAATATACTTGAAAATTATATACAAACATATGTTTTAAAATCTATGAAAGTGGAACTAGTTTCTATTGCAACGAAAATATTAAAATAACACTAAGCTGTTTTACCGCTTGTTTTAACAACCTTGAAACGAAGATTGTGTTCATAATTTGTTTTGTCTACTATGATCGGGTCATAGCCGATGGGAGGTAACTCGTATTCGTTACTCGTGTTTTATGTACTCGGTCCGGCATTTCTGAGACTCCGTAAATTGGTACTAAACAACATTGTACTATTTCGCCTTTAGCTCACATGGTTATGATTCTGCATCAAAACAACGACTGTGTCATCAGGCTCAGTGAAGCTACTTTAATTTATATGTTTTCCGTATCTTACATCGCATTTAATAGAATCTGTTTTATTTAGAAATCATAAGCTACTCAGCATTAAATTTGCACTGTATCCCGGGGTTGTCCAAACAGCTTTAATAGCTTTAATAGCAAGTAGATAATTAACAATTCTTAGGCCTCAAGTTTAAAAAGGGGGTGGGGAGGGGAGTGATCCTTTGTACTGTACCAATAGAGATTCTGACAAATAAATCACCTACACTTTATCTTATATGTTTCTTAATAAATGGTAGGCTTACACTATATTCATTTCGTCGGCTAGAGTAGATTTCTATTCTCAGTAATAAGCAATATTCTTGAACACAATGCATTATATATAGAAATAAGTAATGACTATGTGGTTTATCTAAATGAAAAAAACTGCCCCACACCCTCTCCTGTTCGAATATAGCAAGCGACTTCTACCCTGCCTGTTTCTATGTGACATTTTGTATAAATTGAACACTGAATTATTTGTATGTAACTACACGTATATATATAATTATGTACTATGCTATGATATAGAATGTTTGTCTGTCATGCACTCAAACTATGTTACATATACATGACCTCTTGTTACACATATTATGTGTGTCTGAGTGAAATAAAAATCTTGAAAAATCTTGAAAAAATCTGACCGCGCTGGCCGAGTAGTTAAGGCGTCTCACCGTTTACGATCATTAGCCTTCCTCCACTGTATCGCGGGTTCGAGGCCTACGTTGGACAGTCTCCGCAGGTCGGTGTTTTTTCTCCGAGTAATCCGGTTTTCCTCCATCTCCATTACCTGGCACATCCTTAAATGATCATAGCCGTTAATAGCACTTAAAACACAAACAAAACTAACCAATCTTTGACTGACTCAAAAGAAACCAAAAATATCACACGCACCTGCAGTAATTTACCTAAAAAAAACACTGCCTATAACTTTATTCAAAAAGTATTACAACTGTTCTTTACACTCTCTGATGTTATCCTTTGTACAACGTCTTGTATTTCGGTAGGGTTAAGTACAAAGTGACACACGCTTTGTACGTTAAAGACCCATTTACTTGTTACATCTATATCTGGACCTAAACTAAGGTGTTCAGAGTAAGTTAACATGTGTTAAGGGTTTAGATCAGTTTCGGTAAAAATACCATCCCCGATGATGATGTTAAACTCGTATAATATCATCATTGGGGGGTGGCATTTTTACCGAATGTTGGTGTAAAACCCCAAAACGTGTAGAATTACTCTGAACACCTTGGTTTAGGTCCAAAAATAGCTGTAACAAATTCTCCGGTACCTGTGGTTTTGACTAGAGTACATCAGACCACTATATATAGGTACAACAGAGTATGTGAAGACGCTGGGCTATATTAAGAAATTGTGACACACAAAAATCGAAACTAAATTTGAAGAAAAAATAAACTTGGGAATCTTTATAAGAACCATAATATTTGTTTCGAAATTGTCTGTTCGGTTGGTGCACTTGATTTCTTACTCTATAACTTAGGGTCAGGGCACCGAAGAACCTTGAAACAGGTTAGCACAGAATATGTGATGTCTGGAACAGTCTCCCTGAAGATGTGAATTCATCATTCATCACTTTGACAAATTTGAAAGATACGATCACACAGGTTTTCTATATTTATGTTAAATTTTATGTTTTCCAAATTGTATTTCACATTATATTGATGTGGAAATTGAAGCAGCAATGCCTGTACGTCAACTAATATCCTATTAAAATCCCATAAACGTGGGGTTAACATGGACTTGGTGTCGCCACTCCGTGTTTCGCGTGTTTTTTTTTTAAAGAATTCAAAACACAACGCGTTGCTAAATATCCTCCGTACTACAGCAACATATTCATATATCAGTTTCAATTGCACTGATGCTGAATCCGGAAAGGGGCGTAATTTGTGTCTATTGCGTCTTGCCATGAACAAACGTTCAAAAGTTTTCAGTGTCCCTTTGCTTAATTTGATTAATATGAGAATGGCCTTGTTGCTGTTTCATTGCGGTATTAAATATATCGCCTGATAAAAAAAACCTAGGGAAGTTTTAAGAAACTCTTGTTAATTATATATATGTGGCGGTAAAAATGGTCAGATGTGTATATATATAATCGATACTCCAGCGATTACGCTCACTTGCGCTCTTTTCACAGAATGTGAGTGAGCGTAACCCATGGAGTATCGAGGATGAATTCCGCAAGAATAACTTAAACGTGTAAAGTATTTTATGAGCACATTAGTTTTATTTCTGCATGATAATCAAACCAATAAAATATACACAAATTTCAAAAATTAAAATCACCCAACTTCTCCGTTAAAACTGCTTTATATTGAAGTTACATACATGTACGTTATATCCAACTCGACTCAATTACACAAGACCAGTTAAAGAAGTATCTTTATATCATGTAAATCATTTTTCCAACATGTCCATCTTTAAATACTTTATATGTATTTAAAATACCCATCACAACTGAATTTTTTTTCTTGAATAAACCTATATGAAATAATTTAGTATTTGCGATAAATCGTGTGAATCATAGCAATTTGCAAGAAGTCAGCAGACGTATTAGAGCTTTGAGGTGTTCTTGGAAGACGGTGTTGGGACTTTCCCGCCAGTTCCCATGAACAACACGGGATCCCAATTGGGGTCCGTTAGAGCCTCACGATCGAGATTGAATCGTGATATATCATACTGAGTTTTCCCGTCCACTGCCATCTCTGTTAGAATCTTTCCAACGAGGCACGCAAATCTGAAAATAACAAAAAATGCTTTGTTATCGATTCATTATCGGACAATCAATACATTTAGTTAAATTAGATAAAGCTTTTGTATACATCTTAATTGGTTGGATTATAATCACGTGGAGGTCGGTAATTTGGGACATTAACTCTGTCTTACTATTTCTAGAAGCATCAGGCCTTTATTAATTTTATGATGTCATAAACATTATTTCTGTGACATACGCAAGTTTCCTCTGTACGATTTTCACACGTTTCATCTTTTTAGGTTTAAATTGTTTAGCTCCTGCATGTTAAAAAAAGCAATAAAAAATCTTTCGGTACGATTGTGTTGTTTTTTTAACCCGAGCAGGTGATGTTAACCTCGACTTTTTTTCCGTCTCGGTCAATATCACTTTTTTAGGTTAATATAACCACATATACATCTCAACACATTCCATATTTGATAAATATTAGATGACATCCGTCTTTCCTACAACATTATTGGCTGGTTTGTGATATTGACCCGGTGTTACTTTTTTTAAAAACATTAGGGTTAATTTTCACTTTATGACGTCAATGCAATTATAACGTCACAATGTTCTATGACAAATGTAGGACTTTCCTCCCTTTATTTTGCATACGTTCCATCCTGTTTGATTTAAACATTATTTTGCATCTAATATAACAAATTAGTTTTTTTGTCGAGCTGAATTTGTGGTTATATAAACATGAGAAAGGGATATTAACCATGACTTCATCTCGGTCTATATCACTTTCTTAGGTCCATGTTTCCACATGTTCACCTTAACAAAAAATCATAATTGATAAATAACTTACTTAAACACATGTCCGGCGCCGCAACAAATTATTACGTCATCCCATCCGGTCTTGGCGCATGTATCGATGACGAAATGCCGATCTGGAGGCATGGTATAGAGACACGTTTTTGTATACATCAGCGGACCAAGGGACTAAAATGAAAGTACATGTATGTATGTATTTAGTAATGATTACAAGAAATACAACAAAAAGATAATCAACGTTTGATTCATCGACGACACACGCCATGTAAATCTAAGTCAAATCCATGAAATGTTATACTCAAAGTAAGAAATAGAGTGGTGACAACGTGACAACGTAACAACAAGGCCTACTAATGAATATTATTGAATAATTCCTACAAGGAAATATATTTCTCAATGAGAACATAATTGCGATCATCTTTTTGCCCGATATTCTTCATCAATTTGCATATCTGCAAACATTATATTGTAAGATAGTGCAAGCTCTAAAAAAACCGAATCAACCTAGGGTTGGGGGTACAGAGATGTTACGGTCGAGAAAGGGGACGTTAACGATTGGAAAATAGAATATGCCCCGCTTGTCGTACAGATTTGTAAAGATCAAAATAAGCTACAAGTCAAATTTAGATTTCCACTTTCTGTTGTTGAAGCTTTAAAACAAAATTGCATGTCTTAGTTACCTCTCATTGATAATATGTAAGCTTGCATATCCTAGTTTTCTTACATAAATAATATGAGATAGATTGTATACCATAGTACCCTAGTTTTCTTACGTCAATACACTGTAGTATAGGAAACTGAACATATGCTATGTGTTTTGCTGGCGACATCACAAACCATTGCCAATGTACATCAACCGATTATTTTGATGTCATGAACATTTATGCCTGATTTTACATTCAATTATTGATATTAATCTTATTTGAAGCGAACGTATTACAAAATTGTGTTACATTAACATAAACATGTATGATAAGATTTTGTGTTTCATTTTTACATTGTATATCCATTAAGTTATATTTTGCCGGCCAAACCACATCTGAAACGGATCTACTTGTCGTTAAATCGTTGAATTGATAAAATGCACTATTAAAGTGTTTCAGAGAATACCGAGCGAACACACTTTCAAAAATATTTGTTCAATATTTACGTTTGACTGCATCTTGTATTATTAAGTATGTCTAATTGTAGTTGTACTTCCCAAATGGTAGCAGGAGTTAAATTAATCGCCATTGCAAGGACGGTAATTGAGCATTGAACTGCTTCCAAATGGCAATCATAGGCAATATGAATGCAAACTAAACAAAGGCAAATCCAACATGACGTGCGCTTTCATAGGTAACATGAATGTAATCTGGAAATAGGCAAATTCTATGAAGCGCACTTCATGTTAGATTTGTCTCTGACTTGTTGGCATTCATACTGTTTATAAATGCAAACTGAAAACAGAACTGATATTTATCATATTTGAAATCTGTTTATCTCATAGAAAATTCAATTACTCTTATCTTTATCCACCATTTACTTCAATTAATGAATTTATCGTATACGCTTGTTCAATAGATAGAACAGCCATCTGTTCATGGAGGGTCAGCGGTATCCAACGTAACAATTGACGCGTCATACTATTGATGACCTCAACAATCGGGTAATGGCATTCATAGAAAGATGAACGTAACACACACTAAACGAATACCATCCATCTTAATGGGGTAGGGTTATATACCGTACTTTGGGATATCTTTGATGTGCTTATATATTGGTTTATTTGGCGCCTGGAGTGAATGAGTTGAAGTGAAACACACCAAAATTTCACGATGCCAAAGTTGTTTTCATCTGGATATCGGCAGACCGTCTTCCAATTCATTTATTATGCTTCAATCGCTTACTTCCGTCGGCGGCTATATTTTTTATTTAAGCCAAACTTGGAATGACTTATTTTTCGGACACACTTAGTAAATAACACGTCAATAAAGCTATGTTTCATCTGAATGAGTCATAACTTTTCAGTGTTTCCATAATTATCGTTGTATAACTTGTGTTCAAAATGCAAAAAATTAATCAACCCATTTTGAGCAAATATCGCCAAAATATCCAAAAAGTACGGTAGTGGCAATGTTTGTACACATACCTTCGGAATGGTTTTCTGTAAGTGTTCTATGCAGGCCTTCTCTCTGATTTTGTCTGGCTCAAAGGTTCGTGAATCGGCTGTGACGACGGGACCACCGGCATCTATACCTATCTTGCTACCAGAGTTACCATGTATGGGTAGTCCGTAGAAATCGTATTTCGGTGAATGGTATATCCAAATAGGGTATCTACATTTTTTTAAAAATGAAACAAATTGTTGAATAAAGGATTCCTGTTCCACTACACTATGTGTTCCTATATACAGTCACCGTCCCTTAACTTCCGTTTAGATATAACTTCTGTAAAGTTTGAGCAGAACACTTCCAATGCCAAGTAGCGCAATCGATAAGAGCGATATAGTATACGTCAAGTGACAAATCTGTATTTATCTGTTATCATTTGTTATTGATGGAAAATATAGTTATATGCATTGTGAGGAACATCGGGGTCCCAAACCCCGGGGCCCTATGGCTGCACTCATAAATGCTTGATCTCAAAAAAGGGGGCTATCTGAAGTTCCGGGGTTCGAATTCCGGCTTAGCCCCGCTCGAAACAATGTTATTGATTCTAATTTGTGTATCTAATTTATATTTTTCCTCATGAAAGTTCATCAAGGTCTGCTTTTCTCATGTTAGATTCAGTTTCCAACACTTCGTTACAGTTTTGTCGTTGGTACCAGTATCCTGAAAGTTTCATTTTCTTCTCAAACCATATTATAATAGACCAAAACGGCTGACATTATGAGACAAATCCGTTATCATAAACAATTTCCCTTTTTTTATGATGGCAATAAAAGTTAAAGAACAAAAATCATTGATTGCTGTTGGGTTGTTGTTTTTTTACTTATAAAGAAGCAATTCATGAAGGCATTACCTCTCTTTGGTGAAATCTTTTATGTTAGGAGTTGCAAAATAAGTCACTTGTTCTTGGGTGACGTAGATTGGGATGTGAACACCCACTGATCCAAGCACGTGGTTTATCCAGGCTCCAGGGGCCACCACCAGACGGCGACACTGGAAAACCCCCTTGGCCGTGTAGACCTACATTGCAGAAAAGCACGTGAATGGTTAATTATTAGCGCATGCTCACTGTAATCAAATAAGTCTAATATGATGGGAACATTCAAGGATGTGTGTGTGTATGCTTTGATTTCAACGTAACAGCGATCGGCGAAAACAATAGCTGAACGACGCAATGTTATGTCTAAGACAGGGGGGATAAAAAAAGATGGAGAATTCAAATGTTGCAATGGGGCAGCAGGCAAATTTTGTTTTCGGTGTCACAAAGGAGAGTGCCCTGGAAAACCCCTGATCATACAGCAAGTCCCATATAAGTCGCCTCGTACGATCATGACTTCGATCGGAAACAACAGGTCTATAATTTAACATCCTTGAACCTAACGAAAACAACATCGTATAGGTTACTCCTACAGACAGCTAAAGGATTGTTTTGATAGTTCTGTCTTTCATGTGGGAGGGGCTAAGATATGGACATTTTGATGTTTTGCGTTGATATTTTTTACTTATCAAAATGAAAATACCACATTCGTATCAGTCAGAATATGTCACAGACTTATTAACTATCAATTGTTCTATATGTTTACAATTTTATCGGCCTTTAACAAAAACCAAGATACTTACGGTAATTTTACCGTCCTTTGCACGTTCCACGCCTTTAACCGGGCAGTTATCTATGACGCGTGCGCCCCTCCCCCGGGCCAGCTGAATGTGCACGGCGTTTGCCATAGCCGCATCCACGAGACCCGACTGTGGTTCATATATCGCTTCGTAACTGTCATCTATCTCAAACTGAGGGAAACGTTTCCGCAGCGCTGAGCCCTTCATGCGGTCATATCTACAATAAAAATGGTTACTTTTAGAAATGACAAACTTCTGTGTAGCACTCCAATATTGAACACGAATGATTTGACTATTGGAAATAACAGACGAAGGCGGACAACATTTTGCAAATCATATTGCATTTCATTTTCCATATCGTGAAAAACACAAGGTTGGAATGATGCCTCAGTTTCAGGAACAGAAAATATTACAAGGATATTAATTTATATTTGTAGACTGTCACAGTTCTATTTCTAAAATGTTTTCAAGTGAGCTTCTATTAATCATTGAACATCGAGTATTTTCGATTAAAAATCCCCAGTCGTTATAGCAGCATATAATATGATAGATGACAGCTTATCATAATATGGCAGGTAAAACAAATTCCAGTGTTTGATCATCTATGTAAAATTACGTAAACAGATATTAGTAATGTTTGATGCACGTTTCTGTTTCAATCCTATTGCTTACTCAGCACAAAAAAAAAATTGTGCGTAAAAAGGATTTTTCAAACTCGATTTTTATAAGAAATACATGTTTGTTGATTTCCGCCCTGAACGAATTGGTAAATATCTTGATAACATTCATATGTGGAAACTGCTAGTATCAATAAATCAAATATAAAGCCGATTCATGGCATGATTTAAGGTTGCTGAGATCTGCCTTTTTTAATACGTTTTGCAATATGTTATAGGATACATTTGCAAGGGCGATTAACAAACGAATGAAACGACAATCCATCAAGTTGTATTATATCCTCATTTCGTTTCCTACTTGATATTGTTTGCGTCCATAGCCTTGGCGTACTCGTCCACGATCTTGCCCATCTCTTCCCGTTTGGCGAACTGAACACCCCCGGTCTTATGGACTAATTTGATCCCAGACTCTTCTTCCACCGCCTGCCATCTGGTAAGGTTAGACAGTTTTAAAGCAATCGATGTCCAACAACAGTACAGACGATACATGTCAGTATCTACCATAGAATATCAACAAGAAATATGGCGAAGTTCAAAACGTATGATCAGATCAGGATTAAAAAAAAAATCCGAAATAGAATTAAAACAATAAAAAGCAACAAAAATGATAAAAAAAATAATCAAAATCTGTGGTAGATGTTTAGACCATATGCCATCCTAAGTTTTCGGATGCGTTGATTCAGTCAAAAGTCTCTTAGATAATTTGGGGATTTGCTTTTGCGCCTTCTAATGGGGACACAAAAACGACCAAACTAAATCCGGGACATACCAAAGTCCTGAAAAATGGCAGTTGTTGTTTCCTGCTTAACGTTCAGCATTGAGGGTAATGGCAATAATTGATCAGTATAATGTGACCGATCGGAATGCAGTGCTGGGTGCCTTCGGCATGGTATTTCAGTGAGATAGCACTGTAAAGTCAGCATCAGATCCGCGCTATCACAAGGAAGCAAGTACAACAGCATACCCCGTCTCCAGCACACATACAAACATGCACGCTTACACAACACACATGGATGCACGTCCTTAAATGACCTAAGCTGTTAATAGGACGTTAAACAAAATAAAACCAAACCAAACCAAATCTTAGATACAATATATCAGCACAATCACAGCATTCACCAGTCCATAAACATTAGTTTTGTAGCTGCACGGGTATTCATTCCTCTTACTCTACGTCATAAATATAACTATTACTTAAAACTTGTCTATCAAACGATTTTCATTTCTCCATTTGGACTGTTTTTATAGAGAAGAATTTGTTTGTAAAGGACACTTGTTACCTACGACCGAGTTTACACCCATTGTTGTCCTTATAGACAGGTCAAAATGTTAGGTTCAGAATTTACGGTGTTACACCTTAATTAAATACGCGATAATTATGATTCGAGCATTATACGCATGCCAACGATTTTCGACGATAAAATTATAAAAGTTTGCAGGTACAATTTAACTTTAGTATGTCATATCGTTTGAATTTACAAATTGTATACGCGTTTACACAAAAAAAAAAAAAAAAAGAGAGAAAACTATGAAAGCAATAAAAAAAAAGGTCATTATATACAGTATCGTTGACTTTTATGTGGTTTTTACATTAGCCAGAGTTAAGATTTCCCGGGTTATGTCCAGATTGTCAACATAGCAAAAAATGCATCCCTCGAAATATATATTGCCACAATACTTTAGCAAAACGTCTGGAAACATTTGATAATTTTGTTTCAAATGGCAGAGTGACGTCATTTATTTCACCTTTGATAACATTGAAATGTTTATAATAATCTTGTTTTGCCTAACGCATGGCATTGCCATGTCTAAATTGAAATATATAGGATTCCTGAATTCACATAAGCTTGCTGGCTGTAATTCACTTGTTTCGTCTCGTGGAAGAATCTCTTTGCATGATATATTTATATCAGAAACGCTTTTCAACAAACTACACGAAGTTTTGGCTTCTTTCCCGACCAAGTCATTTATTTTACAGATTACCTTTCAAACTCAAAAAACTATTCACAATACATTTTGTTCCGTAACTTACAAAAACAAGAAACCAAGCAGAAATTGTTTTATAAGCATGATGTATTTCTAGCACAGATAAATCAACACTTGTTTTCCTATGTGCAATGATTGGTGATTTACTCACGCTTTGTACGTTTCTGGTGTTAGTTTGGTGTAGCGGTCATCGTGGTAGGCTAAACGACTGAAAGGTAAAATAGAAAAAAAAACTGCAGCATCAACAGCAGTTGACAACGGACACAGCATAGATATAAAATTTTCACGATTTTCTCTGTAGCCTTTTCAACACGAAAAATACAACCCACGAATTAATAGCAGATGAACCAATCATACACGTTGCAATATTGGCTATGACCACTAGGCCCAAAATCCGCGAAAAAATAGGTCCTGCAAATTTTACTATCCTAATAAAATCTGCAAATTAGGGACCGCGGGAAAATACTTATACAGTAACCTTTGAAAAGAGGAAGCAAAGAATATATGCCCAGTGGCTAGTTAATGCATTTGCTATTCTATATATCTTATTGGAAAATATTCCTTTCATGACATAAATGTCGACGTTTTCGATTATACTAATTAGTGTGTTTGACGGGTTTTGTTGTTACAACTCTGTTTCTCTCTTCAGGAAAGTGACGTTACTCAGATTCATACTAGGTATACAGAGATGTTTCCGTCGATGAAGCAGCAGTGCCTGCCCTACCTTCGATGAATTTTAGCTCCAGTTACGGTTTTGCTGAAACTGCAGTATTCTCTTGTATTAAATAGCATCAGGCATGATGTACCCCATCAAATCCAAACATGTTACAGTGAATAACAATTTAATCAATTTTAATCCCACATTTAAAAAAAGGTTTATGCGGACAGCCGTAATTTAACTTCGACGTAGATTGAATAAAGAGGAATATAAGAAGAAAAAAACCAACTGCGTACGAAAGAAATTTTAAGATATATATTGATAAAACAGAATATCTACACTTTTTTCCACTTCACGTGTTTATCATTCCGTGTATGTAAATAAGAAACAAATAAAGACCGTTGCTAAGAAAAACTCAATGACACATTTGAAATGAAACGGTAGTATTTCTGATTATATAATTTCATAAATGAAAGGGGGAAATGGAGTGAATTAAAGCACAATTCATGTCTGTTTTCAATTATTCGTATTGTGTGCGCTATTCAGATGCAAATAGCAAGCTAACAGTTTTAAACATGAAGAATGTTAAGTGGAAATCTCAAGTTTTATCGATTGAAACTTCTTTTGTTCTCTCGGCATTATTTACATAGTCACTTTATTCCAATCAGCGTAGCATCTCTTCTGAACGATAAACTTTAATAAATAGATGTGTGGCATGTTTACTGTTATCAGTGTTTCAGTTAAGAAACAGTTGAAATAAAAACCTTTCGGAATTCAATAGACTAGGGAACTAATATGTCTTCTACGTAACTCGGACCAGTTTGAAAATGTAGATAAACCTTACATGATTCTGGAATGGTCCTGGGAACCGCCATTACTGTGACCTAACTCAAACTGTTCCAGACCTAGCACGTCTACAAATATATAAAAGTAACGGAACATTTTCGCTTCAGTTTAAAATTCGCCTTTTTCGCCCTCCTTAATGAGGGTGAACATTTGTGAAACATTTGTGAACGACATAATATACAGTGTAACGAAATGTGATGGGCGAATTTAACACTGGGTGAAAATTTCCCGATATGCATTTAATAAAGAAATAGTGAAAACGGTTACAAATGTTAAACATTAGTTCTTTATAACGTTCTACTGTCAGTCACCGGATGTCATAATTTCCAACACTATATATGAAAGAACACAAGTACCATATCATCAACACACAATGCTAGACCTGACCTAAAAGCCGAAAAACATATATGAACACATTATGACTGGTACATACTGTTAACGTACATAATTTAGCGGTATTCTAATTTTAGCGGTATTCTAACTTAAACGCTTTTCGCCCTTTAAATATTGCGCTAAATTATCATTACGCTTATATAGTTTTCTATAGCACATATTGTGAGTGCGCCTATTTATCAATTCGTTTGAAATAAAAAGATATAAAAATCGCATTTTGAATGAACTTATTAGACTTTAATTCTGATTTTTGAATTTCGCGTTAACACATGTACATACCCAGCAGATAGATATTTAAGTTTAAACATATTTATTGCCAAAATTAGACAAGGGATTAGGCACAAGTTATAACAACTTATCAACGCCTTCTCCCAATATAATTTGACATGACATTACAATAATGACAATAAATATATACAATTGTTATTACAATTTGAACTCAAAATCTCTTGCTGGATTTAATAAAGTTTTGCACAGATCTAAAAATGTTTGAGTTAAGGTCCACGGAAAATTGTGAATTGCCAAACAAAAGAATTTCTAAATTTAACGCAACATTCAAATTAATCAAATTTTGAACCAAAATACGTCTTTCGTTTGTAAAAAGTTGACATTCCATAAAATAGTGAAAGACATTCTCACAAGGATGACCACAATTACAAGATGCACTCTCAACAAGGTTAACTCTAAAAAGGTCATAATTAAGGGAACTGCACTGGTGTCGGAGTTTAGTATGCAAGATATTAAGTTTACGATTTCCGATTTTAAAGTAAATAGGTGGACTTGACTGAATATTTGATGTTAAACAGGATTTGAATGAATTAATAGAGGGTAGAGATCGAACCGAATTGTCTAAGTTATTCCAATAGTGAAGAGTAGAAGGTAGAAAAGAAGAATTAGTAAGAGATAATCTGAAAGGAGGAATCCTATAGTTATTATTGTTACGTAAAGCGTAACGATTATTTTCTCCAGATAAAGGCGGCAAAAGATGATTGAAGTAATCAGGAGTTAATTTATTATGCATCTTATACAATAGTTGAAGTTTCCTCCGTTTTCTGCGATTAGATAAAGTTTCAAGACTAGTTTCGTAATATAAAGTATTAATAGGAGTATATGAAGGAAGTCCTAATATAATGCGAGCAGCTTCACGTTGGGCTTTTTCTAACTTTTCAGATTCAAAAACAGTGCAACCGTCCCACAACTCACAAGCATATTCTAAAACAGGTAAAATAAAAGTCTTGTAAATTATTAAAAGAGCATCCCTACTTAATAAGAGTTTCAGTTTCCGTAAGACATTAATTTTTTTCATAACAGAAGTGTAAATTCCATTTACATGATCCCCCCACTTTGCATTCGAATTAAAAGTTACCCCTAAATGTTTATGACAATCTGTAAAATTTAAGACTTTCCCATCAAATTCTAAATCTAAGTCTTCTTCGATATCGATTGAATTCGAAATAAACAATACATCTGTTTTTTCAGGATTAAAATTAACCAACCAGGTTTTCGACCAAGTATTTAAGATATCTAGGTCTCTATTTAAAGTTTCTTGAATTTCTAGACAAGATGAAGATGACTTAAGTAATGATGTATCGTCTGCAAAAAGACGAGACGTTGATTCAAAAATATCTGCTATGTCATTAATAAATATAAGAAATAAAAGTGGGCCAAGAATAGAGCCTTGCGGAACCCCTGCCTCAATTAGACCTACAGAAGAATATGAACTGTTTAAAAATACCTTTTGGTGTCTCTGAGACAAATAATTTTCTAACCACATAAGCAATTCACCTGAAATCCCGTACGATTTTAACTTCACTACAAGACCTCTATGCCAAACCCTATCAAAAGCTTTGGATATGTCACAGAATACAACACACGTATGTTTTTTTTCTTCAAGTGCAATACAAATTTGGTGATATATATCAATGAGTTGATACACTGTAGAATGACCATGCATAAAACCAGACTGATATTTGTAAAACAAAGAATTTTCTATAAAGTAGTTGTACAAATGTTTAAAAATCACTCTTTCAAAAACTTTACCAACAGTGGACAGCAAGGAAATTGGTCTATAATTCGAAGGAGAATGTCTGTCACCCTTTTTAAACAATGGCATGATATTAGCTAATTTCCATTTATTTGGATAAATCCCTGTTGATAAGGACATATTAAATATTATTTCGAGCGGAGTACAAACAGTGCAAGCAGTATTTCTTAGCATATGGTGGCTGATTCCATCCCCACCCGAGGCCTTGCCGAGCTTCAATATCTGTAGAACATCGCGTATTTTAGTTGAATGTAATCTAATTGAACTAATATTTTTGTCAGTTTTTGGCACAATAATCGGGACATCCGTGTTACTGTCATCTACTCTAGTAATACTACAAAAATAGTTATTTAATAATTCAGCTTTATCTTCATCTCTAGTAACTATGTCATTAGTAATAGGATCGACTAAGGAGGGTATAGGTTGTGAAGTATCAGACGTTTTAATTAACCTTTTAATTAATTTCCAATAGGACTTAGGATCAGAAGATGAGTACCCATCAATAATATCATAAACATTTTCATAAAAAGTAACACGTGCATGCTTTTTCATATTAGCAGATAGATAGACCAGGATCGGTACAACGTACAGGTAATAACAATATAACGTATTTGAAGGTCAATGTTTTAGAATTTGTTGTTATGATTGAAGCTGAGAAGGTACTTATCATTTCTTAATGAGTGAGATTGTTTAATTCAAAAAAATATTTAACAAAATGGATTTTAAGATAATATAGTTATCCCTGAGAGATAGTTTTGCCCTTGTGAGTTGCCGCTGTTTTAACTCATAAGAAACGGGCACATCACAGTGTCTTCAAAGATGTAAACAATTAAGTAAGTATTATACGTCAAAAATCACTTCAACCTCGATACTGTAGGAGTTCCGTTTATTTTTCGCTCTCCACACCCCTGGAATATGTCATAGCAAAATTAAAGGCACGCAGCTAGTTATTTGATTGGTCTTAGGTAAAAATAAACCTGACTAATTGCTAGGCTGCTACCTACACATTGAAGATTACAAAGAAGCGACACCCGACTTCAAAGTCAGTCCGTACATTTCTTTCGATGTAAATCAAAGGATCTTCTCGTCTCCTTCAATTTTGCTATGACATATTACAGGCGATGTCGATGATAAAAGTGAGCGTTACCCCTGGATTATCCAGAATAGACAGGGGCGTTTCTAGAATATTTGAAAAAGGGGGCGTAGAATCAAATTTTGGACCTTTTTTTGGCTAAAAAACATAACATAATTGTGAAATGCACTAATGTAACGGTTCCTGAGCATGTATATTTTATTTTTAAAGTGTCAGGGTTTGACATTTTTTATGCAGAATTATCTCCATTAATTGTCTGTGGTATATTAAAACGACATCTTTGACGATTTCACTATATCACGTGGTCAACAACAATGGATACTAATCGCAGAGTCGAATACGGCGGAGAAACGAAATTTTACGGATCACCCATCGGATGGGGGAATCAGTATAAAAAGAAATCAGAGTATGTGTTTAATTAATGAATATGATAAATTGCCATATTCAATACAATATTAGCAGATGACGATAGTTTTTGGGGTGGTTTTTTTAAAGGGGGAGGGGGGGGGGGAGGGGGCGTACGCCCATTACGCCCTCACCTGGACCCACCCCTGATAGAGTCACTTAGAAATACGACAAACATTTTGGCAGTTACTTAAGCATGCTTTTCATTGTCTTCATATACCAAAACACGTGAGAATTAGAATCTAAATGTGAACAAATTGTCCTTACTTATACTGTTGATCAGTAGTTGCAGACACCGACACCGGTAAACATTAGATGGAAGAAATAAAAGCCATATGTTATCTCAATTAAAATAATGTGATCATTCGTCGTTACTTTTTCTACCACAATACGTTGTGTAATTCCACTCTCAGATCATTGTATAAACACGTAGACTGTTAGATAAATATGAGTTATATACCACACGTGGTATATGACAAGTAAGAGTTTTGTTTGGTCGAGAAGATGAACTTTGACCGGGACGACTTTTTCCACTTGCTTTTTGCCACATGCTGTTTTGTTTATGTCGTCTGCTATCAACATCCGACAAATGTTGGTGACTTTGTGAGGTTATGCGGAAAAGGGGGTTATTAAGGCAATATTAAAGAAGATGATACTTAAAGATTTGATCGCTAGTTTCAGGCAAAATTGCTACAGACGATCGGTATCATTTCGACGTCACACCGTCGCTTGTCCAGGTCGTGTAACCAAAACAAATCAAGATCTGTTACAGTTTCGGAAAATATTTCGTTCTCCCAACGTCCCGTTATCGCTATTTGGACGACGTGACTATGGCTGAACTTTCACTATAAATGTCAACCATAGAACCGTCAAGAAGAAACGTAGGCCTATGGTTTTGGACATTGACAGTGATAAGTTCGTCACTTGGCGGGAGGCAGACTTCGTACGATATGCTTACGCGCATATAGTCCGTGGTTAATTTATATAAATCAATGAAATACGGCTACTCTCAATATTTAAAGTCGTTCATCTATCATAAGTTTTCATGAAGTTGTTGCCGAAACATTAATGTTGACAATTATTGAATTTGTAAAAAAGAAGTTGTTTTTGAATATTAATGAGTGACTTTTTACATATGGGTGATATCACTACGCCAGCCTTGTCAACAAATACACGTGTGTATATTATTTCCGACTGATCATGAGATTGTGGTAGAAACAGATCACACGACTCGTGGTTGTTGAGTATGGTACTTATTTCACTCTCGTAAGTTAATTTTCAAAAGTTACAAAAAGACACTCGCTAAAGCTCGTGTCTTTTGTAACTTTTGAAAATTAATTAACTCGAGTGAAATTAATACCATATTCAACAACCACTCTTTGTGGAATCAAAAATTCGATAATAGACATTTATTGAAATCTTGCAATTTGCTTGCCTTTCTATATTTTGGTTTTTACATTGTATTGCCAACAATCACATCCAATATAGATAATATTGAACATATTTCATCAAACAAATGCTAGATAATAACCTTCATGCTACGGGCTTACATTCCGATATAAAAACATATCATGACTATGTATAATGGCAGCCAGCGTCAGATGTGTTATCGCTCAAGAAGAAAAATAATTACTTTGGGTTACCATGCATGGCCCCTAACGTTTGAATAATATGTGTTTGCATTATTATTTATCATGGATTTGCGTTCACACAGTTATCGTTCGAAAAGTAATGCGATATAAATGATTGATTTTTGTTTTAAATAAACGAATAAATGTATGTAATATATGAGTGTTGACGAGGGATGGAAAGGATGGGCTGCCTTAATTGGTGGCGTCAAGCAAGAGAGCTACAAAATCATTCGATATACATATATCTTGAATTGAATTGATTATTATCATTTTCCAGTTCCTTATGTTATTTTAAAAGAAAGAGAAGAAAATTCTGAAGTGAATCATATTTCCCGAAAGTGAAACAAACGGATCACATCATACCTCCTGCTCTACAAGGGCTATATATTGTACACATAACATAAAAGATACTTACAAAGAGAAACAAAATACTCATCAAAATACTTTCATGTAAAAAGTATATATCTAAAGATAATAATTATTTTCTTTGACACTCCGAACGCGGTCAGATACTCCAAGGAATTATATACGATATTTTATCACACAGACATGTAAAGAGTGTAAACGAATCTGATATACTGTAGCGTAGTATATGTAATAAGTTCTCTCGTTCCGGTTGAACGCATGGCTTATCTAGCGTCTCCAGATTGAGTTTTGCGCGTGCGTTAGGTAGATTAAGATCCCTACCAAAATATGCATATTTGTACCATTAATGCCTAACCATATCAACATAAACGGAAATAGGAAGTACATCCCTAGTTGAAAATCCAATGTAGGGAGACAGTATCACAATTTCCGCATATTCTAATGTTTAATATTAAACTGATGAATATTGTATGTTTGTTATTGACAGAACAGTTTGTTCTCTCAATATTAAAGTATTTCAAAGCAATCCAGGCATTAATTCAGTTTTTTTTATCAATGTGTCAAATGTGTCCATTTTTCTGTACTTCAGGAAACCGACTACCTATTTCTCTACTGTGAAATTGTTCAAGAAAGATAACTCTTCCAAACAATTACTATGTGTATATTTTACACAATTTCAGCATTTATTAAATTGATATACATGTACATTAATGCAATACTAATATATGGCAGTATCATTTTTATTGACATTATTTTGCCTAAAATTGTGTCTTTCAAAAAAACAAAAAAACATATCGTAATCTGCTAATATTGTATTTAATATGGCAATTTAAATATCTATGAAATTTACATGCTCCAAGTAAGGAACCGTTACATTAGTGCATTTCACAATTATTTTATGTTTTTTAGCAAAAAAAGGTCCATTTTTTTTTTTACTCGCTCCGCTCCGCTCGGCGAAAGAATTGATCCTACGCCCCCCTTTTAAATATTCTAGAAACGCCCCTGATAACCACCTCAAATATGGCAATGTACCAAATCCAGGCCTGTATGAACAAAATGCGTCAAATCTTCCATATAAAATTAATATCTCACCTGAACCCGCCCGACGGGACAACCAATACACCGCCGCACTCCCCACCCCGCCACAGCCAACTACAATGTAGGGGTAGAAGGACCTCTCAGACTCCATGTTCAGCTTGGACGGGATATTACATCACAACCTTGTTTATCTATGAAGGATAAAATTATCTGATGCCAGGTATGTGATTTGTTATCTACCTACAGTGTCTATGTATTGCCATGTATGTATGTTTGTTTTACTCATTTACCCCTGAAATATCATAATGAACTCTTCCAACCTTTGAATCGGAAGAGTTCATATGTGTCTTCAGGGGTGAAGGAGTTAAATGTCCTTACTGCTACAAGGTGTTCATGTCCTTACATATATATAGAAGATGTGGTTTGTAGGTCATCCCTTTTCATTTCATTAAAATAAATACATTGCCATGCACGCTCCAGACTTCTTAAAACAGCAAACCACTAGAAGGGTGTTTTAATAGCACACCATAACGCGTCGATTCCCTTAAATTTGTTGTACAAGTGAGGTATAATGGTGTTTTTTCTTGAATTCATGCCAGCTAGAATCACTTCAAAAAAACACATATAAATACTTGAGTAATTTCGAAGCCCAATAGAATTGTACCTCGTTCCCAAGTAAAAACCTACTAGGAAAAAAATATCTCTGTATCATATAACGTTTTTGTTTTGATCCATCTGTGTTTACCTTTGACAAAAACCATTTACCCATTTACCGGTTGGCCCTATGTATTTGTGTGATATTGACAGACAGCTTTGATTATACCAACTGAATGTGCTCCGTTGCAATTATATCATTGTGTACAATATATGTGTGGCGCCCTATCTAGTCGCGAATAAATTACCCCGAAGTTATTTTCATTCTAGAAATGAAACACAGTTGAAGCAAATCAATTTCACCACATCATCACCTCCAGGACCCTCATGCTTGTAATGTAGGGGTTATCCACTTGGTATGGGTCCGTATTTCTAACGGCTTATTAATAATAACATGCCACTTAAAAACTATACCATAGTCACTGTAGTGACAACCCAGGCCATATTTTATTCCATTTCAAGCAGATGCAGATAAACATCTAGTGTAACCCATTCCCGTCGTCTTTGGGACACCAAAGCCGTATGACCTCGAAGTTAACCGGTTGCTATGATTACCAATCCTTTCTCGCAATGGCTTGCTTTTTAATATTAGTCTTCTAAAACTCACCAGGGTGAATCATATGAAGAAGGGTTCCTAAGGAGACACTCAGAACCTAAAGACTAGAGATGATAGATAAGAAACGAAAAGAGTAAAATGCCGACAGACTGATATGGTCCCATTAGCTATTTGAGATGATAAAAAGAGATATGTATGCTATAAAAACAAGCTCTGCATGGAACAATGAACGATGGAAAACAGTTAATGTTCCATAATGGAAATAAGATAAAATCGAAGTACATCTTAATCAAATTTGCTTCACATATAATTCATATTAATTTTTGAGAGAAAAAAAAGAGAAACTAAACAAGAACTCTTCCAATGCATTAATTACGTTGTTTTAGCTTACCAGTTCTGCATGAAATATCGATCAATGAAAACCTACAACGCTCCATGAATGAAATAAGATACAATTCAAATAAATACATCAATACAAACCTGCTATATAATTCATTTTTATGTTTTAGATAAAAGACACCAAACATAAATTATACAAATATGGTAGTTACGCAGGTTAAGGTAACAAATTAGAGGTGCCTATAGCCTATCATCAGTGCGCCTGATTTAATCGCTAAGAGATTGTCTGGTTTTTACGATTGAAATGGCAGTTACGGACCCCCATACCACTGCCAGAAACTCTAAATTCACATTGGAGTCTGTTTTTTTCCCCCACTTGACCATAGCTTTGATAAATAATTTTTGAAAAGAAAATTATACCTTGGGGTACTTTTATGAGAAATACTGAAGATGAAATAAACAAAATACAATCAAAACCAGTGCTTTGAGTGTGAAAAATTATCGGGCTAGACCGGGATTCAAACCCCGAATTTCAGATTGATAGACTATTGCACTTACCGATTGAGCTACCTGGTGTAGGAAACTTGAATCCGTATTAACCAGCCATTTAATAGTTTATAAAACACGAGTTTTCTTGTTGATGTATCGACAGCTCCGATTGGATACTGAGGGGAGTTATATGGTAACCAATCACGGCCACTGTTAGGGAGTATTGCTTGGGTCGAAATATAGTATATTATATAAGACCCTTTGACATCAACACGAGGCAAATAACATAATAGAATAAATGATTTGGGTAAAAGGATAAAGGTCGAAACATAAAAACCTATGTATCAGAGCAGTCGCCAATAATGTCTAAATTGAAAATAAAGTTATGAAGCAATGATATATTAGAAGATTATGTCTCACAAAAGTCAAATGATTAGGTACAACTAACTAGGTCATGACATTTGTAATAGCCATAGGTCTATGGGAGGTTAAAGTCAAACGTAATCAAATTTCGCAGATACCTCATACGAAACAGATTTATCGATTTATTGATTACTTCAGTACATTATAAAAGTCTTTTTTTTATTCCTTACTTTTTATCTTGCCAATTTTTTCTAATTGCCATTTTTTAGATTTCAATCCTTTTGACCGTGGACATATTCTTAAGTAAGAGTGAATGAAGTTGCTGTTATTTTCCTTGTATTTTTCGAAAGGAAGTTGTTGCAGCGAAATTACGAAATATCAGAATCAAATGGTAAAAACCCCAACTTTTTCTGTACATATCTCCCAAAGCATCAAAACTTTAAAGGGTTAACCCTTTCACCCCTGCAGACCATAACGGACTCCTCCTTCTACTGAAGTTACACAGGGGTGCAAGGGTTAATCAGCAAGTGCCTGCATGTGGCTATAGTGATTCAAACAAGACCATAAACTTCAAATATTGTGAATTCGTGTTAATATGCAGTTTGCACATGTCGGAAACAGATCAAGGGCCCAAAAAATCAACAAAATAACCTTATTTTGTCAATGATTTTGAAACAAAATTGAAGGGACATAAAGCCGAATACTGTTTTCATTGTTTACTTAAGACTTTTTGATCGTTTGACATTGTTTACATGTAAATACATTACAAGAATGTTAGTTTGAACACAAAATCCATGCTTGAGAATGAGGACGGTTTCTTGAATACGGACCATGGTTACTACAATGGAAGTTGTTCAAGAGTGTTACGAACAATATATATTATACCATGTAGGTATATCTTACCAGAAAATCATTGTGAGAGGTCTAGTGATAAATCCGCTATGTATATGGGTCTCTGTATATAATATTAAGATTAAATTCATTTCTAGGTCATGGAAATTTTAGGTACAGAGTAATCGTATTTCACGTCATTGCAGATGCTATTCAAGTGTCACGTTTAAACAAACACTGTAAGCATTGGGCTCATCAGTATATTGCATAGTATACACTCGATTGAAAACAAAATTGTAATTTAAAATTCGTTTATAGCTCTAGGTCGTGCGCAGCTTCATTTCTCTTCTACTACAATTGTAGCTGTACATAGCAGCCTTAAAAGAAGCTGAGTGTGCCTAAGGAAATAGTGATATGTCCGAGTAACATATTTTACAGGTTCATACACAATTGTATATGCAAAACTAATTGCATTGCGAGTTTCATGAATACTTCAACTTTACGTGAACTGTCCTTTCGTAACATTTCATGTTGTTATATAAAAAAATAAAATAAACATGTTATAAATATTATCACACGTTTCAGTTTCAATGTTTATTACATATCTAGCGTGTTGATAACACATATATTGTTATGAAATGACACAGCATCTAAAGTTCGTTTATCGATTTAGGTTACTTTTGTTTCCTTATCCATAATCTGCTAAAATATATCTTACCAGGGAATTTCGCTATGATTTTAGTGGTTTCGTATGGAAACCTCAGTCTTGTTTTGGGGCTCGTATGCCTCTCCCCATCTAGTAAAGAAATCAAGCTCCACATGACCTAGGTATATAAATGAACTATCGCGAATTCCTTTGATGCACATCAAAAGATCTAACTAATCTTCTTGCTTCACTAGCCTTAGATTTTGTCATGACATATTTCAGTGGTGTACATAACGTAAGAGAGTGATTACCCCCTGGTTGTTTGTTGGTTGTGCTGGGGTTAACTGGGGTTAACGTCCTATCAACAGCCAAAGTCATTAAAAGACGTGCCTCCATGTATGCTGTGTATGCGTCCACGTGTGCCGGAAGGAGGGTATGTTGGTGTGTTTGCCTCTTTGTGATAGCGCAGATCTGATGCCGACTTTATTGTGCTATCTATCTCACTAAAATACCATGCCGAAGGAACATTCCGATAATGCATTGACACCATCCGTTATGTAAATCTAAGTCAAATCAAGGTAATGCCACGCGATGTCCATAAGGGTTGTTACTATCAAGAAAAGGGTAGAAAGTTTATGATCGAAAATCATAATCGTCATGTTCATACAGCTGAATAGTGAATAACGCTTACATCATTATATGATTTTGAAATCGATTACAAGTTAATATAAAATAAAATTCAGTAATGGAGCTACATTCTGTGTATTATCTTTACTCCCTGGCTATATTTATGTGTCTAGCCTTCTCTATAGCCGGCGATAGTAAAGATGAACAGGCTTTTGTTAGACATATACGTATTTTCTTGAAATATTTACTGTATATCAATCAAAATGAAATTGAAGAGTGAAAAATCAGCAACATACAAACAGTACTTATACAAGAGCGTTTAGATGAAGCATCTAAAAAAGCAGCTGTTTTCCCCGATTGGAAATTCCTTGCGTTGTCTGTGACAGGATAAATTTCGATTGTGTAACACTTTTAGACAAAACAATATCTTCAAATCTTAATCATGTATCACCTCCTACAGAGGTACCTCAGTTAAAACCATTTTTACAACATCAGCCTAATCAGATAGGATTTGGATACATTTAATTTGCTTGACAGTTGAATGTAGAATTTATATTTCGTCCTTATAAACTTTGTTAGTTTCATAGGCAAACATCCAAATTAAAAGTTTGCCATGCTAATTATAATCTATTTTTCCACTTTTTTAAAGTTTTCATTTTTCATCCTGAAATTCTTGCACGTCATTTTATGATACTAGCATTAAAACAGGATACAGCAAACATAGGTTTCATAATGATGAAACATAGGTTTCATAATGATGAAACATCAGTTTTATGTTTATTTCTAATCATTTTTCATCGGAGCCCGTTGAAAATAATACGAACAGTGTTTCACATTATTGAATCTCTAATAGCTTATGAATGCTGCTGAATATGTTATTAAAGTTTTGCATAAATCTTAGTAACAGTCTTTTGATTATTACCTATTCTTTCATCTCTACAATAAACAAGATTGTCATTCTCGCTCCCGACTTGAAAGATGAACGTATAACACACACACACACACACACACACACACACACACACACACACACACACACACAGGTGTTTGGATATTAAAATTTGGTATTTGATACATACAGTTCATTCAGCTGTTGCGTTCATCAATGACTCATTAATAATGGTAGGGGCAAACAATGGATATACCAATTGTTCTAAACTACTGCTGAAACAGAATTTGCGCAAAACCCTTTAATGTTATGCATGCAATACATATCACTATGTGGAAATATATTAATAGCATTACATGACAAATTGATAAGTTTTAAGATGTTGTACAAACGCGACAATAAGAAGCTTTTGTCTTTTACATTATACCAGTTGATAGTACAGTTGTGACGGAGCCACCGGTTAGTCTCTGATGCCATAATTATGAAACAATGCACTGAATTATATTTACAGTTTATTAACATCTATATACATATATACAGGTACATGTCCGTACGTTCACCGCAACACTTTCACTGCTCACATGTTGTCACCCCAACGTTCGTACCACAACTCCCAATAGTTACGTCCTCTCTCCTGCACCTTACAAAACTCAACTGACCACTATATATATAGCTACCACACACACACACAACCTGTCCTATCTCCACTGTACCACACACCACCCTTTGTTTTCATGACACTGGCCATTCCCAATCAACATTTCTCCCTATCGGTCCGAGCTATAACTACCAACTCAATAAGATCTCCGAACCAAGCAATATGTTGCTACATTTAATTTGCACGCCTAATCGTAAACAAATAAACAACTACAGACTCTCTGCAGACACTCACTGAAACGTACAGCTGTGGCTGACAAAACTCGTTAATTAGAACCACTGACCACTCCGACCTCTGCTGGCCCACTCGACCCTCTTCCTACTCTCAAAGATGACACTTTTTCACACAGTTATATTTCAATTAAATTGAACATTGATTCAAGACAAATACTTTAGCAGTACCATTGCAATTGTCATATTTTCAGGTATACATAAAATTCGACCTTATGCAGTCCGTAGTTTATTTTTTAATATGCTCTTGTCTATTCTGGGACACCAATTTTTGTTCGGTTACCCTACGTGACCTTCCTAATTTGACAAACAGCTAAAAGCACACCAACCGATTACTCACCTCCTCTCCGATTGCCATCCATTCTCTATTAAAGTTTGTTTGCTTCTTAATACCAATGCAATACAGACTTCCTTTTGTATCCCACGGCATCATCCTAATGGGTCATACTGCAGAATCATGCCTAACCTTACTTTTTCAACAGTAGTATAGAGCAATTTGGATGTCCAACATGTTTGCCCCTAGCGATGAGTCCTAGAAGGACGAAACAGCTGTAGAGTGCCAAGGACGAAACAGCTGTAGAGTGCAGAGTATTTCATATTGGCCGACTGTATCTATAATACCAACTTTTAAAGGTACATAATCCTGTGTGTGTATCTTACATCAATATGTCGACGTTTTACAGATCTGTTGCGCAAAATACAATATTTGTGTTTAAAGTCTTTTCCTTTTCTAGTTTTTAATCCACCATGTCACACTTAACATTTTGTTCCGGGTTTTGTTTTTACCATTTGTTTCTGTATGTTTTTTTTGTTCATTGTGATTAAAATATAAAAAAAAAACATTTTCAATATTTTTGCTTTGTTTAGCTGTCTTGGAAATTCCAATGTTCATTATCATGTTTCACATCCTTTAGTTGTCAATTCTGCATTTCATCATTAATGAGTTCCCCTTATTTCCTATTTGATAACTCTGAAAGGTGGTGAAAGGGAACCGTTAAATGTGAATCAAAACTGCAAAAAGCACAACAAAGGAAGATGATACAAAACGGTGTTGATCAATCATGCGAACGCTAACGTTCCTGATAAACAAGTGTGTTGACATGTTCCGCAAACACATGTAGGTAAGGTGACATACAGCAGCTAGAGCTCGGTGGGAATGATGAAGCAGTAAATGTAAAAGAAAAACATGACATCATTAACTGATTCATACAGAAATCAGAATTGCATGTTTCTTATCGGAATTTAAATCTAACCTGTGTTCGATTAAATCAGAGGGCAGATACAATTGATGGAAGCAAAATTGGTCCCAGACTGAAAATTTAGCTTGACAGATATCCCCAAATGGCTTTTGTCATCAATATCCCCTGTGCGATTTCTGGCATAGGATATGTTTTATTTAGTAACCAAACCCACAAAAAAGTCCCTCTACAGTGTTACATAAGAGACAAAATATGATAATGGTTATGTCATTACGTCAAGAATCACCCATATAATTCCAAATTGATACCAGCTCGTATAACGGTTGGGCTAAGAGTACAGATAGAGTTCAAATTGCCAATCGTCTTCCGGAATATTTCGAATTGAACGTTAACCCTCTTGATAGTATGAGGTTGGGTCAATACTTCTCCTTAGTATAACCACATAGTGATCAGTTGGTCTATTGGTTAGGTAATAACATGTCTAGAAATGTTTACATATTGTCTAGGTCGTGTTCGGAGCAAGTCATTTCTTATTCTTACAAATAATCAGTTGGAGAACTTGATATTGGAAGTATCTTCTGTGGTGAAGTCGAACCCGAATGTTTCTCTAGAAACAGGGCGTCTATTTCACTACGTTGTTTGCAAGATACGATTTACGACATTTTGTTTCACGATATTATTTACGAGGTACATTTTTCTTGGTTTGTGTAAATTAAATATACAATGGAATACTGTCTGAAAATCAATATTTGATCATATTTGTTCATATATCTAATTGGCGTCACATGTCACTGTGGTGAAAACACTTACCCTTTTTCCAGAATCCTGCTGCAGACTCCAGTTGCAGGGATTCATGATGCATATTTTTAAAATCTGTTCCTGTCTTTGCCCCCTATTTCAAGTTTAATTTCATTCTTTACCTCAGTGTGTTGACACCATAGAATAGAAATGCAACTTATTTGTGGTGCAATTGGCAACGGTTATCATGTTGCACATTGTATACAATATACTATTTTTGAGCATAGTTTTACATTTGATATAGCGCCCTATCTAGCTAACATAAGCCACTCTAATATAAAGCGCTTTACAGTAGATAGATATACAACTAGAACAATTAGCATATACATTAAGCAATACCGTTTTTGAGGAATTCCCAGGAGCTGCATTATCAGGCGCTATAACTACGTATACAAACTAGTCCTATATATTAATAAGTAATGATAATTATCTTTATCCAAAACCTATTGTGTTGACATTACTGGTATATAAAATTTGGAAAATTGGTAAACGAGTCAGTCGCCATTGATACACTTGGCACACTAAGTTTACAGACCAGGTCGTCTGCAAGGGGATTCACTTTGACCTTTACTTTGAAAAAAAAAAAAAAAAAAAAAGGAATTCACAGTTAGTTTGCAAAAATTAAATACAAAAATTTGGTATGTAGATCAGAAAGACCATATTTTCTTCCAACTTATTTTAAGTATGTGAATGCTGCAATATGTATATATGTATTGAGTCTATGACTTTATATTTCATGTTTTAAGAATTCCTACAATGTATATCTTCATCTTTTACTCCACATGGCCAATGACATAACAGTCTTGGAAAACAGTTCATGTCTGTTCTACGTGAATATCACAGGGATTTCATTCGATCGAACATTGGCCCCAGGTCAAAAAGACCTTCATTATATCATTATACTATTGTTAACTGTTAAAAAGATTACTTTGAACACTTCACATCGCAAATTCATTTCAAAGCACCCTTTCATCCCTCAAAATACTCTCTTGAAAAATTGCTATAATAGTTCATTGGTTTCCTGTCCGTTTTTCTCTCTCTCCAATACCAGCGGTAAAACAAACGCTTAACTAATCCAGTAAGGATTCAATTATCAGATTGATGATTTTTCTAGAATGAATGACTCATTGGTGAATTTTTCACATAGAATTCTATGGTAGAAAAAATGTCTTGAAATTTGACAACACACAAAAACACAGCATCAGGCTTTATTTGCAGTTGTAGCATTTTATTTGTTGTTTGAGATCACAATAAATACTCCTTGCATTTGGCATAACAGTTTACAGAATGACAACTGATGTAGCAGATATATAGCTCGAGTACTTTGTTGGTTCTATATACAGATCTACAGCATATTGCATAAGAATTGAAAGGATTTCATTTAAGTCACCAAATGTCATGTTTTGTTAAAAACCACAAATAATCCAGGCGTCCCACTATGCGGCCATGCCTTTTTTTCCTCCTTTTACCTTTCTTTTTCATTTTTTAAGGTTGGGGGGGGGG